TTGAAAATCTCTATTTTCAAACAGATGATTATAAATTGATGAAGCTATCTGATAAGAAAGTCACGATTTAACAATGCATTGTGTATATACAATGTGTGTGTATACGTCAGAGAAGATTCTGTCTATCATACAAATCACATGAAGAAGGATTTTATGCTTGGTATTCCGAGGTCCTTCGGATATCTTTTTTTCTACTCAGCATTCCTAACTGGATTTTTTATATCCTGTCTTTCAAGACCTGGAGGAGAGATGAACATGGATGAGAGAATAACAACGTGCAAAATTTATTCAAAAGAACTTGGATTTTAAGAGAACTGAGAAAACTGTGTTTTTAATAGTTTATAAAACATTACAAATCACAGTTTTCTTGAAGATTCAAATTAATATCAAAAATTTTAATCAAATTCTATTTTGATGCACATTCTTGACATAATTCGTTATGCAATTTGATACTTTCGCAAGAACAGCAAATTTGATTTGAATAATCAACTCAAGTCATTCAAGAAATATGCCATCAGAGTTTTTCTAAAATCCTTAAAAAAAACTCTAATCGTATATTTCTTGCGATTAGAGTGCAACAAATTTTATCTCCTAATATAGATAATGGCACAGGAAATATGACTATGAATAATAAATTTATTGTTAAACATAAATATATATATCTTAACTCAAGAATCTGCATTTTCTAAATCGTGATTTTTTTATTTTTAAGCAAGCTTTTCAGGGAAAGTTATTAAGGGTTTTTATTTGAAGACCTTTTCTCAATTATCGAACAGTATTTGAAATAGAAAATTTACTAGATTACATCCAAAATATATTGTTTCATTATTTAGGTTTAAAAATCAAGTTCTGCATCAAAAAAATGTTCGTTGCCTGAAAGCAATACAGGTCATCAAAGGTTTAATAAAATACAACAAACACTGTAAAAAGAAGGCATCTTATTTAAGATACTATTCTCCTTTCGAAAAAGTTATCAAAAACATATTAAAATGCATTGATCTAAAAGATGGAGGATCGACAATAAATGCATCTTTTTGCAGTGAAGTAATAAAAATATCGTCGTTCATTTGAACCTTCAAAATTTTAAGATCGTTTGGAAAATGGAATGAAAAGTGAAACATCTTCCAAAAAAAGCAAGTCATTCATCATTAAAAGTTTTTTCAGTCCATGAATTGAAATTTTCAAATCACAATCACCTTCAATTATATTCATATACGAAGAAGATTTATAGAAATCCGGATCAACAGGTTTGTATATATACATTGGACATTAACAATGACCCTGAAGTGTTTGATTTAAAAGATTACGATAGAGTACACGCAACATATATTACAAGAAATTATCGCAAATTGAAGATAAACTGCAAATTTGAAAAATCGTACACGCATGTAAATTCCACACCGAGTTTTTCAAATTCTATTTCGAGGAATTAAGATATCTGATAAGGAATATTTTTAATGAATTTATAATTTACCGTACATACAAGTATATAGAGAGAGAGAGGACTTTTATCAGTGATCATCACATTCCTAATTGGAAAGATATAGAGATGAATTCAGCCATTTCTCTTTACTCCCCGCTACTTTTTTCTCATATTCCCCCTTCACCAGAGAATTAGCATTTTAAAAAAGACTTTCGTGCATAAATTATAGCAATGAAGAGTGGGGATTTGGCAAAGATATACCCTTGGCATCAACAGACACACCTTTTACCTCCCATCATTTTTAACAGGGCCGTATTAATGCTCATGTCAATTGAAACTGGTCTCTAAACTATAAAACTATATATGCGGTTTACCGAATTAATAAAATGGATTCTATTTCAATTATACTCTTTTCGATGAAAATAAACTTCGTCTATAATTTCAAACAAAATATACACAGAAAAAAAAAGTCTGTTATTTTATTAACATATACAAAAAGTGGATTTAAAGCATATGCAATAATTTTTCATCCATTAAGGGAACTACTATATGTGAATTATCACTGCAGCTGAAACACGCAACAAAAATAACACCTTTTCTGTTTTTCTTAATTCTTTTTCTCAATTTTCTTTTAAATGCAAATACAGATAATAAGAAAATAGAATAAGATTAAACAACCAAATATTTATTGGGTCTTCGAATAAAAAATTTTCAATTTCAAGGAAAGTTGATTTGTGGCATGTTACGTAACACCTAATGGAGGGGTCAAGCTATTTAACGATAAGCAAGAAAAATGGCGCTAATGTATGTAATATTGCGTTATATGAAGGAAAAGGGGGGGGGGGTCAATTTTTTTTTAAAATTAGCGTTATACGCATAATATATGGACGTGGTCACTTTACTTAAAAACTGACGTCACTTAATTCTAATCTTATTTTTAAAATTTTCAAGGGTCGTGCTAGAAACTTTAATTCCTCGTGTAAATATTGTTTTTTTTTCTCCTGTTTAAATTAGGGCTCTAAGAAGATCCTTTTTAGGAACTAGGAAGACCACTTTCATAATTATAGTCTAAATACTACTCTGTATAAATATTTCTTAAATTTTTAATGCACTGTTACCTTAAAAGTATCAAATTACAACGAATTGATACCAAAAATGGGCATCAAATCAAAAGCTCACCCAAAATTTTTGATTGAATTCACACCAAAAATGTAGATCAAGTCAAAAACTGACCCAAATTTTTGATTGAATGTGGATCGAATCAAAAACTGGCCCAAAAATGTGAATCAAAATAAAAAGTACCCAAATTTTTGATTGAATTAATATTAAAAATGTGGATCAAATCAAAAATTTACTCAAATTTTTTGTATCATTTTGATACTTTTCAGAAAACTATGCGTATATAAGAGAAAAAAAGACAATGGTTAATGTATCTCTGCATTCGAATCATTATATATAAAAATACTAAAATCCTAATCTTATGATAATAAAATTATAATCATTTATGTCAAATTTCCATATTTACTATTCAACAAAAACACGTTACACAACAATAAGACGCGTATAGAAAGACCAGAGACAAATATATACGAAACTGAACAATTATTTTCAAGATTTTGATTTGTGAAATATCAGCAAAGCCAAGAGGACATTACGAAAACCTCTTACCACATTTAAGTTTGAATTGCTAAATAAATGTTATCACAGTAGGCCTCAATACGATCGACTATATTTATCAAGGACTTCAAGAATAAAGTGGCGGAATTTCAAAATAACCATACTGGAAAAAACACTCGTGTACATAAATAAGCTCAAAATTGACCAATTTTATCGCAACTAAACAGCAAAATTACGTATATATAGATAATTCTGATAGTGCAATAACTGCTCTTAATTACCAGATAATTACACGAGCGACCACTAATTTAAAAGTGAGAATAGCTATACTAATTATAACCCACTGCCTAATGCAGATATCGTCACGGAAAATGCTCGAAATCCTCCAAAGAGAAGACTATACCTCCTGAAACAAATAAACTCCTGATACCGAAATCTGATAAAAGGAACCCCAAAAATTTTTCTTCTGGTCATTTATCAGCAATTGGAGAGGAATCCATAGGTCAGCTCTACACGAATTTACGGATCAAGTTTCGTGGAGGAGTGTTCAACGATATCCCATGGGGGGACTTTTTTTACACATTCTCTCTCTCTCTCTAAACCCCTTTTGCCCAAACAGGTCCTTGCTTCGTCGAAAATCAACCGAATGACAACAGGGAGAGGGAGACACGATGTCTTGAGCGGGGGAGGGGGCAATCATCGAATCAGTGAATTATAATGAAAATATTTTGCGGCTGTGCCGAGAAGAGAACTTGAGGGGGAGGGGGGAGGATTAGCAAACAACTTTTCGGGAAGGGGAACATTGTAGGGAGGGGGAAAACCAATCGACGCGGTGGTTCTGTGGAGTTGCATCTGTGTGCATGCGTGAGCCAACTTAATGGCTATATGCGTCCATAGAATATAGAATCAACGGTGGTATAACCCATCCTACGGCACAGTTGCCTCGCAAGCGAAGCGTGTGTTTAGAGTTACACCGATACACACTATCCTGACAAATACAGAGAAATTCTATTTGGACGCGCACGCAAACGCACACTTATCCATTCCCGGGTAGCGCTATTAATAAATCCCATCTGTGAATTTTGAGACGCATGCGCGCGCTCTCCTCTCACACAATCTCTCTCTTTGCCAAGCCAATTCCTCAGTGGTGGCTCGAATCATTAACCGGTCTCCTTGGCAACCCTGACGGACCTAAACCATTGGCTGGTTACCAGCCCCTCTACCTTACAAATACACTCAAAAACCAGTTCTCAACGACACACATCAGATGCACACGTTTCACACACACACACTTCTCTTCCTCGCTTCTGATCCCAACTTTCCTAACCTTGTATACTATACCTATACATGAAAAACCCAATATAGTACTACAATATGCTATACTTCCCATTCGAGTCGAAGCTATAGTCGCTAAGGACATATAACTATCGCTTCAACACAGTATGTATATATGCCGGTTTCGTTTCATCCATGTATTTATCCCCCTTCAGCAGAATTTCGAAAAAGGTCTACGCCCATTTATCATACACTAACAATACACAGATTTCATTTTTTCCATTGCCCTTTTTTAATCCCTGCCTATTGACATTTTCCTCATCCTCGCTTATAATTATTTCCTTCAAATCCTTACTCGTATTCCATATACTTTTTATGACTTCAATGAAGACTTACAAACTTATGATTTTATACAGCTCCCCAATCAGTAAGAATTCATAATTTTTTTTAAATATGCCTAATATAAATCTCATCTTTTCAGTGTGTATAAACGAAAAAAACTATGAGAGAGGATTTAAAAATTTATCGTACAGGATTCGTATGTTGAAAACTGTAAAAATTTAACGCATAGCGTTTTTTTGCGAGCGAGGCTGCACACAGTATATCTTGCGTGAATTTAGGCCAGGTTTATGTGTCAGAGTATAGAACTGTAGATTATATATATGTATATAGTGACGAAGCTTGCCTGGGATTGGATGAGAGTCTTTTCCGTGTGATAGTGAGACATCAATTCGTTGGTGTTGTTGAGTCTGTGTGAGTGTGCGGACGTGGGGCGTAAACTGCGCTTAGAGACAGCTGTTCCAGGGATGTCTCTACAATTCCAAGAGCCACGATGAATTTTGTTGCCAAGCAACATTTTTCCCAGTTTTCTCACGTTCACTGTTTGTCTGCCGTGTTTCCTCTTCACTGACTTTTGCACTCGCCAACTAATTGCATTATGATTTGGTCTCCGTTAGTTGTAAACATAAACCGTTGCCGGATTCTCATTAAAACCTAAATTAGAATGAAACTCATTAGTGAATAATAACCCATACTTATGTTACATTAAAAAAAGAATAATTATAAAAAAAGGCAAAATTAGCCATCATGATAGAGAAATCTTCCTAATCTAACACCTACTAAAATATCAAGTATAAATTTTATTTCTTTCTCTATCCAGAAAGAAGTTAGTTAAAGATTAATTAATTAACTAATAAAAATCGTTTATTTCCATTTGTTCCATAAGATATACAACTTATAAAAAAAAACTCAAAGCACGTGTTTGATCAAAGTGCACAAGATACGAAATTTTGGTGAAAGGATGAGAAAAATACATTTTCGAGAACAAAATTTCAATTAAATAAACATTATATCGAAAGGCAATCGAATTAATTAATTCGAAAGAAACTCATTCACTCAATAAGGACTAAACTGAAAGGAACCTCGAATCTTGCGGCACAGGCCTATATATATAATAAATTCATGTCACGAAATTAAAACATCTCGTAGTCAGAAAACCGGTATCTGATTGTAGGCCTAAATTTTTACCACCAGCGATATTCGTCTAACAGATTGAATAGTAATTCACTGATACTATACATAGGAAACATATCGAACTATTGGAAATTTCATCAAGTCAATTTTTCTCAGTGGAAATTTTCACGAATTTCACATATAATATTAAAAAATATAAGTAATATTAAAGAAATTATACATAATATTAAAAAAGTATACATATATAGTATCAAGAAAAATTGATTATGTAATAAATCATAATATCAGCTATAAATATACATCTGCAAATTTATAATGTACCATAAACAGCTAAAACTTTGACACTTGTATATTATAAATATAGTAAAAATAACCTTATGCTTTCGCAACTGCTGTCAATTAAGAAACACAAAAAGTGTCCGCCAAGCATATATTAAATAATAAATTCAAAAAAGCTAACGTCTGTATTTCAGTTTCTTTCCCTACCCACATCAATTTTTTATCAATAACCAACATATACACAAACTCGTCTAATCTGAAAAAGCTGACAAAAATGGATTTTCTTATCATTATTTTTTCTTGATTTAAAAAGCTTCTACAGATCAAATATACCAAATGAAAAAAAAACAATATTACAAAGATCTCTGGAAAGTAGTTTTCTTAATAGATGTACAAGAACTTAAGAGTTACACATGGAATAGAAAAGTTAAATTTCCTTAACGAATCATTGTGAAAAATATTTTACAATATCAAGTAATTAATATTGATTCAAATCATCATGATAATCATTTTTGATAATTTAATGAAAAATTAATTTAGAAACATACACCCAGAGAAATGGTATATTTGTCTCAGAACCAACTAGACTTTTTATTTGTTTCAAATAAATTTTATTTGGTTTAAATAAAATTTTATTTGGCTCAAATATATGTTTTATTTATGTCGAATAAAATTTTAATTTAAAAGAAATAAAAAGTCTAGTTGGTTCTGAGACAAATATACGTTTATTTAACTCAAATAAAATATATTTGGTTTAAATAATATTTTCCTCTGGGTGTATAGTTGGATTTAATAAAAGTGAAAGTATCCTATCAAACGCTGTTTTGGACTAATTTTTAATCCCCCCCCTCTACCTTTCCTCCTCGTCACATTGTTTACATACAGAATAATTTTTTACACATTTCGTAACATGACGCATACCCCCCCCCCCCTATAGAAGTGTGACGTAGTTTGTGAGCAAACCCTTAATAAATACTTGTTTATAAGTAAATGCATCTTAATTTTGTCGATAAAAAATCGGCGTAGAATTCTTAAAAATTGCGTTAATTTTTAATAATACTTTTTACTATCGCTTTTCATAAGATTTTTTTGTAAAAATATCGAAACTTGGTTTCCGATTCGAGAATGAAACATCAGAAGCGCCGATTGAGGCCTAATTTGTAATAGGACTAAAAAAGTTTATTTGCTCTGTAAATCTGAATTAGTAGAATTCTACTAACAAATAGTTAAATTTCACTAATTGTCAGTGATTTTCCATGGACTACTTTTCCTTTTTTCAATTAGTAAAATGTTACTATAATTGATGGTAAAACTTAAATAATTTTCAGAGGAATTTTACAAATTTTTAGTCAAATTTTACTAATTGTTAGTCAAATTTTACAAGATTTTTAGTATAAAATTTCACGAATTGCTAGTCATCTACTTCACTCAATGAATTTAGTGAAACTGTTTTCTCAACTTTTACTAACACAGTTCTACTAATTGTTTCTACAAATTTATTATTAAATAAATACAATTCTACTAATTCTACTAGCAAATTAAATAGTAAAATTTTACTCCTTGCAATTCTCTGAATTTGAATTAATAAAATTTTTTACTAATTTGAAGTAGTGACTGAATTTTTGCTTTCTATAATTATTAATTTTACTAATAATTAGTAATTTCGATTAATTTATTATAATAAAGTTTACTAATTCAAAAGCAAAAAGTAAACATTTTTACTAATACAAATTTAGAAATGATAGTAATATTACTACTAAAGTGGACGACTTTTCATCATTTCATTAGTAACTTTCTACTAATTCAAATTTAGAAAGTGTTATGAGGGCCCCAGTAGGTCTGTAGTTTTTCTAAATATATTGAGAAATATAAACACCATCAAAACGTTGCATTGAAACAATTTAATACACTTCACGGTCTAAAGAGAGGATCATCAAAAAAACTGTTCTATCAAAATTTCCTGCATTAAAAATAGTGTCTGAGTAAAAATTAAATAAAATTTTTAAATTTGTCAAACATACTTTTTAATTTTATTAAATATTTAAAAGTTTTAAAAAACGTTTAATACTGTAAAATTATTGAAAAATTTTAGTCAAACTTTTCTTTTTATTATTATATGTGACGCTCCACGGTAAAGAGGGCACCTAAAATTTTAGATTATGATTGTTAGTTTTGAAGTGATATTTCATAAAAAGATGAGGATTAACTCTTGGAGCTGACCAATGATATTTAAATCCTTACCACATTCAAAATTTTCAATAAAAATGATTTACTTTATAAAATTAAAAAAAAGTCGACTAATGACGAAGATGAAATGATCATAAACATAACCTAACATTTCTTTGGGAGATAAACCTTTCACCTTTCACTATTTTCTATTCTAATATCTAGTTTTTTACTAACAAAATTAACTTGCAGTTATTTATAGGTAATTATTTGTTATTATAAAAATTATTAAACATTTGATAATTTTAGGCTTATTGTTATTTAATATTTCAAACTTTTCAGAAAAAATTTTATATTCTGTTATAGAAATTTTAACAGGGCCTTTTCTCGAAATTTGAATTAGTATATCACAGAAAAAGAATGTATGTTAAATTTTTTGCTTGTAGTTTTCAGATGGTGTTATTTTAACTCAATTCTAGTTGAAAGTATTAAATTAATACTAAAATGTGGATAAAATAAAAAATTGATCTAAATTTTTTTATCAATTTGATACCAAAATATGGACAAAATAAAAATTGATTTAAATTTTTGTAACAATTTGATACTTTCAAAAAATTGTGTATTTATTTAACACGCTCTAGTGTTAATTTAACAAACTCCAGTGTTATTTTAACACCAAATATAGTGTTAAAATAAGAGAGTGTCGGTTAAAAATGTTGTGTGCAGTTTTAACACCACATGTTCTGTTAAAATAACACTTATTTTTTTCTGTGTATAAAAATACTAATTCGAATTAGTATTTGACTTTTTGCTTTTGAATTAGTATAAATTTTACTAACAAGCAGTAATTTATTAGCAAATTTAATTAATTCAATAGCAAAAAGTCAGTCACTAATTGAAATTTAAAGAGTTGTTTAGGCTTCAAAAAGCATTCCTACTTCAACCCGTTAGGGCCGTGCACCTAATTTCAACTAAAAATCATGACCAGGAACGAAGTTTAAAGAATAATACATTTCTAAATTATAATCCATGTGTAGAAATTTACCAATATTGGCCCAATCTAGTTACAAAACACAGTGAAAAAAAGTCTTGTCGTTTTAAGCCTAATTTTGACTAAAACATCTTACTTTATTCCAAATATTTACTAAATTTCGGATTATAAAACTGGTTTTAAGACTTCAAATTGTCTTATTTTCAAAATAAGCCCGAAAATTAGTTGAATTTAAAAAAAACAGGTTTTGAGCCATAAGTACTTTAAGACTTTGTTTTTACAGTGAAGGGCTTGGTGCTGTGGAACTGACCAGACTTACACAGTTTTCTTGAAAGAAATCTAAAGTGTATAAATTAAATTTAAATTATATAATTTGATACCAAAAACGTGGATCAAATAAAAAATTGATCTATATTGTTTTGTATCAAATTGATACACCTTAGTATCAACATGATACTTTGAATAAAACTGTCTTTTTCAATCAGAATTGGAGCTCTTTCATTTAAATCAGATTAAAATTTCTACATAGGTCACCTACAATCAGTTATTATTTAAATTTTTCGTAGATATTAAAAATGTAATACACTGCAAAAATTAAGCATCTTAAAAGTGACTACAAACTTACTTAAAACATCTTATATTAAGATAAACAAGATGTTTTATCTTAATATAAGATGTTTTAAGTAACTTTGTAGTCACTTTTCAGATACTTAATTTTTGCAGTGTTTATATTATGAATCTAGTTGATGTGAATATGGATCTAAAATCCCCAATTGAAATGGGGGTTTATCAAGGACCTGAATAGTTTTCCTAGTTACTAAGTAAGACCCATGCAATAGGGTCTAAAAGATGCAATTTTTACACGGCTAGCAACAGTAAGAACTATAGTTAATAAAATAGTGATTAAATAATTAAAATTAAAAAAATAATAATAAACAAATAATATTCCACCTGAAAATATACTCAACACACTCACATGACCATCATCAGATTTTCTCAACATTCAAACTTTCCAAGACTGCATGCCTGTATTGGGGTTCGAAACCTGCTGATGAAAGGAATGCAGGGCACCCCACATGATCACTACATCATTGTATCTCGTAAAGGCTATGCTGCGAATTCTCCAACTGGACTATAGCGTCTCACGGACGTGTGCAACCCAGGGGGGAAATGTTCAAGTGTTGGTTCGTTAGGGCCGTAACGATTGAATGCCTGTTTCTTTACCTGTGTGAGTACCGTTAGTCGGCAGCAGGCATGCGCCCGTAAAACCCCCATACCAGAAAGCTCCGCCTTTCGAGACGACGACGATACCTCTGGGATTTGTCCGCGTCGGACCAATCATATCATCCTGGCTTTGAACACTAGGGCCAGGAGTGAAAGGCCAGGGGGTGTTTGAAATACGTAGAGGGGCTTGAGTTTCGTGGTACATCGGGGGGAGAAGGGCAAGGAGATTTCAGTGTATACCCGAGTGGGAACAGGCCAGCAGACAACGAATACGACCACCAATGCTGACAGAAGCTTTGCGACCAAGTCGATTTCTCGTCACAGTGTAATTATCAAGTGTTAAAATAACCCAGGATCTATCGAAAAATTCATACCAACATTCAGGATTTATTGGATTTAAAGTGTTTTTATAAGAGTGAAGTGAAGTGTTGTTTTTCATGAAAAGTGTAATTCAAAACGTGCCTAGGTGTGACTGCGCAGACGCAATGTGAGTATCCACTGATTGTTAGCGACCATGAGCAAAACCGTCTATAGCATAGAGCTTCAGGGATGTACTAACTAAAAGACTTACGTGAAGGAGAAAGTTTGTGTCTGAAACAGGAAAATTTCATTTTATCGAGGGCGTCCTGTATTCTTCTTTATTCTTCAAAAAATCAGTAAATTTTGCAATCTATGTGTTGTTATCAGTTGGAGGGACGCTCTCTGCCCTCGGTAAATTCGCGCCCCTTGGGCTTAGCCTTCAGATATATGTGCCATCATGTTTTGGGGAGCCGCGTGCTATTCTTATCATTATTATTATTATTTTTGCCATTATGGCGATATATCCATGAAAGCGAGTTGGCTGTTCAATTCCCCCACAGTTTCTCTGTTCGTTCGGCTCCCTCTTTTCCCTTCTTCTCTCCCCCAACGTTATTTTTTTTTCTCTCCCCCTCAATATCTCTTTCGTGATCCCTCGTTCCCTTGCCTTCCTTTGAACCGGTCTTTCCCGAAGACTCCCCTACCCTCTTCGCTCTACTAATTATGGTGGTCTCTACATGGACGACATTTTGTTTTGTGACATTTCAAGATGGAACGCCACCAGTTTTCACTGGGTTCGAAATCAGTCCACTGAACCCTGACGTCACTATTGTATGGTATAGAGTGCCGCAGGTTCCGCTCGACGTCGCCAGTCTACAGTGGACTTTTTTTTCCTTTTTTTATTTCTGTCTACTGACGCCTGCTGAATGTTGCTCTCTCCGAATTCATTTATATTTCGTCTCATTCCTATATAAAGTAGAGAATTTTATTTCTATTTGTTCTTTCTTTTAAATTTTCTCCAGGATTTATATTTTCCAGTAGCGTGACGGAAATGATAGCGTCATATGAACAATCCATTTCAGTAGGATTTATTGTTAAAGTTCCCAGACTAATTCGCTTCACAAACTGCGCGGTCAGTTCTGTTTTAAAGGGGTTAGTTCAGAATGATGAACACTTTCGAAATCGTAAAATATTGATTTAAATTTTCCCTTTCTAGAAGAAAGTATAATAAACTTACACGTCTATAGATAATTGCGAGTCATACAAACAATGTTTGTCAATTGTTTTTCTATGAAATGAATTGCAAAACAAAATTGGCTGACTTGAAGATAAAATGAGCACCACTGTACCCACAATAATGGCTCGATTCCTCGACAGTTTCCCTTTATTTCATAGAATCGACCCTATGCGTCTTTCCTTAATTAAACGTTTCCTTTTTCCTCACCAAACGAAACTAAACCCCATCGTGAAGATTTCTACTCCATTCGAACGAAGTAAACAAGAACAAACAATGATTTTCAGCAACGCGTACAAGTGCCAGAGGCTCTCATAAGTGTCGAAAAACAAAGAAACACTTTTTTTTTTATCACTTCCAGTTTTCCTGTAACCTACAACTCATGTAGATTTTGAAACTTAAAAAAAACCATCAGATATGTAAAATTCACAATTAACATACAAGACGCCTTTTGTCGAATCCTTTGTCTCATTTCGAGCCCTCAAAATATTTTTGCTAATAAACAAAAAAAGGAAAGTCGAAATATTTTTATAGTTACATTATACCTGGAATGATGTTTTTTAGAATCTTCTATCTAGTTTTCAAAGTTTACAAAAAACAAAGCTATGCCAATGACAAGGACTGAACTGCATATGTATTTGCACTTGAGATAACCTCTAATTTCTCGGAAAGATAAGAATCTTTCCAAATATCTGTTTTCATCTTATACGATATTTTCAATTTTACAAGGATAATAATATTCATTAAAATATTCAATTTTTTCCAATCAACAATCTTGACTAAAAACATTCGTATACACAAAGGTGTGAATGTTAGGTTAGGTTTGCAATTTTGTAATAATTTCATAAACTCACCACAAGAAAAAACGATTCTTTTTTTATCAAAGTCTCTCGCTGACTAATGCAATCAAAAATATTGCACTCTATTGCTACAATATGTACTATTTACAGGGTATTTGATTAATTTACCGGAGCACTACATTCACACTGAACGCTATCACATGTACATATACATGAACTGAATAAACTGAACACATAAGTTACAATCACCAATGAAAAACGTATTTAATTTCTAAAACTCTTTTATTTCATACTTAAATTTAACTACCAACGCTTATAATATAAACAAATTTCATTTTTTCTTAGAAATAATAGAAAAATAACTAAAAAATGACATTAACCTCAAAATTAAAGCATTTCTCGGAAGAAGTCCCAATAATGGTAGATTTAACTTTTTCGCGGGCAATTCAAATCGTAGAATAGAAAAATGTTTTAAATTAATAAACAAATCTTCTTTCACATGAACAGAAAATTAAAAAAATAATTTTTTTCAAAAAATATTCTTTTTTTGTTAAGAAATGAATTAAAATTTAAAATAATAAAGGTTGTATGTGACATTTATAGTCTCATAAAATCAACGAAAGTGAAAATAAGAGAGAAAAAGTAAATTATTAAGTCAATTCTGTTTTCATAATTTGTTTTATCCTCAGTTTATATTATTTCTGTAATTTTATTTATTATTTAATGTTCTTAAATTATTAATTAATGTATTCGTGTATTCTTACTATTGTTTTCTGTATTATTTTTTAAAGACTTCCTGAAGAGGAAATCGTATTGATTTCGAAACGTAGGAGTATTTTTTCGTATTAAAAACCACTTGTCCGAATATATTCATGTAATTTATTACCTACTATTCTAATAAATAATTAATTTGTCAATTATCAACTAAAGAAAAATCCTATCTATTCCAGGTAAATTAAGATAGAATCTATAGTCCAAAAAAAGGAGATTCAAACTAAAGAATGTGTTCGAGATAAAAAAAGAAGTCAAATTGATTGAAAAAACTAACCGAAATCATGACGGACGTAAAGCAAATTGAGATTTCGCAATCTCAACCTCAGCAACAACAACAGCAACAAGCTCAACAGCAGCAGCAACAACAAATGATGATTGTGACACACGAAATGCAACAGCAAAATGTTCAACAACAACACGTACAACAGCAATCGCAGGCTGTTCAACAACAGCAGCAAGTACAACAACAACAACAACAAAATCAACAAGTACAGCAAGTACAACAGGTACAGCAAGTTCAGCAAGTACAACAAGTCCAACAAGTTCAACAGCAACAAGTGCAACAACAACAGCAAGTTCAACAGCAACAACAAATGCAAGTACAACAAGTTCAGCAAGTTCAACAGCAGCAAGTGCAACAACAACAAATGCAAGTACAACAGCAAGTTCAACAGCAGGTTCAACAACAAGTACAACAGCAAGTTCAGCAGCAAGTTCAACAACAGCAAAATCAACAACAACAGCAGCAGTCAAATGGTCAACATAATGTCGTACCTACACAAGTTCAAGTACAACCTCAAGTTGCAGCCATTATGCCTCAACAACAGGTATGAATATTCTTTTAACTTTTTTAAATTTAGTACCTTTTTTACTGAATCAAAAAAAAAGTGGCAAAGTTTTAATGATTTTTTTTAAATAGGGCGGAACGACAATTACGACAATGGCTGCTCATCCCCAAGCTGTGCAAGTTATTCAACAACCGATTCAAAGCCAAGCCTATCACTTACAACAACTGTACAATACTCAAGGGGGACCTTTAATCATGCCAGGGAATTTAGCTCTTCATCCTGCTGGAATCAATCCATCATCTATTCAGGTAAATTAATATCTCTCTAAACTGTCAAAAAAAACGATTCATATCCTTTAACTAATAGAAAAAATTTTCTATTTTAATATAATTTAGGAAGTCTGCTGTTGAAAGTTAAAACCTAGTAACCGCATTTTCCGTAAGGTTTATAGAACTTGAAACTTAAGGAAAATGCGGTTACTAGGTTTTAACTTCGAACAGCAGAAGTAAAAAGAAAGAATTTATTTTCTTGAAAATCGGCATTTAGTTAAAAAGACCCTAAAGTTAGGGAAAACTTATTTTAGTTGAAAAGTCCCTGAAGTTAGTCAAAAACTTATTCGCAGTGTTTAGAGATGAAAATGTCACTAATTTCACTTCTTTACTCGTCAATAGTGTGAAATTAGTTTTTAGGGCACTTTTTAAACCTAAAATCTTTCAAAAACAAATAGTTCCTTTTCGCTCCTGGAAGAAAAAACGACTATCGACGCCAACTTCAGACAGCTCAATTGAACGGGAATTCTGATTGCGAAGAGAAACTTGAATTTCAATATTCACAGGTGATAACTGCGGGTAAACCATTCCCGTCGGCAACGCAATTAACGCCTCACATGCTAACCACAGCATCCAATCCTGGACAAGGTGGCGGTCATCCTGGATCTGGTGGAACCAAAGTCCAAGGATTCCTAACTGGCTATTTACCAGTACCTACTTCGACCGCTGGAGGTGGACAAACCGTTGTGTTCGGTCATCATGGAGTTCTTGGCTCACCACAGCCACCACAGTCCATGCCCCAGCAACAACAGCAGAACAACAATAAACAGGATCAAGTACAAAAAGTGCGAATTTATTTCATTTTTTATTGTTGCTCAAAATCTCATTGTAGAGTTAGTTTAAGTGAAAGTTAACTTTGATTAAGTGGAAGTTAAACTTTGGTTCAGTGGAAGTTCACTTTAGTTTAGTAAAGTTTTTTTTAAAACAATTCACTTACCGAATTCCTGACGATTTAGTACACTGCCTGTGCACCTGGAACACCTTCTGGAGGACGAGGTGGAGGAATGCAGTTTGCTCCCTGGCAATTCGCCCCACAAGTCGCCTGGACAGGTTTGCAATCGCCAACCACTCTCTTGACTGCAGCACCAAACCAAATATTCATCCGAGGACCAACGCAGCAGGATATGTTCATTCAAAATCCTCAACCGATCCAAGCCCACAATGGTTTGTACTTCATCATGTTCTGAAACTAAACAAAAAATAAAATTATACATGACTGATAATTATTCCTTTTTAGCTCTAGCTGCGCAGCAACAAATTCAAGGCATGCAACAAATCACAACTGCAAGCGGAAAACCGCGAGTAATGGAAATTCAACAGCAGCCACAGCAACAAGGAAAACCAAGCTCTAGTGGACAGAGACCACTGAGTATTCTTCCATCCTCCCTACAAGGATTACAAGCCGCCAATATCCGTCCTGCCAGTTCCGTCTCCACTCAAACAGTTCACGGAGTACAAACAACGGTATACTTTTATAATTTAATTTAAAAAATACATCCTGAAAACGCCATAAGTTTTTTTTTCCTTTTTCGCTTATTTATTAAATTCTCAGTGTCTACTGATGACTCAGAGAAATTGATAAATTTATTATTATATTCTTTTTGCAACACGCGACACGTGAGGGAAGTTGTTTTGTTTTTGAAAAGATAAAAAATGTAGAGAACCGTTTTCGATATTTTTTGCATTCAGACTGGCAAAGGAGGTGGCGGTGCTGGTAAAGGCCGTGGTAAGCCAGTGGTTCGCACAAGTCCCGGTCCAAATGCTGCAATAGCAACAACAAAAACCGATGCGGCTAATCAAACTAAATCCAATGTACATCATGCAACTATGATAATGCAACAACAACCTGTCGTGAGCAATAGTGGCGTCAATAAAATACTTATTACTGCAAATACTTCCGTTGCAACTTCTGCGCAACCACCTGGCTCACCCATGTCCACTGCTGACAAACAAAATTTCGGCCCTCAAAACAAAACAGTTATGCAATCACCACAACAGACACAGCAGCAAGTACAACAAACAATGCAACAGCAACATCAACAGGTCTTCATTCAACAGATGCAACATATCCAGCAACAGCAGCTCCAACAACAGTATCAACAACAGCAATCCTCTCAGCAACAAATACAACCCAAACCAATGATGGGTGAGTGGCAATTTTCAAAGAATAATTCATATTGCAATATCCAATTCAAAACAACTAAAATAATACTAATATTAACTTCTCTTGATTGATGTAATAATAATTATAATAAGCAAAATAGAAAAAAACGATAACAATTGATTGACCGAACTGTTTATATTTTTTCCAGGCGGTATGGCCTTGCAGCAGCAACAGCATCACCAACAGCAGACGAATGTTGTACTTGGAGGAGAGCGACCAATAATGCCCGTCGTCTCGATGAGCGGAGTTGGAGTGGCGACGACTCTGCAGATGAATCAAGTCCCTCAGTCTCCGATGACAACCGTTCAACAACTACAATTACCGGTATGAAGAAGTCTAAAAATTATTCATCACTAGTTCTGCTATATCTCGAGGGGGTTATTTCACGTGACAGCTATTTCTAAATCAAAGCAACGCAATTTGTAAACATAAACTTATAAGTTAAAATAAAATTGAAAACTTATATTAAGACCTGTCACATGGAATTACTTTTTTAAATTCAAAAAATTCCAAACAGAATTTGAAATTTACATTTAAATATAAATTTTGACGAAAAATATTAATCAACATTACAATAAAGCAGCAAACTCTTAATTCGGCAATGATGACGAATCATTTGGTGAATGGAACAACGCAAGTGCACACAATGCCAATGGTAACACAATCTGCGGAACAACCTCAACAGCATACACCTCAACAGCAGGATATCACAACATCTCAAATTGTTGTCACTTCTCTGGATCGAAATCAACAAACGGACACAAATATTCAGACAATGAATCAACAGCCTGTTCCTAGTGAAGAGGCTCTAAAATCAACTCCCAAGAAGAATGATATGCCAATCATTGAAGAAGCACCAATCCCAATGGATACGACAGGTAAGAATTTGGAGAAATCTTTGTGCATCAACAAAAATTAAATTCACACTTTACACATGAGGCTCAACTCCGCAACGTTTTCAAAAACGAAATATTTTTCAACTTAAATTCATCTCTAGTTTTCGTGTGCTTAGATTTTTAAGAAAAATTGTGACTTAACAAACAATTGCTCAAAAATAACGTCAATTTGAAGACAAAATTAAATACTCGTAGCATTTTTCGTTTTTAAAAATGTTGCGGCCTTCAGCCTCATCTTTACACTTTCTAATTAACAACACGTCTACAATACCTAAAAAACCAGGAAATGTCGGGAATTTTGTTCCATTTTTACTTTTGAATATTGAAAAAAATTGTTGTTCTACATAATAGTTTGACAGTATTTTAGGTGTAAATTAATATCGAAAAGAGTAAAAAGAACCAAATAATCAAAATATTTTTCAGACTATCTGTAGACAGTCAGATTAACTTTTATGCAAACTTTTGAATTTGTGAATGATTGAATTGAATATGACACACGGAATTGAAATTTTCCTTTATTTTTAGAAGTGGATCAAAGTAAACCTGCCTTGAAGGAGGATGTGGAAAGTGTGACAGGAAAATTAGATGATAATATGAATAACAATCCATTGGCAGGTTTGGCGACAGCTGTCAATTCAATAACGAATGGAATAACCGGTAGCGAGGAATCTACGGTTCCAATATCATTGCCAATGAATGTTAATAGTAAACAAACTCCGTTGAAAGCGATGGTGAAACCTCAAGTACTCACACATGTGATCGAAGGATTTGTGATTCAAGAAGGTAAATTTTACTCTTTGCTTATTTGCCTATTTGCTAAATTGCAGATCTCGGATATTATGAATTTTTCACCTTTTTCAAATATTTTTTAATAATTGCGATTTTTTGGACTTATTTTCAAAATTTGCGACTTTTTCGACTTTTCTACCAAGTATTGCAACAAAATACTTCATTTTTATTATATATAATTGAATTTTTGTATTTAAATAATTCAACTCTCGAAGAACTATCAGAAAATTATTAAAAACGTTTGATTTAGAGATGAAGTTTAGTTAAAAATTGTAAAAAATAATTGAATTTTGAAAGAACAAAAGTTGCAATTTTTGAAAATTATTTTTCAGAACGTTTTAAATTGAAATTTTTAAAATTTTATTTCTCGAGGAAAAAAAAGAAGTATTTATTTAAAAAATTATTGAAGTTTTGAATAATTGAATTTAGAAATCAGGGAAATGCAAAATAAAATTTTTGTAACAATACTGAATTTAATAAACGACTTTTTCGACTTTTTTGTATTTTTAATCGACTAAAACGAGTTTTTTTTGCGCCTTAAAGTCGATCCGAGACCTGAAATTGTGATTAAATTTTTTTGGAAATAAATTTAAACAATAATAATAAAATAAATATGATTTGACAGCTTCTGAACCGTTCGCTATCAACCGAACAAATCTCAATGGTTCCCTGAGTCAAGATTCAATTTCTAATCGCAATAGTGAAAAGGATGGTTATGAGGAGCCACCAAGTAAGAAAATTTTTACTTTTATTTTTTATTAGAGATTTTTTTGGAAAACGAAAGTAGTTTTTCTATTAATTTTTAATTAAGGCATTAAATAAAATTATATTTACAAATTTTTCTTTAATTTCAATTCTAGGAAAGAAAGCTAACTACACAAATGACGAAAATATGGAGAATAATCATAATAACAAATGTGAAGCCTGCGGAAAACAAATGGATGAACAAACTGGAAAACTCAGGAAAGACAAGAGATTTTGTTCATCAATATGCGGAAAGAGGTATGTAAATTATAAATATCTTCACTGAAATTAATCTCAAAATAAAGTTTAAAAATAAAGATCAAATTGAATTGAATTTTATCGAATTTTAAATCAAATTCTTTTTTTCAGCAAAAAACGAGAAAATAGGGATCGTGACGCAGGAGAAAAACAATGGACGGAAATGGAAATTGACGCTAAAAATAATGAAATGGAAGCAATTAAGAAAAATGGAGAGGATAAATCATTAACGACAAGCACAACGCCGAGTATAGACGATTCTTTACCAAAAATAAATCCTGTCAAGTGGACGGTAATAACTTTTCTTTAACTCTTGTAATATTTTCGCATTCTTATTGCAAACAAAATTGGATTTCTATTCATATTGTCCTTGAAATTATATTCTACTGTCTAATTCAAAAGGAATTGAATAAAAAAAATAATTTCTTCAATTTTTATAGGTAAACGAAGTCTGCGATTTTATTCGAAATCTACCTGGTTGTGCGGATTATGCAGAAGATTTTGCCATTCAAGAAATTGATGGACAAGCATTAATGTTGCTGAAAGAGGATCATCTCATGTCAGCAATGAGCATTAAATTGGGTCCAGCATTGAAGATAGTTGCAAAAATTGATTCAATGAGAATTGATTCAATGTCCAGTATAAGCCCCGTGTCGAGCAATAACATTTAAGTGTATAATTCAGGGATAGTGCAAAGAAAAAAAGAAAAACAATCTTGAAAACGTTTTTACAAAAACAGGGTTCGAGGATGTTCAAATTGTTAATATTGTTAATATTTATGAAATTCAGTTGAATTTTCAAATTTAATTTAAAATTATTTTTTTAAAAAAAAATTATATTTCGAGTAAACTTTTTCTTTTCTTGTAGAACATTTTGGACCATGTTTTGTGATCATTTTTTATCAGAAGGAATCTCGAACAATGATAAATAAACATATCTAGTGATTTAAGTTCGAGATTTAAAAAGAAAAAATATATAAAAAAAAACTTTTGTGACTACCGTGCGTGTATCGGAAATATTTTTAAAGTCAACAACTTTAAAATGTGCGTCAAATTCGTTGAATACGAAAAGAACTGAGTTCTGAGTCTAATTTTTAAGTTCACAACAATGTACATATTATAGATAAGATGTTTATTTAAAAAAGAAAATGCAAATTTTATAGAAAACACGAGTATAGTCAAAGATAGTATATCTGTTTTCGTGATTTACTTTTAATTGATAAAAATTAATGAGGCAGCTGTTTCATTTTATTTTCATTTATTTTAACAGTAAAAACAAACTTGAATTAATTAAAATGCATTTAGTTTATTCGAAATAATATCAAGATAGTTAAAAAAAAAAAACGAAGTACTATCTTCGATATGTCATGTGAATTCTTGTCAATAGCAATCTAATAATTATAAAATAATTTTAAGCTTTTTTCAAATAATGCCGAATATATATAAATATATATATTTACCTTTTATACAAAATTTGCGTAAAAGTTCGGTAAAGATTTAGATAATGAAAACACATTTTTGTAAGTATGTCTTAAAACCGTTAAACTGGTAACACTGTACATAAACAAAAAAATTGCGATATGTAAATCCATCATCATTTACAAACATTACTCAGGGTCTACTGTTTTTTCTACACTCCTTTACACATCTACGTATGCATCAATAAATATTTCTAAGTTTTTTTTACAAAATGCTCTTTTAATTTAACTATAATTATAGTAAATCATAAACTAAAAATTAAAATTTGCTTAAAGTCCGTAAAAGTCAGTTTTTTCGAAAAAAAAGGTCCGTAAAGTCCGTAATTTGAATGAAAAAGGACAAAAAGTTCGTAAATTGTACGATATAATTTGAAGAATTTCAGAGAAATTACAAATGATTGCAAAAACTCAATTATTTTCAAAAATAATAAAATTCTTCGCTGAAATTCAATTATGTTCAATAATTTTTAAAAATTCTCGTCAAAATTTCAATTATCTTTACAGAAATAATTAAATTTTTCTCCAAAATTCAATTATTTTCAAAAATTTTAATCAAATTCTTGGCAAAATTTCAATTATTTGATTTAAAAATTTTCCTTAATTCAATGATTTTTAATATCTACTATTTTAATAAAATTTTCCAACAGAATTCAATTATTTAAAATAATGTTTATAAAATTCTATGCAATCATTTAATTATTTACATAAAATAGTAAAAATTTCACTGGAATTCAAATTTTTTAAAAATTTCATCGCATATTTAATTGAAGAATTTACGAATAATTGAAATTTCGTAAAACTAAATAAAAGAAGAATTTTATTTAAAAATTCTTAAAAAAAAAAAATAATTAAATTGAAATGATGAAAATAATTTTGAAGAAGTTACAGTAAAAATATTCTTATAATATAAAATAATGATTTTATCTGTGGACCATCTTTCTATTAATTGTTATAAAACAAGAAGAAATCGATGTTCGATATCTTCATGTTTTATAGTTATGAAAAAATTAAATTTAGGTATAGTTTTAAGTGAAATGTTCTTGGACTGATTATTTTTTTGTCAGTAATTGGTTTGTAAATGGTCCGTAATTTTTAATTTTCGGTCCGTAAAGTCCGCATTTTTAAATACTTTCACTTGCTCAAGACCTGTTTCTCTGATGTGACACAGAAATTTTACCAAAATCTAGCAATCATTCATAGGAGAATTTGAAAAACTTATTTTTGTTTTAAGTATTAAAAATTTTTATTAAACATAATTTAATCTCTTTTCTAATCATTTTTATTCTAGCATTTCCTAGTTATTAAATTAAATTCTGAAATAAACTTTTAACATTGATTATGGTAGAATAACCCTTGTTATTATTACAATAACCCTTTGAAACGAGGAAATACAATTAAACGAAGAAGAGAAAATCTCATTCGAGTAAGAGAATATATGCTAGTTTGGAATTAGATAACATGTAATTTTATAAACTAATGACTGTGAAAGATTTACTTTCATAACTACGTTGCAGAAAAATCTTCTTCTGTTGCTTTTCCTTCAGCAAGAAATTCAGCTTCAACTTTTTCACGTTCAACTCTTAAGGCAGGTGAAACATTGAATTTAAAATTGTAAAATCTTATGCAGAAAATCACTCCACATATACCAGAGAAAGCCCAGATTGTTTTAATAGCTCTTCTATGGAGGTTATCGTAAAATATTGTCTTCCTTGACCTTGACATCTTTGAGTCGTTACAGTACTTAAAAGTTTATCTTTTTCCGAAATGTTTCATTAAAAAATTATGTCTATCCTAAAAAAATTGTTTTAATAAATAAGGTTATAATTTTTTAAGAACTGTATTTACAGTAAAAAAAAAATATAAACTATTGAGATTTTCTACAATTGCTAAAACACTTTTTGAACAAATAGTTTAATTTTTAAATTTTTATTAACTAGATAGTAAAATAATAATAAACTGTGAAAATAAACTTTTTAAATGAACCTTTTGCAGTATAAAAACAATACAATAAAAAAGATTCCTCAAAAATTTAAAACGTTTATTTGTAAAATATTGAATGAAGGGCTATAGAAATTTTTTGTGCCTACTTACGTAAATTGTGAAGAATTAAGAACAACGTTATTGAGTAAATTTAAATAATAAATAGTTCTTTCTCTCCATTAAATGTCAAAATTAGTCAAAAATTAAAGGGACATTTGAAATATAACCTTAAAATACAAGAACAATTTTTTTTGCGAAGTGCGCCGGTTTTCTGTTTAGAGCAACATTCACCAGAGGGACAAATATTTTTCAAAATTTTGATTTTAAATTCTTTTTGTAAACTTCGAGGAACTTAAGTAAAGCACACACTTTATGTAAACATTCAACCTTATCTAGAATTATTTCATTAATAAAATATAACATACTTCGACAATTTTAACTCCGAACATTAAAAAATCTCAATCAATGTTAAAAGTTTACTTCCGGAAAAGTTTTTTGCACGCAAAATATGAGGTTATGTTCGATTTACATTTTCAATTTTTAGTTGATATCGTTGATATAAATGAAACAAATCAATGCAAACAATTTAAACTGATTTTAAAAAATCCTTAAAATGAATTACTGTGTAATAATAAATGATTTTATGTATTTTATTTGCATAATCAATGAGCGACAAAAATAATTTTCTAAGTTCTCGACAAATTCAATGAAAATTGACCCAAATGATAAACAAATAAGATAAAATTGCTTTGCCAATACTTACAGAGCCTCTAAATGAATAAACGTTGAATTGATCACTGAATTTAAAATATTTATATTACTTTTTCACAAAATAAAATGAAAACTAAACACTCAAAGTAAATCAACATTTTTGTTCGACGTTCTCTTTGGGAATGCGCGGGAAAAAACAATTGTTTGCCTCCTACCGACGCCAGGCGGCGCCAACAACCATGTTCTAATTATTGGACAAATTCCCTGACTTTATGAAAAATACAAAACTCCAAAAATATTTCACTTATTAACTAATAATTTCTTCGTTAATTTCAACTTTGAATAATAAAAAATATCCAATATTGTTAAAAAGCTGAATTTCGGAATTGTAGTTATGGAAAATGTGAGGTTATGTTGCCGATATGCACGTTTCCAACTTTTAGCTATTCTTTTCATTATAGAATCGTTATAGTAAAACAATTAATAAAAGTGATAAAACAAACTTTTAAATATGGATTAATTAGTAATAGTAAATATTTTTTAGCATTTTTCGCATAATGACACAATAAAAACTATATTTTTATGTTCTCAACGCATTCAACGACAATTGACACACAAGATACAAATGTAAGAGAAAATTACCTTGGTTATAGTTACATCGCTTCCAAATGTATAAATTCTTCTTTTATCACTGAATTTAAAAACTATTATGTTACTTTTTCGAATAAAACAATAAAAAACTAAACACACAAAGTAAATGAACACTTCTTGTCGACCTCCTCCTTGGGAATGCGCGGGAATGAATGTTGCTTACCTACCACGAACTGCAGATGGCGCTTTGCTGTGTTCTGATTGGTGGACAAATTTCCATACCGAATTATGATTGGTAAGCGAATTATTTCCAAATTTCTCACTGGCGGATGAATCTTCCCGCGAAATTATTCATTATTTAAATATTGCAATAACAATTCTAATTATTTATTTGTTCTATTTACTTATTTTAATTATTTATTTATTCTATTTACTTATTTTAATTATTTATTTATTCTATTTATATATTCTAATTATTTATTTATTTTATTAACATATTCTAATTATTTATTTATTCTAATTATTAATATAATGACGAATTCAAAGAAAATTCATTATTCAAAGAACACAAATAATTTTCCAATTAATATATTCTATTTTGTATTCAAACACAAAAAAAAAGGAAAAATCAAATAAAATTTTATGTTTTGTAAATTTTATTTATAATCAAATCTTATACACCTTTAAAATAATAAAGATCGCATTTTTTAACGTTTTATAAAAATACAGATATGCATATTCAAATTCATTCACAATATCAGTCATACGTAACTTTCACGCACAGATTTAATTAATATAATACCTTTTACAATAGAATTGTTTGTTATACAACATTCAACTTTAATTGTAATATATATGTACGTCTATTTACAAACTTTGAAATAAGATAAAGATTTTTCGAGAACATTTGGGTCGCTAGCGAAGCATTTATCGAGCAAACTAATTGAACATTTTTTAAATTGAAAGAAATAGATAAATTTTTTAAGAAAAAGAAAAAAAAGGAGGAACTCGATAAAAAATACTTTTTTTCTACACTACACAGAAATTTTCTTAGATTAGAAAAATCTGAGGCCGTTATTCGACAATATCACATATTTTCTTTTGTTTGTTTCTTTCGCATGAAAACGACAAAAATTGTACATAATTTGCAATTATATTGCTTACACGATTATAGTGAAATATTATTTTATTACAGTAATATTTTTTTTCTATTTTCCACTTTAATTTTCTAATCCAAGAATTTTGTAAAGTATTTTTTTTTGAAAAACTTTTTTTGTTTTCAAAACATATTTTAAATATGAAGTTAAACATAATTTTTTTTAGGAAAACAAATAAAAATTTCAAGTTATTTGAAAATAACAGATTTTTCTCTTCACTCTGATTTTAATTTACATTATTTATATAAATATTTATAGTTTCTGTATTTTTTTTGTGATTATTATAAAATTTGACGGTCATTATTTTTTTATTCAGTTCTGGTCTACGTCTATAAGTTATTACTTAACAAATCCGGAACTCGGAACATCTTCTAAACAAATATATAGTATATTTTCTAAAGACTTTAAAGAATATTCTATGTACATTTAATACCGTGACTACGAATGAAAATAAATAATTGGATGCAAAACGAAATGAATTAGAATGACATACATTTCGGAAGCTCACATTTCCATGACGATCAAAACAAAACAATTGGCTTCAATTTAACAATAAACTTTCTGGTTAGCTTCCAATTAAATGAAAAAGAAAGAACATTTTTAAACTTCGCACAAAAATTAAAAAAAAAACATTCTTAATTAAAAAAAATAATAATATATAAATCGATCATTTTTCAACAAAATGAAAAATGAAAGAAAACATCAATTCAAGACAATAAAATTATATTGCAATAGAAATAATCGTGCCAAGTTTATTAATGTAAAGTCTGAGAAAAATTCATTTTTTTAATTTTGACTAATTTAACAAAATCATTTTTTATAAATTGTTAATTTACTAAACAAAAAAAAGAAGTAAATGTCAATTTATAAGAAAATCGAAATCAACGATATTGTTTTCGTATACAATAAAATTGTTTATAATTTACATTTTAATCGACTAACACATCTCATAATGTTTCTAAGTAATTTCACAGTGCATTTAAAAAAAAATTCTGAACAAACAAAGCAAAATAGAAACTCTCAACTAGTATTAACAGTGGAGCATTTTTGATTATTTATATATCTAGATATTTATAAATTTTTAATCAAAAATATAAAACGTCATGGTTTTGAAAAAAAAATAAAATAAAAATAAACGCAATACTTTTTATTGCAAAATGAAAAGAAAAAAAAATTAGATAAACTGAGAAAAATTAATGGAACATATTAAAGAAAAAAATCGAACGTAAAACTCAAAAATTCGTTGGTCACAGTTACCTGTTTGATAAATGTTTGAGTGGTCCGAGACTTAAAATTGAAGTGGCACCAAGAGCTCCTAAATTACAAACATTCGGATTTCGCGCACCGTCTATTGTTACTATTGGTAAACCAAAATAGCCTCCAGTTTGAGCACTCAGCTGAGACAAGGGAATGAAACTTTGAATTCCAAGATTCGAGAGACGATTAACGACGTGCGGTGATTTTAAATCAACAACTGGCAATGCTAATTCAATCCCACCATTCTGTAAACCTGAATCTACCTCCTTGTGATAGGTCTGTTTGTGCGTCATTAAAGCTGAAGCCGTTGGATATTGTGCAGGACACAAATTACATCTGAAATAAATCGTACATATAAATATCAAAATTTTTTCGAATTAAATACAAAAATGAATAATTTATTGAATAATTGAATGTTTCTTAAAATTCAATTCCCATAAAGAATTTTATCAACGAATTTTTAAATAATTGAATTCTTTCGACGAATTTTAATAAAATTTTCAAGATTAATTACATTTTTCGAAGAATTCGATTAAAATTGTATCCAAAATAATTTAAATCCTGCGATGAGTTTTATTATTTAAAAAAATAATTAAATTAAATTAAAATTGTATTAAAAATAATTGAAATTCTGCGATGAGTTTTATTATTTATGGAAATAATTAAATGTTTGCGTACAATTTTATTAAAATTTATTTTAAATAATTGAATTCTTTTGGGAAATTTATTAGAATAGTAGATTATTGAAAATCATTGAAATGAAGAAAATTTTTGAAAATAATTGAATTTTGGAGAAGAATTTTGTTATTTATAAAGATAATTGTGATTTTGACGAGAATTTTTTTTTTAAGTTTTTAACATAATTGAACTTGTAAGAAGAATTTTATTACTCTTGAAAATAATTGAATTTCTGTAATAATTTGCAATTTCTCCAAAATTAAATTTTTTTCCCGCGTGTTTTAAATTAAAATTCTTCTATAAATCCATTATTTTTAATAATATTTGAAAAAGTTCTTTGAGAATTTTCAAATTTATTTATTTACAATTCAATTTTCCAAAATTTCAATTATTAGGAAATTCTTCAATTAAATATATATTAGAAAATAAAAGCTTCAAAAAAATAATTTTAAGTAAAATTGAAATAAACTTTTTCAAAAAATTAATTCTTTTACAGAATTGTTAGTTAAAGGTATGAAAAATTAAAATTTTCAAAGATTTTAATTTTAAAATCTTTTCAAAATTCAATTATTTCTAAAAACTCTCGCTATAATGCTTTTTATATTCAATTATAATCTAAAATTTTAAGTAAAATTAATTTATAAATCAATTGTTATTAGAAAATTCTACTAGAATTCAATTATTTAAATAAAAAAAAAACTAATTTATTGAATCCTTTTAGAAAATTGTATTTAAATAGTAGATATTAAAAATCTTTGAATTGAGTAAAAGTTTTTAAAATAATTGAAATTTTGCTAAAAATTTTATTGAAATTTTTGAAAATAATTGAATTTCGGAGAAGAATTTTATTATTTCTAAAGATAATTGAAACGTTGACGAGAATTTTAAAAAATTTTTGAAGATAATATAATTTCGACGAAGAATTTGATTAGGTACTTTTGAAGATAATTGTGTTTCTGCAATCATTTGTAATTTCTCTAAAATTCTCCAAATTATATAGTACAATTAACGAATTTTCGTCCTTTTTCTGTTAAATTAGTATAAACTATAAAGATTTAAAAGTACAGGTTAAATAAATGTTTGGCGTGAAACTTTCGCCTAAATCTATTTTGTCAAAAATGTAATTTAAATGTTCAGGAAAGTTTTGCGCTAAATTTTCGTCTATAATAGATTTATCCGATAATGTAATTTAAATGTTAAGGAGAGTTTCAAGCTAAACTTTCTAGAAAATTTGACGCTAAATATTCCAAACATTGCAAACAAATGTTTAATAAATTTTTTCATTTCGACATTTTCATACCTTCGATATTATATTTGCAAAATATAATTTTTTTTAATTATTCAGCGAAACTTTTAGTCGAAATATAATCCATTGACCTTTTTTCCATTTTCCAAATTACGGTAAATATTTTTAACTAACAATGATAATAATTACTTAAAATACTATATACTAAAAACTAATTTTTAAATGAAAATTGTATACTAACTTGTGTAAGAGTTTACTAGTTGCTCGGTGATTTGCCATATGTTGCGTGAGCATTTCTTGATTTTGAAATCGTTTGTCACACACTTGACATGTTAATAATGCCCTGCGAAAAAAATTTATATTTGTTAAAATTAGAAATTCAAATAATTTCCATACGTTCTCAATTTTCACAAATTTTATTATCAATACTATCAGGATTGTCACAGATCAAAGGATAAAGTCAGGAAAAATGAAACCGGTCAGAGAAATCAAAAAAATGTCAAGTAATTTTATCAAAAGTAGTGGAAAAATGTCAAATTTTCTAAAATTACTAAAAAATTCTGCTTTTTGGTTAAAAATTTTTAAAATACTTAAAAACTTTGAATTCTCTTGAATTTTTTTTCAATTTGAATATCAATTAATTTTAAAATAATACCTCGATTTTTATACAAAAATATATGGCAATTTGAATAGAAAAATAGTTTTTTTTCAAAATCTTTGATTTAATAATGAATTAATTATTATAAAAAAAATTACAGAATCTAAATCTAAACGTTGTGAACTTCTTAAAAGTGAAGGGAAGGAAACGTCAAAAATCAGGGAAATAAAAATAAAATTATGAAACTAACCTCGGTGGTCGTCCACGTCTGACAAGAGGTGGTGCAGGTGGAGTGTCCTGAGTGAGATCTACCGTTGGTGGTCGTGGTGGCCTCTCAACTTCATTGCTAGGCGGTTTACTTTGTTTATTCTGAGGAACAGCAAACTGTCCCTGCTGTTCCTGTTGCTTTCTCTGTGAGCTCGCCGGAATAATTGATATTGCTGAATTTAAATTTAAAGCCGGTATATTTTGCGCCGGCGCTGGTCTCTGTGATTGTTGGGCCTGTTGTTGTTGTTGTTGCTGCTGTTGTTGCTGTTGTCCCGACACTTGCTTCCCTTGTTCACCAGATTTACCCTTTTGCATCGCTGGTGTAACTGTAATTCCTCGCGCCGCTAAAACATTAGCAACTGCTTTTGCATCCGGCTTTTTTCCACCAGTCGTCGTTGTATTCTGCACTTGAGCTGGAGCGGAACCTTTATATTAGTGACAAAAAAAAAGAAACAAACAAACGTTTTTTTTTCTCTCAATTTGGTGCACGCCTTTTTCTATATATATACATGGAGTAAAAATATTCTTTTTCTTTATTTTTTGAAAGAGCAAAATAAAATCAAATGTGCACGAAAAGAAAAGACATGCGATTTTACATTTTTTTTTTTTAAATTAGAAAGTATGTACATTGGAAAAATTAAGACTCTGGACTATTTACTTCAGTAATTTAAAGACAAAAGATGAATCTTTTGTCTTTAAATTTTTTCATTGTAATTATAAAAAATAAACATCAATAAACAAAATTGAGAATACAATTTTGAAATTCTAGTATCAAAGATATAAATAAAATGCAGAGAAATAGACGAAGCGTATTTGAAAAGATTAATTGTAGTGGAAAATTACTAACCAGGTTGTCGAACACTAAGTGTAATTGAATCGGTGAGATGAATTGTGGAATCACTTTTGTTTGATTGAGTTGTAGCACCTTGAACATTTTGTATCACAGGAACACCGTCATTTCGTTTTTGTTGGGCGATAACATGACAGTCGGGATCTTCGTTTCTATCAGGTAAAAGAACGTCCATTCTTCTTTGTTTATTAACATTTGCATTATTCATTTGTTGCATTTGTACCGGTTGCTGCATTGGTCTCTTTAAACGTTGACGAGGCATTGCCTGAGGAGGCGGTATCCTGGGAGCTCTGAAAATAATTTCAATTAAAAAAAATTAGTAAAATTTACTTCGAACGTAGCAAAATTTACTCCGAAAGTAGTAAAAATTACCAGAAAAGCCTAACGAGAAATTTTTTACTATAAAAGTAGTAAAAGTTACTTTATATTCTTCAGAAAATTCAGAATTTTCTTATGAATTTTAAAAATTTCATTTTTTTTCAGTACTTTTAATGAAATTTCCTGACAAATTCTACTTTCCTTGAATTCCCTTATTTCCCTGAACTGTGGCAACCCTGTCCAAGAGGAAGTAAAAAAAACCTAGTTAAAAATGAAAAATTACCGTGGGGTTTGTACGATCGTCGAATATCGGCTCCGTGGCATTTGAGGATGCATCTGGGGTACTCCCATCTGCGGACCTGGATAACCAGGTGGTGGTGGTCCATATTGCGGGTACATATGAGGCATATGAGGTGGATACATGCCCTGAGGTCCGGCGACTCGATACATTGGAGGCCTTCCCGGTGGTTGAATGTACATATTATTGGGAATCATTGTATTCGCTCCTGGCGGAAGAGTCGGTTGCATTTGCGGCTGAGGAAGTGGCATTCGTTGTACTTGTTGTGCCAATTGTTGAACTGGTGCTGGCAATTGATCGAAATTAACAGGAGTGATCATTTGCTGTGAATTATTGGCAAGGGGATTATATGAAGGTGAACCAGCTTGATGGGGAGATGTTCCAGGATTTTGCGGATCCACTGTCATATGCGGTGACGTTGTATTCATGTGCGGTGAACTTTGATTCAAATGCGGTGAATTATGATTCATGTAGGGTGAATTTTGATTTAAATGTGGTGAACTGCCGCTCATATGAGGCGACATTTGATTAATATTCGGCGACATTGGCGCACCGTGTATTTGCATTTTGTGAATTGACACTTCCATCGGATTGTTGAAAATTAAATTTCCACAGTCTGGAATGTTGCATTGAAAATGGCCCATTTTAGCTTTGTGAGCGTCTAATTGTGCAATGTCCTTGAATTTTTCGTTGCAAACGCGACATGTGCTCACTGTTTCGGCTAGTCTTTCTAAAGAAACGTATTCTGTTTCAAAAGTCGGTATGTTGTTTGATAATTCGTTTTGACTTTGTCGTTGATGTTCAATGAGGAAGTTTGAAAGTAAATTTCCGGTACTGTCGTTGGCTGAAGTTGAGCCAGTTTCACTGTCTTCTAAACTTGCGTCCTGTTTATCGTTCTCGTCGGTCGTTATTTGATTCCAGCTGAACGTTGAACTTCTTTGCTCACTTTCTTTATCAATTCGTCCGTCTGCTGATGATCGAACTGGTTCTGGTGCCATAATAGAAGCTTTCGGTACTAAACTTATTTCCGGTTTACTGTGTAGTGCTTGTATTACATTACTGGAACTTTCTGTATTTTCATCTTCATCGGTTGGATTTTTCTCTGGTGTCTCAGCCGTCGATCTGGAACTGATGTTATTATTAGTTTTTGAACAACTGTGTCTTTCTAACAAAATAAATAATATAAACTGAAAAAAAGAACAAAAATTGCTTACAAATTGTTGATGAAGCAGAATTGTTTCGGTTTTACAAACCTTGATTGTTCACCAAGGATCTTGAGATTTTCTATTGTTTCTCTGCATGTTTCTTCGAGATTGTCTGATTCTTCTGGATATTCACTTTCATTTACTACCTTCTCCGATGATTCATAATTGTCTCCTGCTTGTAAATCGTCTATATTCTGATCCTCTCTCTCCGAAGGATTTGCCATGTCGCTTCCAACTCCCGAATCTCCTTCATTAATATCAACTGATGTCCTTTCTGTTTCTTCCAGAGGATTCCGCGTTTCCGTATCATATTTTGCATTGTCATCGTCTTCCTAAAAATTACAATCTTTAATAAACATCAACAATTTTAACTCTTAAAGCTGAATTTTTCAAAAAATTAACTAAACTACTCCTAATTGTTAATTAAAATTTACTTATTAGTAAACGAATTTTCTGCAATGAAAAATACACGAAAAGAATCGTGCTCCCTAAAAGCTAACCTGCTGATTTAATATCACATTTTCAAACGGTTCGTTAATTTGATTTTCCACCTCATTGTCATCCTTATCTTCATTTTCTCTAAGGCCTGCCACCTCGTCTTCGTTATAATTTTCCGAATGGATATCCAAATTGCTGTTTATAACAGTAAAGTCTTCAGACACTGAAGACTTTTTCAATGTAAGCTTCAAAGAATCGGAGCTGCACTGCTTTTTCAAAGTAAACTTCAAAGTTCCCTTTTGATCAGGATCCAACCAATATTTATCGTCCTGTTTTTTCTTCACTGCTCTCGGATTTGGAATTCTTCTCAGCACAACACGAGGTTCACCCAAATGCACGTTAATATGTGATCGTAAGTCTTTCTTTTTCAAAAATTCTTGACCACAAATTTCACAATGCAACAAATCAGTCGCCAATTCATGAAGTGGAATATCCGTACTTGAGTTTTCATCTAAAATCCAAAAAAATAATTATATTGTATAATATAAAAATGTAAAATTAACAATCAAAGTAAAAATGAGAAATACAAAAATTAATATAATAGATAAACTTCTCTGATGACAAACAATATTCATCAATTAAATACTATTAAGTAAATTGAATTAATAAAAAGCATGAATATAATTAAAGTATAATTATCTAATTGTAAAAATATACATACATCATTTTCAGTGTTAAATTTCTTTGATTTTTTAGAAACTAAAAACAAATTATAATGAAATAAGCATATTTTTTTAATAAAAATGTATAAATATAACCTAAAAAACAAAATTTACAAACTAACGCTCAATGTACTATATTATGTGTTTTAGAATTATAAAACATACGCAAACATGGATCACAAATTCTCACAAATTGTTAATTTTCTCAGAAACTTTTTATACATAAATTAACAAATTATACTTTTCTGAACGTGCACATATAAATTATTCAATAACATTATTATATGAATATCAGCTTCACTTAAAAAAATATTGCAAACGAATACTTTTAATCTTTTTTATGATTTCAAGCACATAATTTTTATTTATTTCAACAAAAATTTATTGTTTTGATAAAGTTTAATCACACGCCCACAACACAAGCTTTGAGCAGCATAACGAAACAAATGACATCAAAATTTATACGCCCTTACATTAATTTACATCACTTGGATTTTGTTACGTACTGTAAGAATTGTTTAAATCGTTAAAATTGGTTAAAATTACGAAATTCCGCAATTATAAAAGAGAAATAGGAGAAATAGTAATTATAAATGCAATTTTAAGGAAATAGTGACAAAAGAATAATTAAAATTTAACTGGAAATTATTAATTTAAAATGAATTTGCATTATTGCAATAACAGTGACGTATCATTTGGGCAAATCAATATATATGTTCTTTAAAGATGCGACGCCATTGGTTGGTACAGTCGTTTTGCCTGGTTTTGCCGCGACGCCGCCATTACGTTCTGTTTCTCATCACGCAAGACGCAACAAGCTGCAACGAGCGTAAATCCATCGCGGCATTGAGAATTTCTTTTATTTATTCATATTTTGTGAATGTAAATTGTTTTCCGTAAACAAAATTTGTCCATTGAAAATATTTAGATTGAAATTAAAGGTGGAAAAAGTAGCGCAATGTCAATTATTGACGACGTCGAGTTGATCGAGGAGGTAAAAAAACGTCCATTGCTTTTCAACAATAGATACCGAAATTGTGACGAAGCAAAGGAGGAAGCATGGACCGAAATCGGTAACAAACTTAACGCAAAACGTAAGTACCATGTTAACTTGATTTTTTTAATCGTAATTTTTTTAAATTCTGTTTATAAGGGAATCAGGGGACAAACATAACCTATAATTTCTAATTTCTCTTAAATTTTTCGAGTCTCATGTACTTTTCTATAGTTTACTTTTTCTCAACTTTTAAGTTTGATTACCCCGGTGTTCTTTGTTACATTTATTAGTATCAGAATTCCTCTATATAAACTTTTTTGCGACTTAAGTTACACTGATACTTAACCGTTTTTCTATTGTTATCCAAAAAGATCTTTTTTTGCAAATAATCGTAAATTCTACTCTGCTCTACTGATAAAAACTCGTATTTATATGTTTAGAAATTAAACGAATTTGTCAAAATTACAAATTTTGTTTGCCGATATAAAATGGTGACAAAATTTATGTAATTTGCAAATTATTTTTTATTACGCACCTTAATCTTAGCGAAAACATTAATGTTTGCAATGTCAAGGTTTCTAATTCGCTTTTTATTTACTGTTTGCTTATCGCAACAGATATAGAGAACAATTTACTGGAGAAAAATATCTTCTCAATCTTATTATTTGAAAATAACAAGAATTTCATGATTCTGAATGACTACAATGATTTTCTTTCGTTAAATTTTTAAAAAATGATGTGAAAATTGCTACTTTATAATTTATAATAGAGGCAAATAGAAAAAGATCTTTAGTCAAATGGTATTTAACGAGATATTTTTAATTAGCATAAATTTAATTTTTAAAATTTTACCGCAGCCAAAGATGTACGAAGCCGATGGAGAAGTTTACGTGATAAATTCGTACGGGAAAAGAAAATAATTCTAAATAAAAGCAGAGGCAATAAAAGTCTAGAGGCAGTGGAAACGGAATGGCCCTTAATGGAAAATATGTCATTTATTTGGCAGCACATTGTTCACAGGCGAAAAAGGCGAAGTAAATTATCAAGAGATGACATAAAAAATGAATCTATCGAATTATCGGATAATTTGCCAGAAAGTGCAGAATGGTATGTTGCTTTAGATGTGGACAGAAATGATCAGAACCATGTGTCTAAATCTGAGGTCGATATGCCACCAGCAGCGAAGAGAAAACATGTCATCGATTACGAGGTAAAATTCATCAATTCTCATATTTTTCATAATCGAAAAATTATTAATTCTGACAATTGATTTTCAAATTTTAATTTTAAATTTAAATCTTTCCACTTTTAACAGGATTCGCCTATTGAGGATGTAGGAGAATTTGTTCCTGTTTCGGAAGGTGAAGAAAATTATTCCCAAAGAATGGACCAAACGGAATCATTCATCGCCGATGACAATCATTATTTCTGTATGTCAATTGCCGAAACACTGAGAAGATTTTCAACTCGTCAGAGAGCAGAAGCTAAGTTAAAAATGCAACAGTTATTATTCGACGTTGAATTTAATTATAGTTCATCTAATTTGGAGTAAATTTTTTGACAAAATGTCACGAGAAACAAACATTAAATTATTAAAAATTTGTCATTGTTTAAAATGAAAGCATCATTATTATAAATAAATTTAAAAGTTTATTACACTACGAAATGAATGGGGAATTCTGGAGCAAATCCGTGAATTTCTCAATGATTAGCTATTCAAAAATAAATTTTTCACTATTGAGAATCGTTCTAAACTTCACAATAATCTTATTAAAAAAGATTATTTTTCTTTTTTAATTCCCATCGAAAAAATTTTCTTTATAAATATAATAATGGTACGAAAAATTATTTCAAATCCACTATTAATTCATTAAATTAAAATTTTTAAATTAGAACAATTAATTGATTAAACTTTATTGTTGGATTTGCTCTGCTCCTTTTTTGTGAATTTTCCATTTTCGAATTTTTCAATCGAAATATTAAATCTTGAAGTAAATTATTTTTACAACTATAGTAATGTTCCTCCATGATTATTAATTATTATTAATTAAAATATTTAGATTATTAATTAATACACCAAGATTATTAATTATAGTTTAAGAATCTTGACTAGATAATATACGATTAGAATTATTCGTTTAAATTTACAAAGTTCTCTTAGTTCTTACATAGTTGAATGATTGTTTATTATTAGAACTTATATATAAATATGTAATATTTTTAAACGAAAAGAAAAAATAAAATCACTAAAAAATAGTGATTTAATTGACGTTAAATAATTTTTGGAATTATATTATTATTAACGACAAACATACCTAATTCTTGTGGTTCTTGTACGTCATCTTCTTGGGATTTTGTTTGTGGGGAATATTTATAATCAACAAAATCATGCTCCAATGGAGTGTTCATGTCTGACCTGAAAAAAAAATTATTTTAAGATATTTCTTTATAAAAACTATTTTGTTTACATTTAGAAACAAAATATTGATATTATTTTCGAAAATAATTAATTAAATTAACTTTTTAAATGATTATACTTACAAGCATTGTTTTCAACAAAGAGGAAAGTCAAAAAAGTGTTTTTTCCTTTTGAGTTGTAATCATTCCACAGGTTTAAACATACACGTGACCTTGAAATAAAAATACAGAACAAAAAATAAGTAAATATTCTGATGTGAATAATTGAATATTAGATTAAATATTATTTTTTTGAATGTAAATAGAAAAGAAAGCAGGAAATATTTTTTCACTATTCTTTTTAAATGCTTTTACATTGTAAATGCACTTTTCGAAATGACAGTATCGTTTTGTCCACCACGTGAAATTTGTTTTGACGTGCTTTAATTAAGTTTAATCATTCTCAGAGCTTTTAATCAATTGTCATTTGCCATTAGTTTTTTTTAATTTTATGATTTCTTTTTTCAGTATTTTTCACCGAAAGTCCTTCCTTATTGTTCCAGAAGCATTCTTTCCCAAGAAATAACACACATTAAAAGGTACAAATTAATATTTTATGTTTACTAATCGACTTTAGACTTTAGTAGCTAAAGAAGAAAACTTTTTTTTATTTTCATAGTAAAATTTTACTAAATATTTTTTATTTCACTTTCTTTTCAGTTCATTAATCATTTTCATCCATCCACTTTTATTTTGAATATTCTGCTGAATGCGCCACATATTTGGCGCACAGGAGAATTTGAAAAGTACTTTTTCTTAATAATATGAGAAATATCATCACGATAATCCAGTAAGAGGAATTCTTGAATTCATGCCAATCATCGAGAATTGAAAATCAACAGGAGACGATTTTGAGGATTCACGACAAAGGTATTTAAATAACGAATTAATAATTGTAGTCACGTTTTGAACAACACATAAAAGACCTGATTATTTTTGAAAGGAAAACTTGTCATAGTAGCACAATTGTTGAAGATTGTCAATCAGGTCTGGGTTAGAAGACAAATGACAGCTGATAATAGGGAAAGTAAAATAATATGACATCACTGCGCACACGGCACATATTCAACAAAACGACATATCTCGAAAAGTGTTTTTGATATTTGGCACGTGCAAGGATACTACACACATTTAAGGTGGTGAACTAAATTCAACGAAATACTTGTGTATTGCAACCAAGATGGCGGCTCCGTGTTTGTGATGAAATTTTTCACGTTGCAAGTAAAATCAACGTCAGCGTACCGAACTGTTCAAATGCGTTCGGCCGGCGACGGGTTCACAATGTTCACAGACGCGTTGTTTTCTAAGGACGCGCGGGGCGGCGCACGCTGGGAACATTCTGAGGATGCCTCGGAGCTCGAGTACCTCCTTCCCCTTTCACCTCCATCACACCACCTCCTCCTCCTCCTTTTGAGGGTTCTAGCTAGTAGGATTGTGTGCTGTGCCTCGCTATACGACTCTATATTTATAAAATGCCGTGTATACTATGCATTTGGTGTGTGTGTGTGTATAGGTCTTTTGCACGGAACCCAACAGCGGGAGGTAGAGACGTGAAGGGACCCAAATTGAAATTAAAGTCAACACGATTCTCTTGTTCGTCCCGATGGTGGGGCACCAATCCTCTTTCACCATTTCAACGCATTTGCGCACTGTGAGCGCTCCGAAACATTTCACCACCCCCCCTCCTCAGCAGATTCGTTCCAAAGAATTCCCTTTGGAAAATGCCACCTCCAACTGTCCAATTGCCACTGTCATTATATAATAAACCAACACCGTCTTGGTTATAACCAACAAAAGCTATATCTGGTTATATCCTACAACATACATTGTCTGTGAGCTATATTTTACCTCCAGCTATATTCCATAAACTACACAACTTTAACTTGCTTCTCTCTGCCACGATGCATTACGTAATTCCGATTAGATATCATTTCAGCCTCGTCTTTTTTTTTCTCTCCGGCAAAAGGGGAAATTTTCTCTCTCAAATTGGAGAATTCTTTCCTCTTTTTTTTCTGCTTTTCGAATAATGATTATGAGGATTATAATTTTGTATAATGATGTTCCATTCTAGAAATATAATGATCCTATACTTACTACCTGGTAAAATAAAAGGTTTTCTAAGAGGTACATTTTTTGTTTTATTATCGCAGCTTTTAAAATGTATTTCCGGGAAACTCTCTCTCTCCCACCTACCATTAATTTTCCTTTGCTAGAAAAGCGTCGGTTCCGAAAGCTTTGGTAATGGTGCGCAATGGTTGAGCGTTGTTGGGCGAGAATATGGTGAGGGAACTTGACACGGAACCCGTCGAAACCAGCCGAACAGGCAACTATTGATCGGTCGGTCCCCTCAAATGGGTTGTTCAGAATGCCTAGAAAATTTTCCACGAACTCGAGGGGGAAAAAGTGCTGGTTCGAAATTCTGAAATAACTTCCCCTGCAAGGCTACGTTCTTCAATAAAATCCCCAGCGGTATACATTCTCCTCTCTATCCGGATATTTCTCATGTTATTCCTCCTACTCTTCATCTAGATATCCCTATTCCATTTCGCTCTTATCTCCAATTATCTATTTTCCATTATCTCCACATTAATTGAATGCATTTTATTTATTTTATTCATTTTATGCATATTATTTATTTTATTCATTTTATGCACATTATACATTTTATGCATTTTATATCCAATTATCATGCTCATTATTTCTGTCGTTACTGCTCATTATTTCAAATCTTTGATAATCAAAGAGCCATTCAAATCGATTATAAAAGAGAAAGAGAGAATTTACAGACTCCCTCAGTCCATTGTAGTTTTCATCCAGGACCCAGTATCCATAGACAATGGATTTTGAAAACAATAGGCATCCAGAGTATACAATATCCAAAGTGTACACAGAGGATAACCGACATAAATAGTAATCCGCTAACTATGTAGGGAGTTTAGTTTGAAGAGCTGGAAGAGAAACGTCAATGCGTAATAAATTACGTCCATCCAATTGGTAATTAGATTCCAGTCGGTTGGAGTTTCTATTGCGACGTCGACTTGATTATCGATTTTGTTCCCACCACCACTTGGAACACAAATGCGGAGCTCTGGCTGAAATGTTGGAGATCCAATCATAGTTCTGAAAAGCGTGATTACCCGCTTCGGGGAAAGGGGCAGGAGGTATTAAAACCGAGGGACGGGAAACAGCTACAAAGAACGTTGACCTGCCATCCAACCCTCCTCTCTTTCGTCCCGGATTCACTGCCAGCTGCGCACAACTTTCTAAACTCGACTCATTCCTGACAACTCTATGGTTTAAGTTACGCTCACTAAATACTACTATAGACTTGAAAATATAGTACATGTGCAACTACAAATGTCTGTCTGTTAGGATCGTCACTTTCCGGTGGGCTGGGAGGCAGATGGGCGTAACCAGACATGTTTTCTCTTTTTTATCATTTGACTGTAAACGTTCGAGTTTACTTTTTGTTCTGCCACGTAGCGGAAAAAAAATTCCCCTTCTAGATTTCATATATATATTTATGTATTCGGTGGTTTTAATTCACCTTTATTTTTTAATTTCCCCCTTTTTATTTAATTATACAATTTCTCCACACAGACTATTGATTTTTATTTTATTTTTCAGCATTCACCGACTCGACATCTAGCGGCGGCGTCACCGAACTAGAGCACTTGGAATTTATGGATAGGGAAACTCGTCAAGCGTTATGAGTCATTCGTCTTCCAAAGTGCGAAGATAAGAATACGAAGTTTGAATCATAAAGGAGTGTAAAGAGAAGTATGTACATTTATCTTGGCAGGAAAAATTCCAGGAAAGAAATAGTAATATATTTTATAGAAAATTGCATGTCATAAAGCAATTATGCTTCTGACTGGAAGAATTTTTCACTACTAACTATGGAACAATCGATGTCAAACGGAAATCAATTGGCAATTGTCTCGCATTGCGCCATCTGGTGTTAGCGTCCTCAACCAACAGACCCGGAAAACTTATTCGATTCTTGACTTTTTAATGAATAAATAATTCATTTAAAAGCGGGTATTTATAATTTACCATTTTATAAATATTACTATGAATGATAATTTTAATTCTCGAATATTGTCTGGACTCTAAATTGCGCCAGAGGAGAGGAAATGGAAAAAATCGACCCTTTTGCCCCATAGTGAATTCCTGTCGAGTATTGATAATTTTATCATGAAAGGACTAAAAAAGGGGACGGAATTTAATTAAATTTTTCGAAAGTTGATCGCCCCTATAACTTATAAGGGCAATTAGACTTATAATCTAATAAATACGTTTCAAGACCAAAAACTATAAACTATTTAATGTTTGAGTTATAAAAGGAACGTAAACGTAAATGGACTCTTCCGTTCGGGATAATATATTTTGTGCCATAGAGAGAGAGAGAGAGAGAGGCGGGGGTTTTAATGCGGGTATATTCATGAAAAGGTCAACGAGAAATAATGGCATGATATTCCAATGCGTAGTCGACGATTCCAATCTAGATGTTTGTTTCATGTATTCATCGAATTCAGTTTATTCAGTTTATTCAGTGACGCATTCGTGGAACTGGAACGAGATAAGTTTCAGACCGCGCTTGAATTCTCAGTTACTGTATATGAATATATTAAAGTTCCCTCTCTCTCTCTCTCCCCCCGCCCAAATAAGCGAAGCTCTCTCGACGTTTTCTAAAGCGTACTTAATTATATATATAGGTTTGTTCCACTCGTCATGAATACTGACAGGCGCGCTTTATAATTCTCCGTTCCGTTATTTTGCCTGAAATATCCCGAGGTCTAGAGAAGTGAGAGAGAGAGAAAGAGAGCGAGAGGGGATTTTGGAACGAGTATTAGTAAAGCGCAGAGAGGGCGTGGCTTGGGTTGTCCTTAGTAGTATTTCAGCGATAAAGGAAGGTTTTTTTTCTATACGTGCAGAGATCGCTCGCTCACTCACACAGATGTGTGATGATATTGGAAAAATGAGTGGAAATTTCCAAGCGTTTGCGTTGCTGTGAGGCCAATTCTTTTGTGTTGGTATACTTACATGTAGTAAAAAATGAAAAAAAAAACTTTTAGTCGTTTTCAGGCTTTTATCTTCTAATTTACAATTTGCCTTGAACGTGTTCTACGTATAATTAGAAACTAACAACACGTCATGAGATATTTCAAATTTACGTAAGATTACTAGTAAATACAAGGTCTTTTTCTACATTATTTTTTTAGGATGTTGTTTCTTTTTCTATTTTTAGAATCGTGCTTGTAGAGTCATTAATTCTGAACAACCTTTTCTCCTGGCGTGACGGTTTTTTTTTTCTTCTCGTGTATGGTTGATGGGGGATCCGAAACTGTAATATTTCTGACCCCACTTTTACGACCGCTGCCATATAGTCAGCTACAGTGTGACTGGCGGATTTGGAGATGAAAAGAAAGTGGAAATTGGTGCTTGCTGTGTGCTTTGCCAGGGTTTTGCCGGCTTTTGCTGACCTCGCTGAGTCTGATAGGTCTGGTTGGTTGTTGCTAGGCAACGGATCGTAGGTTACGGTTGTGCCAGTTAGGTTTTACTGCTCTATCTATACCTATAGTTATATTTTCTCTATATAGTTGCTCGTTTCACGAAAGTTACTAACTATGGCATTACGCCAACGCTGTTGCCAAATTGCTTATATTGGAATATTACATGTTAAAATTGAAATTTACTTCGCAAAATTAATTAAAGCGTAACTTTTGCATTTTTTAATGCTGAGAACTATTAATCGTAATATTTTCCGTCCTCTTGTACGTAAAAGTATGTAAAATAATACCTCTATTCATGTGTGTGAATATAGAACTTGGAATTTAATATAGAATATGTAAATTTATTGTTAGCGTTATTTAGCGTCTCATGTCACAAGTGCACTTTTATCCTTGTACAGTTAATGTGCATGATAAACAATTCGGAGTAATTATTTCCTATTAGTTTGTATCATAATCTACGTTTTGAATTACTGTAAAAAAAACTACAATTGCTTTTTATTTTTTACTATCGCAACAATATAAATTTTTTATTTCGAATATTTTTTGTCATTTATATGGTTGTAATCAAGAAGACTGGGTTGTAATATTTAAGCAATGAGGTCAAGTTTGTCATTTTGTTGCTTGTATCTTATCGACTGCGTATTATTGTTCATAAAATGGTCCAGTTGACGATAAGCTGTTTTAATTAAAGTCCGATTGTTATGCAATAATTTTGGTTATTTGAAATTTTCGTTCTGCGATAATTGTTTTATTTTTTCCGATAGGATAGTAAGTAATAAAAGATGATGAACAAAGAAATTTTTTATTGTATTCTAATGAACATAATTAGACTTAAATATATGCAATTAGGATATATAACACGCTTTTAAAAAAATGCTTTAAAAAAGCTGAAAAAGATAGAAAAGCTTTAATAACTTTAATAAACTTAGAAAAGCTTTTATAAACTTGAATAAGCTTTAATAAACTTTTTTTCAAACAAAAAGCATTGAACAATATAATCAATCTTCAAGAAACTCTTCAAAAATTGAGTCTGTAAACAATTTCGTCTTGTCGTTTTGAATTTTTTTTAAAATACAATAAGCCTTTTTCAATAGATCGGGAACACTCTCGTAATGACTTCCAGTCATTGTTTCATATGAACGAATTCTTTCTACATTATTAATTTGAATTGATAGATTTACATCCGTTTCTTTTACCTCGCTCCAAGAATGAATGTCTTCGAGTCTCAAATTTCGATTGTTGAGAAAATTGGACCATATAATAATTCTTAGATATTCGTCGAAATTATCGATGGAATTCATTTTATAAGTTTGTCGGACAAAATTTTTTAAATATTGCTCCACTTGAAGGATGAAATAACTTTCGGTGTGTAGATATTCTTCCTCGATGATATTCTGTCCGGAAATTAATTGAAACTCTGTTGAGGGAAATGATAACTTATCTTGAGATGATCTTGTTACGTAATTTAATTCAGAAAATGATGTTCCTTCATATTGAGAAGAGATGATAGATTTCTGATCTTCGGGATTTAATGAGCCATTATTGATAAAATGCTCTTCGGAATGAATTAAATATTTTTCCATTGTGTAGGGTGAGAAGTCGAAGGCAATTTGTTCATCGCCACCACCCGCTTGCATCATTACAGGCACTTGATAAAATATTGGTACAAAATTTTTGCAAAGTGTTTTTATGTCCGTTGCTTTAATCACATTTATGTACGATGATCTCGTTAAACTGGTCATTAATAATATTTGCCTCGATAGTCCTTTTGCTGAAATAGAAATTGAATTTTTATTCTAAATTTCGAACTCGAGAAAAAGTTAAATATTTTTATTTCAAGTTTCGTAAATTTACCCTGCTCATTATCGTTTTCATCTCCAGAAGCTCCTTTTTGATCCCTTTGCTCCTGATTTATATTACGAGACAAAGTCGTCAAACTCTTTACAATTGCTTCGGAGTGAAAACCTTCTTTAAAAAAATAGAATCTTTTAGAAAAAATATCTCTGAGTTAAAAAGTTAGATTATTTTGCAAATTGATATTATTTTTAGCAATTATTTGAAAATGAATCTAAAACCTGTTTCTTTTACAGTTGATGACTCTATTGTCGAAGAACTGCCTGCATAATCTGAGCACACGGCGCCAAAAGGATTTTTGTCTAATGAAAGTAATGATTGATCGTCGCCCCTCTGCGAGCACTCTGGCTGAACAAAATCGATGTTTAGAAAATCCTCGGAGCCAGAATTTTCACTGCTTATGTACTGCTCTAAAGCTTGGCGTTCCAGTTCCTGGTAAAAAGAAAATTTTTTTAAATTAAATTTTTTTAAATTAAAATTTTTTAAATTTTCACAAAGAAAATTAAATGAAAAAGAAATTAATTAAAATAGAGAATTTTTTTGGAAAATAGTTGTCATACTTGATAGCGAAGTGCCAGACATTCTTCGGATGTTCTGTATTGTTCCATAGCTTGACGTTCTAAATTATCGTATGTTTTCTCCGACGAATTTTCCTCAATTCGATTATTATTATTATTTGATGGTGAATTTGCCAATACATCACTGTACAATCGTTTTCTCTGACTAACTTCAATTGTATTTTCTTTAAGTGCAATTAATTTTTCATTATTCAATGAATTCATCGTTTGCTTTGAATTTTTCATTTTCAAACAAATGCAATTTGTTTCGGAACTTGATAATAAATCAAGATCATCTTCAACTTCTATTTTATCTGTAACATTATGATTAATATCGGAATTTAATTTTTCTTTTGTAGAATTACTTTTCTGTTTGGAGCCTTTCGTTTGTGGTCTTCTTGTTTTGATGCCGCCTTTCGTCAGGAGAATGAGATTGTTGAAATCGGCGCCTTGATTTTTACGACGTTGCGGATAATCGGGATATGATTCGGGTGCTTTTTGATAGACGGGAATTGAGGCGGCGGTTGATGATGGAGCAGAGGGCAATGTCTTTTCTGCTAATGCAATTGGCTGTTGTACAACAGTTGGATAAATTGGTTGAATCGATGCGTAAATTGGATGCTGTGGCACGTAAATTGGACCTTGTAATTGCAGAGGAATGGCGACACGTTGATACCATTGGGGGTATTGAATTGCCGTATTAACACCATGATGAGGTAAAATTGACACATTTGTATTCTGAAAAATACAATCTTTCAAAGTAATAAAAGGAAATTACCGAATTAGACTAGAAAATTAAATTTGATTCAAGTAGTTCATATACTAAATGATCCTTTTATTTTTAGAATACGTATATTTATATTTTGTCATAAATAATATTTAAGTAAATAATTAGTAACGTAAGGTAATGAATTACTTGAATCAACTTGAAATTTCTACTAATTTAGTTGCAGTTTAACTATAGTAATTTATTTTTTATGGATAGATAATGGCTATTTAACTGTTAATTAATGCTTTTAGGTTAATTACTAAAGTGGAAAATCAGATAAGTTTGGACATAATTAGTAAGGTTTTTCTACTTTTCAGTTACTTTGTGACTCAGGTTTCGAGGAATCATTATTAATGGCTTCAATTAACTAGACAGAGTTGCGAAAGGTCAGGAAAAAGTCAGGGAAATGTCAGGAAATTGGATCGAAAGTTAGAGCATTTCATTAACAATTTTAAAAAATCAAATTTTCAGAGGAGTTTTAATTTAATAATTTTGTAAATAATTGAAACTTAAAATTCTGACAAAATTCGGTTTCCCATAAATTTTAATTCGATTATTTAAAAATACTTAAATAATTATTAAAAAAAATTTATTTCAGAATTATTAAATTGATGAAAATTTTGTAAAACTGAATAAGTGAATATAATAAAAATTGTTGAAGAATTTTTATAAATAGATGAACTTAAAAAGATTTTTTTATTTAAAATTTTAGAAAATTTATAAATTAAAGAACTTAGATTTTTGAAAAATATAAATAAATCAAATTCTTCTAAAAATTAGTTTAATTTTTTAATATATTTAATTAATTATTAAAAATATTCGATTAATATATAATAATTATAGAAGAATTTTAGTTAAAAGCATTAAAAAAATTGTATTTCGGAGAAGTTATTAATGGTTGCAGAAATTTAATTATCTTCAAAAGTAATAAAATTCTTCACAGAAATTCAATTATGTTCAAAACATTTCACAAAAAATTCTCGTCAAAATTTTTATTATCTTTATAAATAATAAAATTCTTTTTTAAAATTCAATTATTTTTAAAAATTTTAATAAAATCTTCCAAAAGAATTCAATTATTGGAAAAAATTTGAATAAAATCCTCCGCAAACATTTAATTATTTTTATTTCATAAATAATAAACATTTTACAAATATTTACAAATTATTTACAAATTTTATAAATAATTAAATTCATCAGAGAATTGTAATTATTTTTAATACAATTTTAATCGAATTCCTTGAAAAATGTGATTATTCTTAAAAAATTTTATGAATATTTATGTTGAATGAATTTAAATATTTAAAAATTTGATTTAAATATTTAAAAATTCTTTATGAGAATTCAATCTTAAGAAACATTCAATTATTTAATAAATTATTTATTTTTGAATTTAAATAACTGAATTTTCGTAGAATTTTCTAATAAAAATTGATCTAAAAATAAATTTCTGAATAATCGATTTATTATTTATGAAAATTGAATTTTTGCAACGATTTTTATTACATTTTTTTCATATAATTGAATTCTTTTGAGAAATTTTACTACTTGTAAAAATAATTTAATTCTTGTGAAGGATTTTATTAGGATTTTTGTAAATAATTAAATTTTTTTTGAAAAATTTTATGGTAATTTAAATTATTATAAAACATAAAAAAATCGATCAATTATTAAATTAATTATTTTTTTTGTATTTAAATAATTGAGTATTTAATGCAATTTTAATAAAATTTCTCGAAAGAATTTAATTATTTTTTAATTTTAATAAATTGCTCGCAAAAATTCAATTATTTTCATAAATAATATAATTTTTCAGAGCAATTTTCAATTATTTTAATAAACGTTTATAACATCAATAAATTTCTTTCCAGAAACTCTCAATTTGATAATCTTAATTCCTATGGAAAAATAATAATGATTAAATATTTATTTTAAAAAGAAGTTATTGATGTTTTCGAACAATTTGACAATTAAGAAAATTCGTAAATAAATGTAATAGAAAATTTTTTTGAGTATCTTATAATTTTTAGAGTAAATCAGAATATTTTTTTGGGTCTTGGAAAAAGTCAATATTTTGTCTGGAAATCAGGATAAAGCTAGGGAAAACAAAATTAAATTTTAACCCTGAATTAGGATTTTAAGATTAAATTTATTTCTACTTTAATTTAATTTTTAATTTAAACTACTTTTTTCGATAAGCTGTGAAAAAGTTTAATAAAGAGAAACTATAGTATATTTGTTTTTCAAACAGAAATGTGGTACTTGAAAATTTGGAGTTGGTGTCTGCCTGTTGGAGAAGAGATCCTCTGGATAATAGATTTCGGATGATGTCGAGGGAAATACTTGTAGAGGCGCGCCACGCTCATCACATTCAACAACTGGTGTCACATATCTATGAGGATAGTACTCAGGAACATCAGGATTGACAAATGGAACTGGTGGTGGTGGTGGCGGTGGTGATCGCATTACTCCAATGGTTGGAATTGGTGGATAATAATGACCAACTTTAACGTATGACGACTGATTTGACCAAATCTGCGGACTGTACTCCTGTCCATTTGGTAATTTTTGAGGTTTTGGAATTAAGTGTAAAATAACTGGTAGCATTTGATGAGACAGAAAATATGGTTGAATTTGTTGCGAGGGAAATAGAAAAATTTCTGGAAGTGGCACCTGATTCCATAAATTGTGAACCAATTCCGATGTGACGCGGGACTGTAATTCCAATTCGTCTAAATTTTCGATTGTGTAACGAAGAGCGGCAAATTTCCTGTATTCGACATCGTGAGAAGTTGCACTCTTACTGGATTCTATAAAAAATGAAAAGAAAATAAGGTAAAGAAAATACTTTCTAAAAATCAATAATTCGTAGAATTTTCATTTAACTTTTCTTGTTTGATATTACTTTTTAATTGTGAAAATAAAAAATTTCTCAAGTTCTCAACTTTTTAAAAGGATTTCTGAAATATTTATGTGAGTTTGCTTGAAATTTTAAAGTTCAGGAAACGTAAAACCAGAAAGTTTGATATTAAATTTTCAACTTTAGTCTGAAATTAGTTTTAAAAAATAAAACGTACTTTTTTATGTTTATTCAGCAGTTTTTATCAAAAGTGATTATTAAGCAAAGAGAACAAAGTTGGTAAATACTTTTTCTCTTTTATTTTTAATTAAAAATTCCAATTTAAACAAACTTTTATCGGAGACTAATTAAAGTATATATTATACTTTTATGAAGTAAATTAATTTTGAAACTCTTCATTATAAAATTGTAATTGCAGTTTTTTTTTAAATTTTAATTGAGAATTTGCGTAATTGCTCTTTTTGGGAGATAAATTCTTTCTGTATGTTGGAAAAATCGATTTTTACTATCTGTATGTATATGTGTATATAGTAAAAGCTCACCTCCTGTCGCATTATTACGGCTTTCGGAAAAATTTCTTTCCTCATGATTTTTTACAGTTGATATAGTCGTATTTTTTCGTTTTACTAAATCATCTTCTTTTTCCTGTGCTCTAATATGAGATCCATTAAATATCAATTTTCTCTGTTATATGGGGTCGTTAAATTAATTCTCTTTTATATACATAGTGGATATATATATCGAATAAGGAAAAAGATGCTTGCAAAATTTAAATCGAGATGTGCATTTATTTAAAATACTTTTTCACATTATTATTGCTTTTTAGTATTATTTTATGTTTTACATAATTTCTCAATTTGGAATTTTGCAGTTTGCAAATTATAGAAAGGGAAAAAAGTAATATGTGGTTGAAGTTCACGTTTATGATCCAACGATTGGAAGAGAAAAATATTTTTTACTCGGAAAACAATATTTCTGGTTTAATAGAAATTTTTATTTTTTGAATTTTTCAGGCTAGTCACAAGTCAGGGAATTCGGTAAATTCAGGGAAAAGACAGGGAAAATTATATTGGTCAGGCAAATCATAGGAAAAGTCAGGACACTTTTCTAAAATTACTGGAAAAATTGCAAACTTCTAGAATTCCTTAAATATTTTTGAATAGCAATGAATTTTAATGAATGCCTTTAATTTTTCCTTCGGTAAATAATTAAATTTATTTTAAATTAAGCTAAATTTAATTCAATTTAATTTAAATAAATTTAAATTTAACTCAATTCAAATCAATTTAAATTTAATTCAATTTAATTCAAATAAATTTTAATTTAATTCTAGAATAACTTTTTTAAAAGTTAATTAATTGAAATTAATTTAAAAAAGATTTTAGTTCAAAAAAGTTTCAATTTTGAAAAAAAAATGAAATTATAGAAGGTTTTAAACCAATTTTTTTTTAACAATTTCAATCACTATGAAGAACTTTATAATAATAAAATATTTTTTCTAAAGATATTAAAATTTTAAACAATTTTCTTTAGAATCCTGAAAAAATTGTGTTTCTGAGAAATTTGAATTCAATTATTTAAAGATACTTGAACTTTTAAAAAATTGTATTAAAAAATTATTAAATCAATCGGAATTTTATGAAATTGAAATAAAAATAATTAAAGTTAAAGAATTTCATTAGAGATTTCTTAAAAAATCGAATTTTCAAGGAATTTTAATTTAATAATTAGCAAATAATTGAAATTTAAAATTCTGAAAAAATAAGACTTCTAAGAAGTTGAAATTCGATTTTTTTAAAGTTTCTGGAATTTAAAAAATAATTCATTTCCGAATTGTCAAATTAATGGTGAAATTTTGTAAAATTAAAATTGATAATAATTAAATTTGTTAGAGAATTTCATTAGAAATTTTTAAAAAATTAAATTTTTAAGTAATTTTAATTTAATAATTTAGTAAATAATATAAATTTAATATTAAGTAAAAAATAAGATTTCTATAAAGTTTTAATTCAATTTTTTTTAAAGATATTTGAATTTAAAAAACATTCATATCAGAATCATTAAATTAATGGAGAAATTTTGTAAAATTTAATTTAAAAAAAATTATGAAATTTGTTAGAGAATGTCATTAAAGATGTTAAAAAAATCCAATTTTCAAGGAATTTTAATTTAATAATTTAGTATATAATTCAAACTTAAAATTCTGAAAAAATAAGGGTTCTGATTAATTTTAATTCAATTCTATAAAAATACGTAAATTCTTAAAAAAAATTTATTTCAGAATTATTAAATTAATGTAGTTTTTTTGAAATTGAATTGAAAATAATTAAATTTGCTGAAGAATTTCTGTAAAATTAGCTTTTTATAATATTTCAATTCTATTATTTAGAGATATAATTGAACTTTTATAAACAAGTAATTGGATTTTTTTGAAATAATTGATATTTTCTATTTAATTGATATTAATTGATATTATTATATTAAATAATTGAATTTTTCAAAATTTTATTAGAATTTATGAAAATAATCGAGAAAAGTTCGCCATAGTAACTTTTTATTTTTAACTCGTATTTTAATTTCATTAGAGGGGTCAGAGAAAAAGTTAAAATTCTATTTTGAAATCAAATTTTTGTGTCAACTCTGTAGTTGATAAAGAAATATTGTTACAAAAATTTGATTCAAAATTTAGTAAAAAAAAATTTTTTTCAAAATTGGAATAGAAAACAATTTTTTTTCCTTTAAATTGTTTATTATAAACGTGAACTTCGCCAACGTGAAAAATATGACGAAACATTTTTATAATTGTAAAATTTAAAGAAGTGGCTTCTTTTTAGGAATTCAGGAAATCAAATTTCGGAGAGAAATTTAAAATTCTTTTTTTGCACAAAGTATAAATGCAATCTCAAATAGGACAAGTTATTTCTTCCCCCGAAGGTTTTTTCAAAGTACAATTAAAAATTGAAATTTGAAAATAAAGAAATAAAACATCCGTGAATTTAAATTGTTGATTTTTTTAAAGGACACTAACTGATTATTAAATACAATATGAGAGATTTGTTCGCTTAACCGGGTGAAGTGATCTTCAACTTCTGGGTACATCCAAGGTTCGGATATTTGATTATTCTCAAAATTATCGTATTCCTCAATTTCATTGATAGTCTCAATTGTTTTGTATTTTTTCTCTTGCTCCTCATTGTATTCATAATTTCCATACATTGCCAATCTCGATCCAGGAATAACGTCCTGAACCCTTCTAATCTTTCTATTCTCATCCTCCAAATATCTTTGATTAATTTTGCAAATCTGCAAATTACTCATTTATCAAATTTATTCTTCCTGTTTAAAATGAAAAACTGAAATTTGCAGATTTATTGGAAGTGAAATTTTCTTTTTTTTCTAAAACCTATGACAAGAAAAAAAATCTTACCTTAACCCAGAGAGATTGATTTGATTTACGATAGGGATTTCCCGGTTTATATGTCCAAGTTTCGTCTGCATTAAATTTGATGATTTCATAGGCGTTTAGGACTTCTTCGTCGGGTGACGAATCTGGAGATATCATTCTATAACCATCCTACAATATTTAATTCTATAAATGAGATTAAATAATTTGAAATTTACAGAATTATTTTCTGATAAATCTACTTTTTTCCTAATTGTAAATTAAATATTTACAACACTTTCTAGAATGTCTTGGAAAATTTATTATGACAGGAAAAAAGATATTGAAAAGTGTCTTCGAGATACGACGATCTTTTTAACAAATGACAATCAAGTTTGCATTTATTTTTTTCGACTAATTTCAGACAATAAACCTCTGATTTTTTTTAGTTAACTCACAAACTTTTATTTTTACTTCCACGACTCAAAAATTATATTTTTTATTCTTAATTTAATTTACAATTAAATTTACAATTATTTACATCCAGAAACTAATTGTTTAATTTATTATTTATTCTATTTTATACTTTTTTTTATTTGTATTTTATTTCTTTAAAATTTTCCTTTCATTAAAGATTTCCGCAGGATTTTTCTGATGGGAAATTCGAAAAATCTAATTAAATATTAGAATCGGTATAATTACGTTATAAATAAAAAAAGAACATAATTTTAATTACTGATTTTTAATCAAATTTCTTTTTTAAATTTCACATTTCGGTCCAATTTCCCGCGAGAAAAATAGTGCGGAATTATCAGGAACTATCGAAAGGATCCAATCAAAATTGTCGTTTTTATTTGAATAGTATGATGAGATTGGTTCTTTTCAAATTAAGAAACATTCCAGCGAATGAAAATTACACTTTTGTTTTGTACACATTTTACAATGTGAAATGGACTTTAGTGTTAAATTACGCAATTTCTATGAATTGTTTTGAGAAATGTCAAAAACAAGCAAAGAAACTTGGTTTTTATTATAAATGCACTATTTTGAAATGATAATGTTCACTTTGAGGAAAGTGTCAAAATAATTAAACAATTGTGACAAAACGTTGACAATTTAATTTTGTTAATTCTATCTAAATGTTATAAATTGTGCATTTTGGTTATGTTTTTGAAAAATTATTCTTCCACGAAAAATATCGTTAATATTTTTTCAAATAAATCTATTTTATTATTTACTTTAAGTTTCTAGAGTAAATAAACAAGAATAATGTTTGGAACTCTTAGGGAAAAGTTTCATTCTATGCAAGAAGGATTGTCAGCTAGGTACAATATTTTCAAAACAATTACTGTATTACATAACTTTGTTTTTATTTTCGGTATGTTTTTTTTATAATTTGTTATATTCAAAGTTTTTTTATTTTCATATTATTATAATTAAATTCGTTTCTTTTGTATTTTAAACAAGTTTTCTATTTTCAGTATTAGGGGTTTAACAATATCGGAGCCGAAAAAAATAGAGAATGTTAGAAATGTGAATTATAATGCAGGAGCTGATATTCTACATCGTTATCAATTGCAGTGGAATGAATTACATGAATTAGCTGAAGAAAATGCGAAAAATGCTCAAAATGTTGATTTCCTAGTTGCTGGGATTCATCAGAAATTGGAACGAGAATGGAAAAGTATATTGTGCCTAAATAATACATTAGCTGTTATTCCTAAAGTTAATGACACCATTCAAAATCTAATGAGTCAAATAGGTTCGTCTTAACTCTTCAATTTCTATTCAATGTAATGTTAATCAGGGTTGTCACAGGTCAGAGAATTCAAAGAAAAATGAGCGATTTTTAGTAAAAGTACTGGGAAAAATTGAATTTTTAAAATTCATTAAAAAAAAAACTCTGAATTTTGATGTTTTTTTGTATGCCTTATAAACTATGAAATTTCTACAAATTCTAAAACTAAACCTTCAATTTTTTCTACTTCTCTCAATAATTTCTTTTTAAATAACTTAATTCTTGAAGAGCTATCATAAAATTATTATTTGGAAATTATTTAATGAATCACTTTACTTAAATATACCTAAATTAATTGAATTTTACAAGAATTGCGTTTACAATTTTCATAAATAAAAATTAACTTCAAAAGGTTTTAATTTGAAATTTTACAAAATTTCAATTTTGAATTAATTTAAATAGAAATTTTAATAAACTTAGATTTTTCAAAAATTTTAATAATTCAAATTCTTCTGAAATTAGTTACATTTTTTTATATATTATATTTAATTAATTATTAAAAATAATAGATTTATAAAAGAATTTTAGTTAAAAATACTAAAAAAATATTGAATTTTGGAAAAGTTACAAATGATTGCAGAAATTTAATTATTTTCAACCAAAAGTAATAAAATTCTTCGCAGAAATTCAATTATGTTCAAAAATTTTTTTAAAATTCTCATAAAAAGGAAGTTTTTTATGTTTTCGAATAATTTTAAAAAAAACAAAAAATTAAATATTTGTGGCAACCCTTTAAAGTAATATTATTTCTGTACAATATTTACTTTGATAACTATCAATTTTCAATTGTTTTTCTTTTGTCTTATAATATAGAAATTTTACAAGAAATGTTCGAAGACGTTGAACACGCTCTTTTTCAATTTGAAAATCTAAACGAAGAATTAGATTTACAAAATCAACAGGTAGATCAAAGGTACCAATTAACATTGTACAGGGAAAATAAGTCCGCAACATTAAATTCTCTACGAGGTAATTTTTTTAATTCTACTGTCAGATTTTTCTCTAGAATATTTTTCAAAAATTAACAAATAAGTTAATTATTTCTTTTCTTACGTTCTAGCAAAATTTTCCAGCGAACATTCGGAAAAAATAGCTAAACATGAGCTTAAGCAACAGAAAACGATGCAGGAAAGACAAAAAACCTTTGCGGAAGTTTTCGATGAAGAACTAAATCAGTACAAAGCAACTGGTTCAATTCCAAGTAGTTATCTAATTATATTTTCTTTAGATATTACAATTTAGATATAAATTACAGCTTTCAATTTTAATTCAAGACCTGAATTAATTGTCGAGAGCGAAGTTAATTAAACAATTTTCTTTTCTAGAGAGTAGCCGAGTAATGGAAGGACCATCGTTAGATGAAATTGTCCTCGAAACGGATACAACGGATTTCGACGCATTTCTAAAAAGTTAATTGTTATATAGAATACCGTTCATCAACAAATTAGATTTGAGTTTATATACTCTTTTTGTGATATAGAAAAAATAAGTTTTTCATCAAAAATATTTGTCGAATAGGATGAAATGGATAATTGAACGAATAAGGCGAGTAAACTTCCCAAGAAGAAAAAATAATTTATTTTTAATTATCTATACAATATTATTAAGAAAAATAGATGATCTATACATATTTGTACATGAGATATATTTACTTAGCAATAAAATATACAGATAGGATCGAACAAAGACAATAAAACAATTGTTACCAATTAATGGATATGTCTTTGCGAAAAAAATGGAACATTTTACTTATTTTTGGAAAATACATATAAATTAAAAGATATCTTTTTGTATATCTTTCATTAGAATTTAAAATCTTCCGAAATGTGACTTAGATGAAAAAGTTGATTGTTGATTATTTCGTACAAATTGTTGATTTGTTCTGGCTTGTTGGTAATTGTTTGCACCAGCTTGTTGATAGTTTGATCCTCGTTGTTGGAAAGTGGGCGCTGAGTTTTGTAGGAAAGTGTTTGGAACTCGTCTCTCAAAACCCGAATTACTGGGGGGAAAAAATATGTATGGTAACAAGAAGTTTTCTTTAATATTTAAAGTTTTTAGAGAATTTTATACTAACCATCCGGTAACATTTTCAACAGCATCGCAAGTATTTATAAGTTCGTTGAATGCATTTCCTTCGCCACAATTTTGAAGTCGTGGACGTCCATTAACGCAAGTGAAGTAACGCTGACAATCTGAGGGGCTTCTGAAGAATCTCGTTTCTCCGGTGAGAAAACCAGTTTCCTTTGCATTCGGACAACTGAATCCCAAGTAAGCTATTGAGAAAATTTTTTCTTTAGTTCAAAAAATCAATTTTCTAATTTCAATATTTGTTTTCTTATAAATAGAAATTTCCAAATAGAAACCTTCAGCATCACAGTCTTCTACTTGATCAGGCCAATCACATCGATACGTTTTGGAATTGTAGGCTAAACCTTCTGGACAATCGAAAATATATCCCACACCATCGGCGCAATTCATAAATTTACCACAATTCTTCTGATCACCAACTTTGAAGTAACCATACTGATGTGGACAATCTTCGGTTGGTCTCGCTGGTTCTGAAAAGAAAAACAAAAGATAAAATTTCTTCCAGAAAAAATAATTTAAATTTTCTACTTGAATAACTCACGAAGATTTGATCGGCCCAAGCATTCAACATCAATTGGATAACCACAGGGATAATTGAAACGTACATTGGGATTAAATAATAATCCTTCGGGACAAAGTTTTTCTTCACCAACACCATCGATACATTCTATATAAGCATCGCATTGTGAGGGAACTGCAAATCTTCCCGTTCTCTCTGGACACGAGACTGAAGAAGATTTTTCCGTTTGAACATAACGATTTTGATCTATTCGATTAGATCCAAATTGAGATTGAAATTGATTGCCGCCAGTGGTTTTCGCTTGGAATTGTGATTGAAATTGTGACTGCCCACCGAATTGTGATTGCCCCCGATTGTTTGTCGTGAATGGTCGTTGAAATTGACCTCCACCTGTAAAAGGTAACAATTTATTGATTTATTAATTATATTTCCTTAGAGAATGTGACACACACGCACATGAATGATACATTTATAATGTGAACAATTTTATCGATTTCAAGATCGAATTCCAGAAGCAATTTCCGGATGGAGATATTGTATAATTTCCTGTGGTTTGAAGGGTTTCTATTTCTATATTCTTTAAATGAGACGGAAAATAATTTTGAAAAGAGGAATTTTTTTTTATAACCTTCGCTGGACCGGAAACCACGTACTCAGGATGGGTCAGACACTGCGTTGATATTTTAATATCTACTAGTTTTGCACCAACTTTAAACGAAATTTTGAGTTATTGTTAAAAATCTTAAAAGCTTTCGAAAAATGTAAAAATATTTTTTTTTACAGTTTTTATTGTTTTTTTGAGTAATTTTACGTGAACTGATGGAAGTAAAAAAAATTAGATTTGCCAATACTTTTAACTACATCAAGAAAATAAATTTCAATGCAGTGAAACCTGTCGGAATGCAACTCGATTTTTTAAATTTTATTAGAGTAAAAAATCCTTAAAAAATTGTTTTATAATTTAGTTTTGTAATATTTTTTGCAATATTCAGAAACTATAAGTAAAACTAATTCTTGTTGGACATTTCTGAATACAAAAAATTTTTAAAATAGAGTTGCATTCCGACAAGTTCGACTGTATTCCATAAAATTGTTTCTGCACGGAGAGAGAATAATTATTAAATTTTGTAAAAAGTATTTTACAAATTGGGCAAAAAGTGCGACAAAGCGAAATTTTGATATAAAAAATACTAAACTTTAAAAGAAATTCTATTAAATTTAGTAAATTTTGTATTAAAATTTAATAATAATTCTTGATATTTAATATAACTGTTCTAAATTTCACAGAAGTTTTTTTAAAATTGATTATTTTTTCATATAAAAATTTCGCTTTGTTGCATTTTATCACCAATTTGTAAAATACTTTTACAAAATTTAATATTTATCCTCTCTTCGTGTGCAGTAATTTTTTGAGAGGAATTCAACAGTTAGAAAATATTTTGAGCCTTTTTAAATTTTTCTTTTTCTCAAAAATTATGATTTAAAATTAGTTAAAAAAATAAACGAGTTAATTTTCAAAGAAAATAATTGAATAAAAATGATATTTTTTCGAATTTGCAGAATATAAACAGTTTATTAAAAAAAAAATGCTTCAAAATTAATAAAAATCAATTTTTTCATTCGGGAATTTTTTTGTGGATAAGAAAAAAAATATTTTCTACAAAATTACACGTGGATATCAAAATCTACCAATTTTTATGAAAAATAAAAAATCAAAAAGGCTGAAAATATTTTCTCACCATTGAATTTCTCTCCAAAAATTACTGAAAAAACAATTTTATGGAATATTTAAACTTAATCAAATTTTAATATCATTTTACTAAATTTTATATAATTTTCTTCAATGCTTAGTATTTTTGATATAAAAATTTCTTTTTATCGCATTTTCTCCCCAGATTGTAAAATACTTTTACAAAATTGAATATATTTATTTTCTGACCGTGCGTGTCGAAACTAAATTTTCAAAAACCTAAATTTAAAAATGAAAAACTGAATTTCTTTTAATGTATAAATTCAAAAACCCCGATTAGAATATGTAAACCATTTGAATTTGGTTAACATCTTCTAGTATTGAGTTTCGGATCGACTCAAAATTAAATTCAGTCTGTTATTTTAATTTTGAGTCGACACGAAATTAAATTCAGTCTGTTAATTTAATTTTGAGTCGACACGAAATTAAATTCAGTTTTTTAATACAGTTTCGAGTCGACACGAAATTAAATTCAGTCTTTTAATTTAGTTTCGAGTCGTCATGAAATTAAATAATTCCGGCAAAAAATATTGATGATTTCACTTCTTTTTTTACAATATATTGAGAAAACAATTGACCCAACCTGAGTATGGATTCTAGTCTCCGGCGTAAATAAAAATCTAACCAGCGAAGAGTAAATTTTCCATTCTTTTTTTTCCTAAAGATTAATTATTTCGAAAATTGACATATTGCATTTTCTTTTAAACATACGCAAAATGAATGTTTCAAAAAAATAAGTAGGTTGTCTTTTTAAGGTGAAGGACAGATTTTTGTCAGGGGGACTTTTACTCGAGAGTTTTTGTATTGGCGCGACGACATCGCAGGACAAGAGCATAGACAGGAATCATCTTCACTTGTCTGACCTCTAGAAAGGTTTAACATTCATTAATATATTATTCAACTTATGTAATATCTCAACTCGGCCCAACTTTAATGTCGTAAATATGAATAGAATAAAATTTTTTAAAATATTTTTAATCTTTGAAAATGAAGTTTTCTTCATAAATTTTAATTCTTTATTAATTTTCAAATATTTTAAATTTTAAAATATTTAAAAATACTCTTTTTCACTAAATAAATTTAATACTAAATAAAATACTTTTTCATGTATATTAGAATAGAAAATCGATTGACATTATCGTTCGATATTGAGTTGATATTTTGAATCGATATTGAGTTGAAAAACTTGAAATTAAAAGTACTGAATTAATTATTATTAATGTAAATAATATTACATTAAAAATTATGTTAGGATTATGTTAATTTTCACTGAGAATCCGGGACGACTTTATACGTTAGTTGCTTTGTGGGTGGTTCGATTAATAAACATTTTTATTGCTTTGATTTAATTTAGAAAAATTTATTCACGAGGGGGAAGAATTATAGTTTCAATTTGTAAGAATTGGCAATTTTTAACAATTGACAATTTTTAATAAATAATTGACAATTCGAAACAAATAATTGCCAATTTGTAAAAAATAAGTAATTATTTATCTTATTATAAATATTTATTACATCTCTATTTCACGTATCTATGGAAAAATGTCAAAGCGTGTCAATCGATCATTTACATTATTTTCATATTAATTAAACTTTTATACATTTTTAATAACCTTTCATCTGATAAACACTGATTGAAAAAGTATTTTAATTTCTCAGAATATATTAAATCTTAACTGTATTAATTAATATTATTTATATCAATGGAAAATTGAGTGTACAATAATGTACAAATTCAAATTGAGGAAAAAAAAAGATTGTAATTGATAAAGTTTTGGATAAAATCGATAAAATAAATTAAATAAATTTGGGTAAAATTGATAAAACAAATTTGGATTGAATCGATAAAATAAATTTGGATAAAATAAATAATAAAATTAATCGACATACATGTGTTTAATCCTAGAATGGAGCAAAGAAGAAGAATTGAGACCGGCTTCCGGATCATCTTGGCCGATGAAGAAAGGAAATGACTCTTTGAGGGAAACACTCGCAGTTAATCGTATATCTCGTCGAGGAAAATGCGTTATACCTTTGATGATTTCAAAATGTAAACTAGTCGCATCTTCTTCACCTTTCGTGACTTTTATTACCTCGGACGAGAAAAAAGTGAGAGTATCATCTTTGCCAATCCAACAGAATATGGGAGGGGTCTATATAATACTTGAAGACAACCCATCCACCAGGAGAGATATATTGATGTATGCGTGAAGAGGGTAAATCTAGAGAATGAATGATGTAAGTGTATATATAGATAAATGATAAAAATGGATAAACCTTTAAAATGTGTGCTTTTCCATTCAGAAAACGTATATACATACAATAATCACATTATATAGAAATGCTATTCGTATTCATGAGCAAGTGGCGAGGATGAATCAGTTTTTAAATTAATTCCTTCATTCTTTTCTCAATGACCTCTAAAAAGTTTTAATTTCCTCAAAAAAAAAAAAGATTTTTCAAATTCTTTTTAAATTTTTCATCATTTTGTTCTTATTTCACTTTCATTTTATTTATTCATTTAAAATTTCTTTTAAATTTATAAAAAAAAAGAATTATTTTTATTTTTAAAAATTTATTTTTAAAAAATTATTTTTATTCGGGCCTTTTTTTTATTGATTATTTACAATTCTTACAAAAATTTCCAATGGAATGCATAAACATAATTAAAGATTTATTGAATTTATTAACTAAAATTCTAAAGTCTATTGAAACTTGAAAATTTTGTTTAATTCTTTTTAAAATTAATATATTAAAACGTAAGCAATATTATGGAAAGATAAAATTAAATTTTGATACAAAAATTTATTACATAAATATAATATTAAATTTGTCATTTAAAATTATGACGATTACGTAAATCGGTAAAAGTAGGAAAGATGAAGACGTTATACTAATTGTCAATTTTGTTAGCGCAGTTGTTTATATTATGCATTTTGGGCAAAGTACTTTTTAATTTATACGATTCACTTTAATTAAATTCAAATCATAAGTGAATTTTCTTAGAATTTATATAATTTTTAGTATCAAAAAAATTTGATTTTCAAAAAGAAAAAAAAATCCAAAGCTGCTTATACATTGACAAAAATTTTATTTGATTCCAATAACCGATTACTTGTCTATTATCAAAAAATTATTTCCCTGAATTAAATAATTTTTATTTAAATCAAATTGTATTTGAATTAATAATTTCAGTATTTGAAGCAAATATCATTTAATTGATTCAAATAAAAATTATTTGCTTTATTTAATTATTTACTTATCAATATTTATTTGATAATAGACAAGTAATCCGTTATTTTAATTCAAATAAATTTTTTTTTCGTTGTATTTGTTTTTTAATACAGAACTTCTAAAATTTTGTATGAAAATAATTTTCCATTTATTAATTATAACTTTGAATTAATTACAATTCGGAATTAATTATAATTCCGTTTTGCCCTTTTGATTACGAAAGAACAAGAAAACTGGAATTGCTATAAGTTATAGAACGAGATTAATTTTGGAAAGTCTCAAGGTTTTTGGCCTGAGGTTAAATTTCAGTTAGTAAAGAAAAACTTTTTGTTGAACGATTCCTTTTATTTTTGAAGAAAAATGGTAAATTTCGATAAATTTAATATTATTGTTCTTTTTATTTATGCAAATCTATATAATTAATCGTTGTATTCCGGTAATCTGTTCGTAATTTGAAGTTAGTTTGTTTTTTTGCTTCTTAACTTTTTTAATAATTTTTCTTTTTAAATATTTTCAATTTTAAAATTAATGTATTGAAAATCATTGAATTCTGGAAAAGAATTTTGTCAAAACATTTGAGAATAATTAAAATTTCTTCGAACAATTTTATTATTTATGAAAATAATTTGAAGAATTTTTTTAAAATTTTTAGAAAATAATTAAATTCTTCTCAAAATTTTATTAAAATATAGAAAATAATTAAATTCTTTCGAAGAATTTCTTTAAGTTTCTTTGAAAATAATGTAGTTTTTTGAATAATTTTAATTGAAAATTTGGAAAATAATTGAAATAAAAAAATAATTTAATTCGTGCTATGAATTTTACTACTTATAAAAATAATTGAATTGTTTTGAAGGATTTATTTATATTTTAGATAATAGTTGAATTTTTTTGAAAACTATTATTACAAATTAAAAATAAATTTCATGAAATGTTATTAAAATTTTGTTGGAAATAATTGAATTCTTGCGAAAAATTTTATTAAAATTTTTGAAAATTCTAATTGAATTCTTTTTGAAGAATTTCCTAATTTTTTTTTTAAATAATGGAGTTTCTTTAATAATTTTAATTAAAAATATTAAAAATAATTAAATTTTTGCAAAAAATTTTACTATTTATAAATAAAATTGAATTGTTTCGAAGGATTTATTAGAAGTTTAGAAAATAATTGAATTTTTTCGAAAATTTTTGAATTTTTGCAAATAATTTTACTATTTATAAATAAAATTTAAGTGTTTCGAAAGATTTATTAAAATTGTAGATAATAATTGAATTTTTAAAAAATATTTTATAACGAATTAAGAAAAAAATTGAATTCCTTCATGAAATTTTTTTTGGAAAATAATTTAATTTCTGCAAGGATTTTACTATTTAAAAAAATTAATTGAACTGTTTCGAAGGATTTATTAAAATTTTAGAAAATAATTATATTCGCTCGTGAAATTTTAAAATAATTGAATTTTAGCAAAAAATTTTACTATTTATGAAAATAATTGAATCCTTACGAAAAATGTTATTATTTATGAAAATAATTGGATTTTTGCAAAGAATTTTATTAAAATTTTTGAAATTAATAAACAAGAAATAATTAATAATTAAATTAGTTAATAAGTGAATTTTTTTTTAAGTTTGAATCTGAAATTATTCAAAAATGCATATTTAAAAATAAAAAATTTTGTAATTTGCATAATAATAAGAAAATGAACATCACGTTCCGCTCGCAACATTTGCTAGTTAAATATTAATTAATAAACTTTTGAGATAAATATTTTTAGAAAAAGTTTGTCACGTAAATTGAAAATATGTGACAAAATTAAATATGTAATTTTTTATATGTATGCTTTTAGTATTGTTTTTTAATTTTCCCCAAAAAAGGAAATCTAATGAAGTTTATTAAATATTTCAGAAATAGAGACGAGGATTTTATTTTAATGTTTAATAAAAAAAATTGTTAACAACATACTTGGATGTACGATCGGAAGCATACTAACAGGCTGTTTGATTATTTGCGGAATTAATTGGTAAATTGAATAAATATCTTTTTATATTTACAATTCTAGCATTAGGTACTTTAAAAATATAATTATTTACTATTCATTTGGTAATTTTTTTCAACTAAAATAATATTTTCTTGTGGAGATAAATAAGTAAACTATTTCAAAAATCGTGTTTCAATATTTATAAAACTGTTTAAATTTGAGAAAAAATATAAAGTTTTTGAATATTTGATGTATATACTTAAAAGATTGTAAATTATTAAAAAAATTTTGAAATAAGTTTCTACCGTATTCTATACCGTTTGTACTTAGGTTAACTTCCGTTCAAGGTAAAATTGTCTATTGTTGTTTTTGAAGGAATTTATAATTCACATTTTGGCGGTCGGAAGTGATGATTGTTTATTTACAGATTCTGATTGGTTGATCCCACGATTTGTCGTCTGCGCAATGGCACTTGCGCTGTCTTTTTCATTGTGTTTTCCAGTATCCAGTTCGCATTTGTTGCCCGTGAAGGATGCCTTCTGCCAACCCTAAACTAGAGAAACAGGCCTCTACGGAGGCCGTTGATCCAATTCGCCAAGCGGTTATTGTTATCGAGCACAAGATCCGGAATCTCGAGAAACGCAAGGTAATTTCTTCATTTTAATTTGAATCTCGTGTTTGCGAAAATCCGGCTTTTTTACTATCTGTCATCCGCGGCATCTACTAGGATCCGCCATCTTTCGGTGAACCATGTGCTCAAAGCACTGTAATTCACGTCAAATTTACTGATTTTATCCAATTTTATTCATTCTTCATTATACTTTTCAATAATGTATATCTTTATCAATTATCTGATTATAATGAAGGGTTGATTTTATTCGACGATTATCGTTTTCTACGCGCTGCCGCTACCTCGACGTCATGGCGGTGCTTTTCTGCACATCTTTTTTTTTAATATAACCAGCGCCGCGCTCGAATGCCCCATTCTATAAAACCGGCATCTGTTTTTTAAAATGTGAATTTACAATTATTTGACCTTTAAATATTTCCAATTGTCAATTTTAATTTGTTCTCATGTTTGGAAAGAATTGAATACGACTTGCCCTCCTTTTTTTGCGCAAGTACCTCCCCTCTTTCTCCCTTTTCCTGGAAGTATGTTCATACAATCCCTATTTCCTGGGTGTTAATAAACAAATGAATGCCCTCTGTTACGTTTATTGCATCACAGTTTGTATATTCCTTGTTTTCGCCTTGAGAAATAAGGGAATTGAGTATTGTTTTCATATTCGTATATATTCTAGAATATTCACTTTCAACGCCTGAAATTGATGAATTATTTTTCAAAGTTTTCTTTGTTGGAATATTTTCTAATACAGGGTTGCCAAAGGTCAGGGATTTTTATTAAAAGTACTGGAAAAAAATTTAATTTTTAGAATTCATAACAAAATTATGAATTTTTGGGTCTTTTTTTGTTTACCTCATAAAACTATGAAATTACCACAAATTCTAATACAAAACCCGTAATTCTTCTCCAAAATTTAATTATTTTAAAAAAATTTCCTTATTTCAATGATTCACATCTAATATTTTAATAAAATTTTCGAAAAGAATTCATTTATTGATAAAATTCTACTCAAACATTTAATTATTTTTATAAATAATAAAAATTTCAGAGGAATTCAATTATTTACAAATTTTTTATCAATTTCTTCACAATAATTCAATTATTTTTATAAATAATGAAATCAAGGATTCAATCATTATCATAAATAATTCAATTAGAAATTCAATTATTTTCATAAATAATAAAATTCTTTGCAGGATTTCAAGTATTTTTAATCAATTTCCCGTCAAATTCAATTATTTAAAAAAAATTTTATCAAAATTCTTTGAAAAATTCAATTAAATTAAAAAATGTTGATAAAATTCTTTATGAGAATTTAACTTTAATAAGCATTCAATAAATTATTTATTTTTGTATTTAAATAATTGTAAAATTTTCTTAAAATCTTTGAAAATCCGAATTTTTCATAATTTTAACTAAAAATGGATTTGAAATTTCTCAAAGAACTTTGTCAAAAATTATTAAAAATTATTTTTCAAAGAAGAAGATTTAAGGAACAGTTTTAGTTAAAAATACTAGAGTATAATAATTGAATTGAAATGATGAAAATAATTTTAAAGAAGTTACAGTAACAATATTCTTAGAGTAATAAAACAATGATCTTATCACTGGGTCATCTTTAATTATTATAAAAATAAAACACAAAAAATCGATCACTCTGAGTAATCGATTTCTTTATGTTCTATAATAATATTTTTCTAAGATATAGTTCAAAAGGTTTGAATTTGAAATTATTAATTATTAATTATTTTGTCGCAATGAATTATCATATTGTTCTAATTATGAAAAATATAAGCGTTTTTTAATTACATTTTCTTTTGATTTAACGTTAATTGAATTTAATGAAAGTATTTTGAAATACTGATTAACACTCGAGATTTAAATTTACTTTCGGAAATAATTAATTTTAAATGATTTACTAATTCGACTTTTAATTAATTTTCATTTCGCTCTTTTATTAAAGCGAAGAAAAGTCTGATTTTAGGCGTTTATTTGTCAACTTGATGAATTTTTGTGAAATATTGATTTTTCTCTTTTGTATTGCAGGGGAAACTAGAATCCTATAAGGATCTGCAGAAAGGCGGCGGGGAGCTAAATGCAGATCAAAAAACGGCAGTGGCTAAGTATGATGAGGTCATACAGACGCTGGACATTACTCGGGATTTACACAAATCAGTTCAAGGAATCGCCAATGACGCCGTTAAGCAACAAAAGAAGCTTGCGCGCAAGGAGGCCCTTGAAAGAATACAACAGGATATTGGAAAGGTTCGAGAAGTTTTACTCATTCAGGACACGTTGATGAAAATGGGCACAGATAGTGTGCGTGAGGACTTTCTTGCTGGCAAGAACGGAGCTATCAAATTGACGGACGACGATTTAACGGCATTAGACAGTTTATTCAACGAAGTGACGATCAGCAACAAGAGGGATAACAGTAGTTCAACTACAATTGGTCAACAAACGCAAAAAGTTGCCGAACATTTCGTGGCAATTGTTGAAGGCAAACAGCGAGACTTTGAAAAAGTTGGAATCTCCTATCTTAAACTTAAAGAAATTATTGCATCGATTACACAATGCGGTTACTTCGATCAGGTTCAAGATAACGAAACGACTGAAGCTGTGGTAAGTAAATTCATTCATTAATAATTAAAAAAAATGAAATAATTCTGCGTTGAGTAAATTTTAAATAGTCGAAAATTATTCACAGAAAACGGAAGAAGAGACGGAAGTTCAGGCTGATGAGGAACCGGTTCAGAAACAAAACAGCGAGGAATTTAATTCTAACGAAAGGCACATTCCACCGGCCGACTCTGCAATGCCAATTACTAATTTCGTTCAAATAACGCCTCATCCTGTTGTCTCTGTCGCTGCTCCAGTGTCAGGTCAAGTGCCAGTTCTCGGACAACAAATTCCACCGCAAACGAACGCTACGATGGATTCATCGTATTATTCGAACGCTGGTAATTTCGTCCCTCCACAACAGCAGCAGCAACAACAACAACAGCAGCAGCAATCGCAGCAACAGTTGCAAGCGCCGAGAATTAATGATGTTATTGGTACGCCGAATTTCTTTTTCCTTCAGGAGTCCGAATTGGATTCTCCAGACGTTACGCCGCAACCACCAACTCCGCTTATTCCTGTCAACGCTCCCATTCCCACTCAAACATTTACCAATCAAAACTTCTCTTCAACTCCCGTTGTACCGCAACCAGTTCTTTATCAACATCCCGCTCAACCACCAGACATGTCACACATTCCAGGATTTGCCAATCCAAATCCCCCACCTCCAATTCCCATGCCACCCTCTCATCAGCAACCAAATATGCAATACAGTCCTCAACATCCGACAGGCTTTCAACAGCCACAGGGACTCTCGCAAATCAACCAGACGCAATCTCAAGTTTACGATCAGCATCAACAGGACAATCAAGATCAAGCGGTCGATGTAAGTATTTATTTATCAGGATTTTTAAGGTGAATCAGAATATTCTTTAGGGTCGGGGAAAAAGTTAAAATTTTGTCTGGAAATCAGGGAAAAACGAAATTAATTTTTTGTGGCAACCTGGTTTGGAATTCTTACTTTTCATCAGTTTGGATAGTTTTATATTTATTCCATAATTTTAGGAGAAGGATCAGAATCACGGAGAGCCAACGTCCAGGGATGGTGAACTTAATCAACAAAGTGAAACTGTTGATTGGGGACAAATGTCGGAAGGTGCTGGTGACTGGTGTCAGCCGGATCAGTCTCAAGACTCTTCGCAGGATCAGCAGCAATCATCGCAGCAGAACTGGGGAGATCAACAACGAAGTGGCTACAGAGGCAGAGGTGGCAGACGTGGTAACACAAATGGATACGCTGGTAGAAACAGGGGAGGAGGAGGCGGCTATCAACAAAATGGACGCAGCAGTACCGGAAGTGGTCAAGGTATATTTATTTTTTCAATAACTGCCACGAAATAATACATTTTTTAAAAATTAAATCAAATTTTTAAAACATTGTTTAACACTCTCTTCGATCTGTCAATTTCTAGTCGAAATAATTGAGATTGGATTCGACTCGAAATATTGACATTTGATTTGTAGCATGAAATAAAATTATGTTGATAATTTCACGTATCGTTCACAACAACAAAAACTTATTATTTACTATTTTTTCACGATTTACTACTTTTAGATTTGTTACACTAATAAAAGCTACTTTTTTCTTTTTCTTTTGAAAATTTCAAAAAATTTTAATTCACTACCAGTTAGAATAAAAAGATTATTCTACAAAATTTAAATAAAATTAATAGAAACAATTCAATTATTAGCAACAATTTTTCGAAATTCAATTATTTTCAATATTTACTATTTTAATAAAATTTCCCATAAGAATTTAATTATTTTCTAAAATTTTTATAAAATTCTTCTCAGAAATTCAATTATTTTCATAAAGTTTTTCGAAAAAAACAATTAATTTTTTTAAAAATATTATAAAATAATTCGCAAAAATTTAATTATTTTCATAATTAATAAAACTTATCGCAGGATTTCAATGGTTTTTAATACAATTTAAAAAGAATTCCCCGAAATTATTTAAAATATTTTAATTTCTTGTGGAAAAATGAATAAGAATTTAAATATATTTACCTAATTAACAAAAAATTATCCAAGTTTTGAATGTAATTTAAATTGGAAATTATGATAAAAATAGTATTTTAAAAAATTTTAATTGAAATGTTTTTAAGATAATTAAATTTCCGTAAATTAATTAAAAAAGATTAAATTATATTTTCAATTTGTTTGGAAATTTATTTTAATTTAATTGAAATAAATTTTATTTTTTCAAGAATTTTTTTTCTACTTTTAATAATTATTTTTAAATACCTATAATAATATTTTTCAATAAAAATTAAAATTTGGAAAATTATTGAATTTCTGACAAATTTAGAATTAAAATTATTAGCAGTATAAGAAAAAAAAATAAATATTTTTTATGAAAATGGGAAAAAATTAGGGAAATAAAATGCAGAATTAAATTTTTGAGAATCGTCTAAAACGAGTTTTTCTAGTCGTGAAATTTAATTTTTCAATAACTACTTTTTTAGTACTTTTTTCGATCTTAAAGGTACTTTTTGCTAATTTTTAAAAATTAATTATCAATTGCAAAATCTGTAATTTCTTCTTTAAGTAAAATTGCGAAAAATAAAATATTTTTTCCAGGTTCGTACTACCGAAATGAAAACAGTAGCTATCAGCAAAACGGTTATGGTCAACGGAATTCAAACTGGAGCAGCGAAGGTAGCGGCGGTTATAACAGTGGATTCAAGAGAGGATCTGGCGGCGCTCGAGGTGGAAATCGTGGTGAACGTGGTGGCATGGACCGAGGTGGTCGAGGTGGACAATTCCGCGGTGGTAATCAACGAGGCACTAGTAATCGTGGTAGTTATTCGAACCGTAGCAAGTAACAATAAAATTTCATCATTCAACATATTCAACATCCTACTTTTGAAAAGTCAAAGTCATTAAGCTGTGTGTTTGTATAAGAGAAACGAGAAAAACAAACGTCAAACTAGGAAAACAATTTTAAAACCAACACAAAAACGAAAATAATATAACGCCTTAATGAATAATGTAAAGTAACTTTTATTAATTGTGATATGACTAAAAGAGAGTATTCTCTGTAAAATGATAAAGTGTTAAACACGTCTAATCATACTTTACATGAGTTTTGATCAAATTCGTTTGGATAATTGTCAAGTCATTGAAAAGAAAAATCGTATTTTGATAATTCAATTGACAAGTCATTTAAAAACGTGCAACTTACGGCTTTGAGCATTTTCATTGCTAGGTCATTGAAATGAAAATATTAGCGTTTGAATTTTTGAAAATAATGTTACTCTCAGTATAAAAAAAAAGACGACGACGAAGAACGACAACGTTTAAAAAAACAAAAAGTGTACCAGATCGGCTAAATGCAGAAATGTCAATACACCACGCAAGTATTACTGTGTTGTGACAGAAGGCAGTTTTCACAGGGCAACAATAGCTGATCGACAAAGATTAGAAAAAAAAATAATTTTATTATAAAAAAATACAAAAAAAAAAGATAATGAACATATGAATTTAAGCGCATTTCAAACAAACACACAGAAATGTATTTAATAAATGTTAAGATGATCGTTGAGAGTTGGCGATCAGCACCGGCCTCTCTTCGTCTTGCGACGCATTGTTCTAGAGAATTTTTTCTAAAAAAAAAAAAATAAATAAATCTTAACAGAAACGAGATTGTAGAGCAATGCTTGTTTTCCTCATGGTCTGCGACTACTTTAACTTTAGTATTCATGGTCTCAATGTAATTTTTTTTTCTTAAATTGAGACGCATTGTGGTATTCACGAATCGACGACCATGCACGTAGAATTTTGTAATTTAATAACTAGTTGAGTTTCTTTATTTTCTTTCTCTTTTATATATATATTTATATATATATATTGTTTTTATTTAGAAAAAGTATCGCTCCCCTCCTGTGACTGTTTAAACCGCGGTATTCTGAAATTCTTTAGAATTATGAGCAATGTTGACAAAACGATGAGATTTTTTATGAGTGCTTTATTGAAAAATCATGTACGCGAAGAAAATTTTTACAATCTTACCTGATTTTTCATTGAAAGCAGGAAAATGTGAAGTTACAAGAAAGAAGATTATTTTTAAAAAAATGCAAAGAAAAAGCGAGAATGCAAAGTTTTAGCATGTAAGTCGATTCGAATTACTTTTTTTTTCGTTTCACCAGTGTCATTTGAAGAAACAAAAAAAATTACGCCGCCAAAAATATTTCACGCTCATTACCAAACGAACTATCGAAACTACTCAACGTATTTCGTTTGTACATTTGTGTTTAATCACCATTTGCTTCAGTTATGTTCGATTATTCTATGACTATTATGTATCTTCCAAATAAAGATCCAATTCAACATTAAATTTAGTATTTTTCGATAGAAAATTTCTTTTCTTTTTTTTTTTTTGTTTGACTAATTATTTATGATAATCTTTATTTGAAATATATGGTAGAAATCAATATCGGATTAATTGAAACAATTGAAAATTAAATTATTTTCAGTAATTTTTTTTTTTTTAAAAAGGGTTGCAACAGGTCAGGGAATTTAGGGAAAAGTCATGAATTTTTATTAAAAGTACTGGAAAAAATTGAATTTTTAAAATTCATAAGAACTTTTTAGAGTGAATCCGAATATTTTTTAGGGTCAGGGAAAAAGTGAAAATTTTGTCTGGAAATCAGGGAAAAAGAAAATTAAATATTTGTGGCAACTTTGAAAAAGTTTAAATATTAGCGGGTTATGTCACGATAAGTTGGGACAATTTCTTCTGAACCAATCACAAGTCTTGTTGTAGTTTGCTAAAGAAAACAAAGGAAAAGCATTGAAATTTTGACGGTTATTTAATTCCTAAAGGAAAAACATTATTTTTGTTTATTTAAGACATTTTTCTTAATTATTTCATTGTTCCAGGTGTGTTTTAATATACGAATTTTATTTTGTATTCATTAATTTATTCAATGAGGGTGAATTATCATTATTTGGAGTGTCTTTACCTTTGTTGCGGCAACTTGTAGCCGTGGATTGACAACAAAAACAAATAATTGTTGTGAATGTCGGAATATTTTTCAATTAATCAAATTTAACGGAATTGACAACATAAACAGTAGGTGAGAAGCAATATGTATTATAATCTAGTTTTAATTGTTTGAGAAAATAATAAATGTCTATTGTTTAATTTGTTATTTGGTAATTGTTCTTTTAGTATAATGTCGAATTCAACGGCACATGATCCTTCGGTTGAAAGACACTTTATTGGCCATAAGGATACAATTTCAGGATTATGCTTCCATCCAGAAACATCACACATTGGATCGTCGAGTTTAGATCGTACTTTAATGGTCTGGAATTTCACTGATTCAGTGAGAGCGTATAAATTTTCTGCACACAAAGATGTTGTTTTGGATGTTGATTATGCACCTTCCGGGGAAATAATTGCAACAGCTTCCAAGGATAGATCTGTAAGAATATGGGTACCGAAAATTCACGGCGAGTCCTTGGATTTTCGAGCTCATTCCGGCGCTGTTCGTTCGGTGCAATTCAGTCCTGATGGTGAAAATGTAACGTCTTTTATTTTAATATTGAAAGTCTAAATACAAAAGGAAAGTGTATTGTAAATTTGAAAGGAATTATGAGATTTTTTTAATTCAACAGCTCGTGACATCTTCAGACGATAAGAGTGTAAAAACTTGGAAGGTCTGTAGAAGAAGATTTCTTCAATCATTCACGGATCATACGAATTGGGTAAGATGTGCCAAATATTCCCAGGATGGGAGACTAATTGTTTCTTGCAGTGACGATAAAACGATCAAATTATGGGACACAGTAAGCGGACAATGCGTCAGGACTTTTAATGAAATGAAAGGTAAATTATTTACAGATAAGTGTCTATTTAAATGATATTGACAAATAGAACTTAATTTTATTCGGATTATTTAGCATCTGCTGTCGATGTTGAATTTCATCCAAGCGGAGGAGCAATCGGAGCGGCCTGCACAAACGGTTGTGTCAAATTGTATGACTTAAGAACTGCTTCATTGCATCAACATTATAGTATTCACAGTGGAACAGTGCACAAAGCAAAGTTTCATCCGAATGGAAACTTCATGTTAACTGCTTCTCAGGACTCAACAATGAAGGTACGTAATTACCCTATTGTCGAAATATTTTCAAAAATTGCGACTTTAATCGAATCCCTCAAATTCCTCAATTCTTAGAATTGTTTTATTATAATTTTTTAATATTTAATCATCTTCGAACAAAGTAAATTATAATTCTTCAAAAATCTTATTTTTAAAAATTGAATTATTTTCAGATTTTAGATCTGCTCGAAGGTCGTCCTATCTACACATTAAAGGGTCACGTTGGTGAAATAACATCAATATCATTCTCAAAAGCAGGAGAATACTTTACATCAGGAGGTGAAGATCGACAACTATTGATTTGGAAATCGAATTTCGATAAGGAAGATAAAGTGAGAAAAGTTGCTAGACGATTAATTCCACCAAATCCAAAATTAAAATTAGACAATCCATTGTCTGATAAGAGGAAGAATTCACAGGAAAAAGAGTCTGATGATGACGACAACGATGATGATGATAAAGAAGATAATCTGGAAGAGGTATTAAATTCGAAACTACAAATTTAATTCACTATTCTTATTTCTATTTATTATTCATAGTATTTATCAAAATCAAGCAAAAGTTTGCATGAATCACAAACTAAAAGTAGAAGTTTCACTGAATATCCAATGAATTCAAATCATAAATCACAAATTGAAGTGATCAATTTACGAAATATGGAAGCACAAGAAAATACGAGATTCACGATGTCAGATTCTTATTGTAAGGGATTTAGTGACATTTCTCATAGTTCAAGTCAAACGGAATTAATTATTGAAGCACTCAGTGAACAGGTTGAATCAATACGTAATACTGTTGTCTTACTTGAACAACGATTAACGGTAGTTGAAGACGAATTGAAAAGTTAAAATATTTTCTATTCTACTTAAAGAATTATGATTTCGTATTATGAAAGAAAGTATTTTTATTTTTTACTTTTTGTATAAATCATTTTAATCAGTTTTTAGTTTAAATTTGAGAATTTTAAGTTTAGAAGGAAACTTAAAAAAACAGTTATGTAGGAAACAGTTGTGAATAAATATAATTTCACAGAAATAGAAAATTTAAAAAGAAATTTTATTACCTTTTGGAAGGTGATGATTTTTTATGTGCATCATCGTCATGTTTATAAAACGTTAAGTTACAGTTTAAAAGAGTAAAACATTTTGAAATATTAATATTTAAATTTTAAAAATATTTTTATATAAATAAAAAGCATTTCACTTGGCTCATTTTGTTCCAATGAAAGAACTCGTTTTTCCAGTTTTCTTCAAGTACTCCAAAACTAAATCTGATGGTAATTGAGTTGTCACGGTTACTTTTTTACTTGGGACGTCAATTTGCAAATTTTCTATCCCTAGAAAACGAGTTGAATTAAATATTTTTATTTTCTTGAATTTTAAAAAGATAAATTTGAATTACCATTTTTATTGAGCACTCTTTTAACCGCGCCAGCACATCCTTCACAAGTCATTTCGACATTGAATTCATAAACCTAAAATACAATTTCAAAGTAATATTCAATTAAAATAATTCAAATATTTGTTGAAATTTAATAAACAAATTTAATAATTTAATAAAAAATTGAAAAGATTTTGAAGAAAATACTCTTTTTTTAAACTTACTTGTTCTCCCATTGTGTTTTAAGGAAATTTAAAGAAACTTGTGCTGCACTAATTTTATTTTTGTAGTTCTCTTTGCTTCGCTAGCTTTTAAAGTTCTATCGAATGTGATTGACCGAACAGAGTACAAAGAGATTAATTTTTATCTAGGTCATTACCCATTTAGATAAACCTAGAAGCAAGAACCTATTGTCCGATACGTAGAAATTGAAATGACTTAAGAATTTAGAAAGGAATGTTTGTCAACAATAAAAACGTCACTTTGATACCTTTCTTTATTTCTTTTCCTCTGGTTCAAAAATTGGGGCAAATAGGTCCTGAAAAATGATTCCAAATTTGTTAAAATTTAAAATACAAGAAAAAAAAAACTTATTGAATATTTGGAAAAAATTTTATTTTTGAAAGCAAACAAAGATTTTTAGATGTCAGGGAAAAAAAGTGAGGTTAGTCACTCCGGAATTTGACAATTATAATTATTTACTAATTACTAATATTTATTACCTTAAACTGATAATTTTAAATAAATTATACTCTTCAATATGGAGAATATATCACGTAGATTTGTATATTAATTTAAAAAATTGCTAAAATAAAAATAAATTTTGTAATTAGAATTTTGATTGGTCACTCCGAAATTGAATTCTCTAAGCGGTATTTTCAAATTTTTCAATTAAACTTTTTATAAAATTTTATATCAAATTCTCCTTTAATAATAAAAGACTATTTGATATCTTTTCAAAAGAAATTAACTCCAAATGTATTGCTTCAAAGGATTTATTTATTTAAAGGGATTTTATAAAATGCATTTAATGTAAAAGAATAGATTTATGAGTTTATAACCAATCAAATGTCAATGATGTTTCCCTTCAACCACCAATCAGAGAATAGAAAGACGTTTTCCAATTGGTCCATGTATAGAATGTGTCCAGTTACCTGTAGAACCAATTAATAAAATGCATTCTCTATACAACAGCGACAGCTGATTTCCATTATTACGTTGATTCATCTCCATTCATCTCATAAATGTTATACCTTCTGATATTGAGTATAATATAAATTATAATGGAAAATTTATTAAAAAGTAGTTTAAAGAAGGTTATGTAAATGAAATTTTAACAAGGCAGTAGAAGAGCAGTCAGTGTAGTGCGAGAAAGATGTTATGACAAGATTTATTTTTAGCTGAAATTTAGAAAAAAGGTACAAAGGTATTTAACGAACTATTGAAATTAATTTACTACAATAAGCACCACTATTCTTTCAACAATGCTTAATATTCGCAACACTTGCACTTTTTCAAACAAAGATGCAATACTTTTCGCAATCATTTTGTTTGATTAGTTTTACTATAATTTTCTTTTTCTAAATAACCATATAAATTGCATTACCTTCTGTTTACTATTTTTGTTAAACTTGTTTGATAATTTTAACATTTTTTAATCATTTTTATTTGTAGTTCATTTGTCTCTGTTGATGTTTAATTTACCAAATGCTTTTAATACTTTAATGGACTTTAATACATTTTACAAGGTTGCCACAAATATTCAATCTTGTTTTACCCTGAATTTTTCTTGATTTCCAGACAAAATTTCGACTTTTTCCCTGATTCTAAAGAATATTCTGATTCACTCTAAAAATTATTAGATACTCGAAAAAATTTTCTATTAACAGCTTATCAAAATTTTATTATAAAACATGGCAACCCTGTTTTAATACTTTTAATACAGTTTATAATACTTTACTACTTTTGACACATACTTTTAGTGTAAAACTTTCATTTGACGAACTTTTGTTTTTCAGAAATTTCACAATGAATTCAGACAGTCAAAAAGTAAAAGGCGAAAAAATAACACTGAATGATCAGCAAAATTCATCAGATAATCGATTACCAGTACAAGAACCGAAATTCTGCAATGTAACAAAATTAACAAAAACATCAGATGAATTGAAGTTGAACAACAATGTTCCATTAACTGTTGATAAATGTTCAACGTCCAATGAATCGCAAGTGAAATTATCAAATGGATTACCAGTGAAAAACGTCGAAACGCATTGTTCGTCTGAAAATGGCCATTTCTCTGATACCTCAAATCTACCAACTTATACGGGACTCAATCTTAGATTTCAATCGTCGAATAATTCATCAACAAGTCAGGTCAATCATAAATCAACCGTTTTCACGAGTAATTTGAATCTCCCACAAGATAATCAATTGATTCTTCCCATGGTTTCAAATGAATATTCTTCCATGATGTCTTGTCCAAGTGAAGAGAGTAATAATTCAAGAAAAGTGAATAGTTGTGAGACGACAGAGGAGCGCTTGACATTTTCAAATGTACTTTCGGTGAATTCGAGCGAGGACCGGGACATGAGGAATAATGTTGATTATACTTCGGAGATTGAAAAATGTCCACCAAAAGTTTCATGCAGTTCTGATTCAAGTCCTGAAATGGAGAATAAATGGTCCTCGAAGGGTGTTTTGAATAATATCAGTGGGAGTATTGGATCAACGAATCAGGGCACGTGTTTTTTGAGACATAATATTAATGGTTGCAAGGACGTGGCTGGTCCCAGCGGTGTGCAAAAGGTGAGAATTTTTAATTATAGGTTGGTGATTAAAAGTAAAATGGAATTTTTGGTTTCTGCAAATGTTGATTTTTGGTTGTTGGAATTTTAGACTAAAACTTATTATTTACTACTTTTTTTTACGATTTGATACTATTTAGTTACTGTTTTTAGATTTGTACCACTAAAACTACTTTTACTTTTACTTTTTTACTAATTATCTAAAACAAGTTTTCTTAGTCGTAAAATTTAATTTTTCGACAGCTACTTTTTTTACTACTTTTTTCCAGTCTTAAGACTACTTTTTGATATTTTTTTTTAAAATTAATTATCGAGTACGAAGCCTGATATACTTTTTTTTGATTGACTAAAATATTCGATGCATAAAATTACTTGTCATTGAGCAGAAGAACACAGGACCTAAAAAGATCTCGAAAACTATTTTCTTATGCATAATTTTATCTTGTTCACAGACGGCTCAAAGAACGGCGAATGAAAGTCGAGATTCTAGTTCTGGAAACGAAGGAGATTTATCTGACGAGGAGGATCAATATATTTACACCTACAAAGGTGATGACGAAGATAACGTTGAGGATGATGATGAAAATCGATTAGATTTCAGACAGGATTTAAATCATATCCGTCGACAAGAACTCGCAGGTCACGACAGCGATAGATCTAGTCCAGAGATGGATTTTTTGGAAATGGATTTCGATCCTGGACCTTCTTGCGAACATGTAAGTTGATGATTTATTCTTATTGCGAACATTGATGATTTGAAGAAGAAATTTGAACGTTCAGAACTTTAGGAAAGTAAAAAATGTATTTTTTTTTTAAACTATTAACTAAAAATTGAATTATTTTTTATTAGGATACGGGCGATAGTGATATGGCTTCCATCAATGAGGATATACAGAATATTTCTTTGGACAATATGGAAGGTGAACCAAATTTGTTGAATGATTTGAGTAACGCTAAGGTAGTTTCTCGACAGGAGATATTGCAAATTCAAGTGGTACCACGTCAAGAAATTATGCGAAATTCGCAGGAAAATAATCCGATTGAAATTAATGTCGAACAGAATACTTCCGAGTCTCAACCGAGTACCTCAAGCAATTCTAATGATGTCGACAAATCATGGTTGCCTGGTACCAGCACCAGTGTTTCTATTCCTAGTTAGTATCTTTTCTACTTATTTTTATTTCCGTTTTTTACAGTCATTTTTAAACATTATAATCAGCAAGAAGGAGGTTCTTGTAATTTTTAAAAATTATAATCAGCAAGAAGGTGGTTCTTGTAATTTTTAAAAATTATAATCAGCAAGAAGGAGGTTTTTGTAATTTTTAAAAATTATAACCAGCAAGAAGGAGGTAATTTATTGATTATTCTTTTTTTAACAGAAAAGTCGGAAGCAACAGGTTTGCATAGAAGTGGCGGTTGTCCTCTGCAAGAATCCTATGGTTATCACAACACAAGCGGTGATTTAATTTCACCTGGTGAAAGTAGAGAAGTAGATGCAGAATTTTGGTCCAATAATGCATCAACATCATCCTCGGACAATTCCCGAAAAGTTAATCTCAGTTCGACTCTTTATCATCGAATGATGGCTAAAAAATTGATGCTCAACAAGCAAACGAATTTCAATCAAAGCAGCGAATCAAATTTGGTTTGTTAAATGATTATTTAGAAAAGAAATTTGTATTTAATTGTTCGAAAATGATTTTTGTTAATTGGTATTTTTTCTCCTGAAGGAAAGTGAATTATGTGACGAAAGATTAGACGGTCTGCCACCAATTGAAAAACTGATGCACTGGAGTGAACAGGAAGCGGCAGTCAAGCAAGTCACACAAATTGCAACATCCGCTTGTGGTGCAACTGCAGCAATCAACGCGATTGTGAGTTTGAACTAAATTTTAATATAGTATTATTTTAGGTTAGAAACTATACTTGGATTTCTTAGGAACCTCAGGAATATCTCATTTTTTTTCCAGATGGCTCTTGATGTGCCTTTTTCTCTCGAGGTGCTGGTAAAAGGAGTTGCTACCAGATTGAGAGAACCGGGTACTCCATTGCCGAGATATTTGCAAAGTCGTTCATTAGCCGGTGCAACACACAAAGATATAGAGCGAGGTATACATTTAGCAACGAACGGAGCATTGGGAACAAAGTTCTTTGCCTTTTATCCCGAGAGGAAGGTTTCATTATCTCATTGGTTACATCACTGGATGTCTCGCGGTAAATTCTTTGCTTATATTTAATTAAAACATTTCCTTTCTAAAAAAAGTTAATTTTAAAATTATTTCTTTTTAAACTTGACATGTTTATTTAAGGCGCTATTCCAATTGCAACTTTGAATCTTCAACATTGTGGGGAAGGTTGTAATATTCCAGATGCTTGGCATCATCAAATGATATTTGGTGTAGGTCCAGCGGGAATTTTTCTGACGAATCCTCTTCAGTGTCTTCCAGAACAGGTTCGTGAAAAAACTGATTAAATGTTTAATTAAATTAATTATGTATCGTAACTAATCCTGAGTTGCCACAAAAAATTGATTTTCTTATTCCGATTTGCAGATAGAACTTTGACTTTTTCCCTGACCCTAAACAATATTTTGATTCACTTTAAAACAAATTAAATACATAGAAAAATATTTATTTTTGACTATCTTTAATTGAAATTCAAAGTTCTTGAAATTTAATAATTTATAAGAATTCCTCCTATAACTTCTCGAAAAATATTTTCAAGATAAAAAGAATTTAAAATTAAATTAAATCTTTTCATTATTATTTTTAAAGATTGCCGAACAACAAAATTTAGAATTTTCTTATGAATTCTAGAAATTGAATATTTTTCCAGTGCTTTTGACAAAATTCCCCGACTTTTCCCTGATAAATTTTACTTTCCTTGACTTTTCACTTGAATTCCCTGATTTCTCTGACCTGTGGCAACCCTGTAATCAGGATGATTATTGACTTTTTGTTATAATTTCGAAATTAGATACTGCGACATCAAATTGTCAGTCCCAGTGTTTTACTGATACGACGAGCAGATGTTTTGGCACACTGGAATCCAATGACCGATTTATCAGCAATGAAGTCTTTCGATCACAGATGGCGAAAACTAAATGTTCTTGGCCAAGTTGTCAATATGATCCGTGAAACAATGGGCGAAAGAAATTGTACCTCTGCATCGCATGTCCGAATTCCCGCCTCATATCAAGCTGGAATAACTTTGGTTGTTTACTCGGACTCGGAAGTTGCAAAAGAATTGGCAAACGCGGAACAATTACCACTCCTCTAGTCTCAACTAAAGTGTTTTTCTTAAAGCTTCAAAAGAATTTCTTCCAGCACTGCACACAAGGTTTTTTTTTAATATATTTAAAATATTTTTTTAATATACTTCAAATATTTTTTTAATATACTTCAAATACTTTTTTAATATACTTCAAATATTTTTTTATTATACTTAAAACATTATTTTTTTAATATACTTAAATCATTATTTTTTTAATATAATTAAAATATTACTTTTCCTAATATGATTAAAATATTACTGTTCCTAAAATAATTAAAATATTTCTTTTCCTATGATTAAAATATTACTTTTCTAAATATAATTAAAATATTAGGTACTTTTCTTAAAAATATTATTAATTAATATTATTAATATTACAATAACTTTTTATTTTTCGTTTCTCATTATATCGGAAGAGTATATTTTTCCTATAGAATCGTTGAGTTTCATTTTACAGAATAAAAAAAATTGTTTGCAAAGATTTCGAAACGATTTTTCAAGTTGGATATCCTAAAAAAAGATATCTATTTTCAAAGGAATAATATGCCATTGAGATCAAACCCTTATGTAATGGTTTACGTTACAAAAAAAAGTTTCAATATTCCTCTATTTATTTGAATTGAAGCTTCAAGGCAAACTTCTTTAGTTAATACTATTTTGAGATATATTTGTGAAATAATGTATATAAATATTATAACTCACTGTACAAATAGATAAATAATACTAATGTACATAGAATAGTAGAAGTACGCTAGCTTGTCAAAACTAATGCAAGATCTAGCTCAATTGTAATTATTAAGGACAATAGTTTTATTTTTTTCTATAATTTTCCACAAAATGTGTAAGAATTAGATTCTTCATCAATTTTCGTTTCTCGTTTCAAATTATCACCAAAGGGTTAGAAAATTCGTTTTGCTAAGTTTAATTATACTAATGTGAGTTTGTAATAATGTGTCATTTTTTTCAAGAAAGAGAGCAACATTAATTATTCTTGTTAGATTGTTGTGCCTTGCAGTGCTTTAGGTTTAGTTTGTAAATTATACACAGACATTTGATAGTAATCTGTATGAAATACATTCAAGTCATTATATTGGATAAACATTTTGTATTTGATTATCCTTTGACAAAAAATAATTTTTGATTGAAATAATTGAAAGTTGTGGTTTTTCTTACAAAGAAAGAATATATCGATTTTATTATTCTATACCATTTCACATCTATTTTTATATCATATAGAAAACGAATAGGCTTAAGTGCAAAGAAAATACTTAGAATTTGAAGTTTTTTTGTTATTTTTAAATTATGTCTCTTTAATTTCGATTACGATTGTTGATATTATTATCGTCTTGTACAGATATAGTGCATTCAATTTTAGCGGAGAATTCGGTTTTTAGATCTTCTCTTCACGACATACTGAAAATAATTTTTTTTAATTAGCAATTTGTAATTCAATTTTTAGAAAGTAGAATTATAATTCTTAATTGGATTTATCTTGGAAGGGGAAAAAATCTAAATTTTATTTAGATCAAATCAGAGATGTTAAAAATTATGATTTTTTTAAAAGAATACAAAAATACGATTTTTTGGTTTAAATCGGATTTTTTTGATTTAAATTAAATTTTTTCTGGAGCTTGGTTATTAGTGATGATGATAAAAAATAGTCTTTTTTTATTTAATTTCGTCGACATAGGGTTGGTGAGTTTCATCTTTTGTTCCGATTCTTTCAGATTCTTAAGTCAAAGTTGATTAAAAAAATCAATTTTTAAGTAAAACTTTGATTTAAATCATAATTAAAGTGGAAACATGTCTTTGATTTAAATCAAGTTGATTTAAATTATAACAGCCCTGGATCAAGCTAATGGAATATTTAATTGATAAAATCTTAAAATATACCTTTCTATGAGCGATGCACGCATGGTTGAAGTAATGGCAGTGGGTTGTGTTTCATTCAGTTTGAAGACACTCTCAATAACTGAGATTTCTGGCGCAGTCGTGTCCATTCCACAGAAAGAAATCCAATCATTTACCACCATTCCTGCTGCGAGTACATCGCTACCTCTATTTACTGTGCCAGCCTAAAAAAATTATTCCCCTTTCCGTCAGTCGTCACGCTCAATAAAGAAAATAAGACGAAAATAAAAAAATAATATTGATTTCCTCAACTTACAGCAAGTGGTACTTGTAAGAGAGACGATAGTTCATCTTGATCTTGAATTGACGTCTTTGGATGTACTAAGCCCCCTTGATTCGAGAGGACAGAATAGGAACCTACTAAAACATTACTGGCCACTGTTTGTCTGAATACTTCAACATTAAGCGTGTCTTCTAAAATTTCTTCAGTTTCCTGAAAAAGAAAACACACAAAATGTTTATTGCAATTCAATTATTTCCTTATTTGTTTCAATTTAAATATAATTACTCTGTCGAGATCGGGATGCACCAAAGCGACATGGTCATTACAAGCAATTACATTTCCAAGAGCCGAAAGCCTTTCCTCTACCCGCTGTATTTTTACAGTATCGGGAAGTGAATTTCGAATGTGCTGCAGCTCAACGTCTGTTGTTGTGTTAGGAACCAAAAGTCCATTTTTATTACCTAGAAATTTTCAAAAAAGTTAAAATATTTCCTAAACAGCAATTAATGTTCAAACGACAAAAATTATACGAATTATACAAACCAACGCAAAGTCTTCCAATAATTCTACATCCTGCAATTGAGGCATGAACAACTGGTATTGTTTCCGCAAGTTCTGCTTCAAAAACACTAAAAATCATTTACAATTAATAAAAAAGTGGAAAATTAAATAAATTATAAATTTAAAAATACATTTTAAAATAATAATAAATTAAATACATATTAAACTAAAGTACAAGAGATTGTATTTCTTCCTCAAAGATTAAATTAATAAATTACTTTTGAAATCATTTCACAAAATTTTGCAACAATTGCAAATTTACAATAACGTAGATACTATTTTTAGTACCAAATATAACAGAAAGAGGAAAAATAATAATAAATGGTCAAAGAAAACATTTTTCCAAAAAGTTGTTTTTTTCAAGTAAAATTTCGATTATTTATTAATCGAGTAGACCTAACCTTACTTTTTAGATTACTATATTAATCATATTTTTCTTCGATAATTACGCAATGCACGAGCAAAGATTACTCATATTTAAAGTCCGATTGCGTGAAAATAATTAATCTTTGAAAAACGATATAAGAACAATTAATATAAACAAAATTAACAAATAGTAAACAATAGCACAAATTATCAAAACTGAACACGTGACAAAATAAAACTGTCAATGAATGAATCCTTTTTTGTTAATTGATTTGAAAATGATTTCAAAGGAATATAATAAAAATTATTGTTTACCTGTAAAAGTTCTCGGAACCACCGATTGCAACCAAACAGTAGGTATTTGTTAGTTTAGAAAAGACTCCAACTTCATTATTATTTTCAAATTGTACTCGAACAGCCATGATTAGATGAGAAAAGTTGAATTAATAAAAATTGAATTCGAAATTTTTAAAAGGGGTGTGAAAAATTAATTGCACTACTTTTGCACCAAAGATTGTCAAGGGAAAATGATAAAGTTTACTTTAGCCGCGAATGAGTTCAATAGGAGTCTGTTTCCACAGTAAATACACGAGACACACGAGGCTTTTTTACAAAATGTTGATAAGGAAATTATCTACTGTGTGATAACTTCCGTTTTAAAAAAGCGGTAATATTCAAAACTGATAGTGCGCAATTTTTATAAAAAACGTAATTTCTTTTTAATTTTCATTAATTTTAATTCACTTAGGGTTATAAATTTTCTAAAGAGAGCAAAACTTCAATTGTTTAAAAATTAACTTTTCTTTAGTAATTTTTAAAATAATTGACTGCACTTGAGAACCCGTGATTGTTTGAAAAAATAGTTTTGTTTTGTTTTTAGTTTATGGATATACACGCAGGAATTGTAAAATATTGTTTTTTTGTAATTAAAAAATTATTTTTCATTTTTTAAAAATATAATTCTGTGTTTTTAAAGAGTTTTTGTTATGTTTATTAAATTTATAATACATGCGGGAATATCATTTGATACGGAGGATATACGGAGTGTAAATTTTGCGCACCAAAGATTCCTCGCCGAGTTTTCGAGACGGTTTAAAAATGTTGGCATTTGCGACAAGGCATTTACGAATATTAAGTAAAATAAATAATGGCACAAAAATTGCAACTTATTCCACTCTTCAAACTTCACTTTCTCGAATAACTTTTGTCAAATCAACACAAAAATACTCTTTCTGTACAAAACGTATGTATTTCGAAACATAACCTCACTTTTATTTCAACATTTTAAATTGTTATAGAATTTATGAATTAATTAACAATTATTTCTTTGCTTTAAGAAAGAAATATTGATAATTTTGACATTGATTTTTATTTTTTTACTGGGAATGTTCTACTAAATTTGTTGGTTAATTTTATTTTAGGATAATTACAAGTTCTTTGTGTATATTTTGAGAAATCTATACTTGGATTTATATTTAAGTAAAATTTTATTTATTTATTTAAAGAACATAATTTTCTTAAAATATCGTTAATAACGTTAATAATAAGTTATTGTTTTTAATTGCATGTAATTAAAATATTTTTAATTTAATATTTTGTTGTATTTATTGTTTATTTAAATAAAATTTGTTTTCAGCGACCGGTCCCAAAATCACAGGTAGTTTAACAAATATACAATCAAGAACGACACCAATAGAAGCGAAACCAATAATAGATCAAAATCAAGGAAATGAAAAAAGTGAAGATTCGGATAAATCGGATGAAGAGAAAAAAAATAAATCTTATTCTCAATTTACAAAATATTGCATGGCTTTCTGTGGTGTCTCCATGGGAGCTATGGGTTCCTATTTAGTTTTCGAAATGGCAAGGCCAAAGTATGATGAACAAGGAAATATGATCGAAGATGAATTCTCAAATTTGCCATATCCAGAGCAATTGTTTAAAAGAATGTTAAGTGAGCTGAATTATTACAAAAAGGTAAGTTGCTAAACTATTCGTCAAAGTTTTTCTTTGACAATGTTTTTTTGTTTTCTAAAATATTAATTTTTCTGTTATTTGGCAGCTTGTTCAGGAACCCAGCAGAGATAAACTACTTCCTGATCCTCTGAAATATCCCTACATTCAACCTCAGTATACTTTAGTTTTAGAATTAATAGATGTTCTAGTTCATCCAGATTGGACAGTGAGTATAGAAAAATTAAATTAAAAACTTACGATGAATATAAAGGCAAACAGTTTTTTATGTAATCATAATGCTTTTAGTATCACACTGGATGGAGGTTTAAAAAGCGACCAGGTGTCGATAAATTCCTAGAAGCAGTCGCTCCACCTCAATTTGAAATTGTAGTTTTCACAGCTGAACAGGGAATGGTAATTTGATTTAAAATCAATTTCAATTTTAGATAAATTCAGGGTCTGAATAGTTTTATAATTAAAGGTATTCAAAAATAATTAAATAATTGAATTGAAATATTGAAAATACTTTTGGAAAAGTTAGTGAAAAATGAAATTATATTTTTGTAGCAACCCTGAAGTAACAAAATTATTTGTAATATTTATTCTCATTAGCTTTTTTTTTTTAACTTTTCAGACAGTTTTTCCAATTCTTGACGCTCTGGATCCACAAGGATTTATTATGTACAGACTAGTCAGAGATGCGACTCGTTTTGTCGACGGACATCATGTAAAAGATTTGGATTCGATCAATAGAGATCTTAGTAAAGTTAGTATTCACTTTTGCACAAATTACAATTTTTTCTTTTTAGAAAAGTTTCAATTTAGATGCTTATTGAATAAAAAAAAACTTTTCAGGTAATTGTTATCGATTGGAATGGTGAGAATGTCAAATATCACCCAGAGAATGTATTGAGAATTCCCCGATGGAATGGAAATGATGATGACACGACCTTGTACGATTTAGCTGCATTCCTCAAAAGTGAGTTAACTTATTTGAAAATTACCCCATTTTCCTAAAATGACTAAAAACTCGCTAAAATTTTAAATATATTACGACATTAATTTTCCAAATTAAAATTAATCTTTTTTTTCAGCAATTCACGTTTCACAAGTGGACGATGTTCGGGACGTTTTAAATCATTACAGACAGTTTGAAAATCCCTTAGAAGCGTTTAGAGAAAACCAACGAAAATTATTGGTAAGATAGTAAATAAAAAATTTCGTGACAAATTTTTTAATTTTCGTCTACAATTTTTTATTTAAGGTGCAATTAGAGGAAGATGAAGTGAAAGCCCAACAGGACGGTACGAAAGCTCTTACGACAAAATGGAAACCATCTTTTCTAAGAAATCGTTAGTCATTAAAAAAAATAAATGTTTGTTTAATACAAAACTATATATATTACTTTACTAATTTTTACATAAACAAAAAATTTACAGGTAGGTATATATTTAAAATTTTTTTTTTGATAACACAAAATTAAAAACCAGGGACATATTTTCTTTTTTTGACTTCTTTGGATTTTGTTTTTGTTTTTACTTTAGGAAGAAACATTTGCTGAAAACTGTCCGTTTCCACTTGTTGAGAAACGCTGACAAGTTCTTGTGTATTATAAGGCATTGACAATATTTCAATGTCCTGACTTGGCATTGTTGATTGTGTACAATTGTCTTCGATTACTTCGGTGGATTCAAGCCAATTCAATACTTTTTGATGTGGAACTGCCGTCACTGATGGAACTTTATCATCGGCGACTTCCCAAATTGCCAATAGTTCTGGTGCTAATAGATCCACGTATGAATTCATTTCCTCCAGTGATTGTTTCCAACGGGGTTCAGAAAATATTTCCGTTTTATCAGGATGCACGTACTTCAATTTTGAACGCTTTAAATCTATTTTTTCGGGGGAAGAAAAAGGTAAGTGAAATTTATTATTCGGTACAAGATTATCATAATTTATTTAATTAAAATATTTTTGATATTTTAACTTGTGATAACACTCTGAAGAAAGTATCTTAACAGCAAAAGTTATTTTTATCGTTTTTGACTTTATTGAAGTCATTTTATTTTTTCTATTTTTACTCCTGTCAAATACCGTTAAAGTCCTTTTCTTCAGAACGTCACATACATAAATACGTGTAATTAGAATAAATTTTTCTTTTAATCTCTTACTTCTGAAAATATGATCCATACACGATTTCTCAGAAAAAACTAGCGGTATCACAGTATCACTTTGCTTTAGAATTGCATTCTCCCAAGCTTCCAAAGCTCTCACAGCTTGACAATTCTCCGTGGAATATTTTCCAATTTGTTCTTCGTGCGTTATTGTTTGATAGAAAATATCCCCTGGAAATTTATCGTGATTTAGCATATTAATTGGATATTAATTGGAATTGTTCTAGCAATTGATAAAATTATATAATCATAGATTACCAATGGAGTTTTGTTGAAAGAGATAAATCTGTCCCTCAGCGTCCGTAATTAAAGTGCATCCAGCGTTACTGAGACCTAATCTAAGTTTCATCGATGGATCCAAACATTTTCCCTGCATTTGCGATTCCTGAAGAGTTTCTAAAATACTGGTCGGTGTGAAGGGTAAACTGTAGGATTTAGAATGTACCTCATTAGTCCAATTATTGATAATTATTGATCTCTCCCGTTGAATTTGACTGGTGAGAACTATCACTTCTTGATTGCCTCTAAAAAGGAAATGGAATTTTTAGTATTTTTCTTGGTTAATAAAAAATTGCAGTTATTTGAAGTTTTAGAAATTAACTTTTCCATAACGTTGCACAGAAGTGGTGCTCCCTTAAATTGATGAGTCCACTTTTGTTTCATACACTCATCCGGAGTTCGGCTGTCAATTAAAAGAAAACTGTGATAAGCTCCCAAATATCTACAGAATGAATTTTTACTTGCATTGTCAGAACAGAGATTTTCGCAGACTTCCAAGTTTAGTTTTGGACATAAGGACAATGCAGGTCGCTCAATCGGTAGCTAAAGTGAAATGTAATTAATGTTATGAAGATTTAATTAGTTAAGGTTAACTTGAATTCATAATTCAAACCAATTTCAGATTAAAAACTCACCCTTGTGTCAATATAATGAACACAGCATCTATCAGTATAAATTAAAACATCAGGTTCCCTACTTTGATACTTAATACTTCCCCAATTATCATCTAAGACTTTTGTACTCATCACTTCACCACTAGATACAGGTTTCCTGCAATAAATATTTAACAACAATAAATAATAACAAAACTACTAACACCTAAAAATATTGTAGAATAAAAATTCAAAATAATTACATTTTCACCATGTCCCAAGTTGACACCTGTCGTTCAACATTTACTGTACAAAATTCGTTCAGTTTGAACGGATTCAGATCCATACTGACAAACGGAATGGGAGATTTTACTTTGTGAAGTTCAATCAAGTTCAAATGAGAATTATCCATTGATATATTATACAAAATACAGTGATTTTTATAGCGTCCGATAATTCTGTCTGTAAATGAAAACTTTCTCAAAATAGGAATAATTTTCCTTGATACGAAAATAATCAGTTTTTCTTTATATCACAATGATGTGAGATCGAAAGATAATTTTCTATACGTTACGTGAATTGTTAATGTATTTATTTCGTAATTCGTAAAGTACGCCATCCAATTGACATTTGTCGGCAATTCTCAAATTTGGCTTCCATAAACATCCTTCCTGGAGTGATACGGAAGTTGCAACTGCATTCGAAAGTATATTTATTCATAATGCTTAGAAATAAAAGCAAATTTATTTAACTTTATCAAAAATTAATCCCAAATATTTAAATTCAATGCAGGGTTGACACAAAAATTAAATTTTGTTTTTCCCTGATTTCCAAACAAAATTTTGACGTCTTCCCTGATTCTACAGAATATTCTGAAAACAGTACTTTGTACTGAATTGTTTTTACAAATTAAATCAAATTGTTCTTACCTAATTCTTCAGAATAGGGGAAAAGTAGAATATTTTCATCCCCATGGCGAATGTTAGTTAACGTCCCACCGGTATAATACCAGTTGTAGGTCTAAAAGCGAAATATGTAAAATTCAACATTGAAAATACTTAGAAAAACATAGAAAATAAGGGTAAATATTACAAGTTCTTTCAAAATTACTTACGCCTGAAAAATAGGGATCTGGATCCAATTCTATAATTTCAGCAATTTCTGCAACATATCTTGGTAAGGATGTAGTTTTTATTTCACTACTCTTATCCCATTTGACATCACCCTTCTTTACTTTTTTCATAACTAAAAGAAATTTCATTATTTATTACTTAAAATTGTAAAAAAAATCGTTTTTTTCAAAAGTTTTTAGAGTTAGGAAATCATACCCTTTTCGTATTTTAAATAATAGTTTTTAACTCTATTCATGTCATTTTGCATGTGATATTTTGTTGTCATTAATTGCAGAGCTGGATCTTCTTCAACTAGAACTAAAAAATATTTATTAATTAATTTATTCATTAAAAAAAAGACATTCTTTCTTTATTAATTTTTAACACAATAATAATGCATACAATAATAAATGGTTTACCTTGACGACTTAATTTAACTGGAGGTAATAGAGGTTTTGGAAGATCACAATAGTAAGGATAATCGTGAAACATTCCAATCATTGAATTTATATTCCATGTTTGATATTTATTATTTCGAATTAAATTAATTCCTGGCACTGTGTAATGATTGTAGCTTGTTAAAAAAAAGTCTTTCAATCGTTCCTTAACGTTATCACTGGCGCGTTTAAACGCTTTGGATTTAATTTTGTTCTCCATTTTTTAGTCTTCTGCAATTATAAATGTAGTTAACAATCGAAAAACAAATAATGTTGATGATCGTACGGATTTATTATTGACATCGGAAGGATTATTCTAAACGTTTTTTAAAAATACTTCCAACGACCACGTGCACGTGTTTTGATACACAATCTAACCTAACTTTACAATTTAGGTTTTCCAAAACCTGTCTTCAAGATTGCGCATGCTCCACAAGTTTCCTTTTGAGTCAGAAGTTAAAACAATTAAACGATTTAATTTCTTATAATTTTATTTAAAAAATTAGTTTTGTATATCGCGTGTGACTATTATTTTAATTCTTTTTGTATTTTTTAATTATAAAATTCATTTCCTTTTCTATTTTTTTAAGTAAAGTAGAAAATGATTTTTAAATACTCGCGGGTATTTGAACCAATGAGTGCAAGCGTTTTCGACGCAAGCGCAGTGTTGAGTCTTAGGTTTTAGGAACACTCACTAGGCGCAAACATAACCTATTGAATTCGAACCGTTTTATTTTGTTGATCTTGTCTTTATTAATGTTAATCTTGTTAATTAATAAATATATTTTATAAAGACGTATATTACAGAAAATGAAGAATATTTCAAGACTCTTTGGCACGGATAGAATATTAAACAGAAATGTCAGAACAATTCGTAAACAATCAAAGGATAAATATCCGGCAAATCATGAAACTTCAGAAAAAGTTTATAAAGAAAAACATCCTTACAAACAAATTCATCCTTGGAAATCAGCCAGCGAGTTTTCTGAATCTTTAGTAAAAAATATACTTTATAATGAGGGTGAGTTTTACTTTTAACATATTATTGTAAATTAAAATATGTTAATTTTGCTTAGATGTATATTTTACACGAAAAAGAAAAAAATATTTATTTAATAATTAACTGTTGTAGATGGTTTGGTTGCTATAAATAAACCGTACGGAATTCCTTCGAGAAATAAAGACATAACTGACACCAAGCCTCGATTTTTACATCGAAGTCTTAATAGTGTTTCAAATGGTGTTGATTATTCGATAGCAGATTCTTTACCGTACATTGCCAAACAGCTTGGTTATGAAAAATTAACGGTCATGAGAGCGCCTGAAAGGTATAATTAATATAATTAATTACTATTATTGTTAATATTTACATAACTTCTTTGTTAAATACACATTTCTTTTTTAGATACATGACCGGAGTTACATTACTCACTGCCGACAAAACTGTAGAAGATAAAGTACTTTTAGCAGAAAGGCGAGAATTCACTTTAAAACAACTTACAAAATCTTATTGGATAGTTACGACCAGACTGTGTGCAAAAACAAACGATAAAGGACAAGTAGGAATGAAGTTATTCAAAAGTCCTTGCAAAAAATTCGAAAGGGTAATGTAAAATAAATTATTTCATCAGTTCTTAAAAATCAAATCATCAAACAAAAGATAAAAGAACATCTAACAAAAAAATAAATAGTAATTTAGTTAATCAAACATATTTTTTTAGCCTGTAATAATTAAAGAGTGGAATAATGCCCAAGTGGAGAGGAAGGAAGTAAGACTTCTTAATTTCGAACACGAATTAATATCAAATTCAAAAATGGATCTTAGTTCTCTCATAAAATTGAAAGCATCGACAAAAAAATGGCACGCAATTAGATTATTTGCAGCAACACAATTGCATAGTCCAGTTCTTGGTGACAATAATCATGGATCGAGAATTCAAAATATTATGGGAACGTGGATGACGGTGAATCCATTTCTCGAAACTGTCAGCAAACCACCGACACTTGATCCACAACTTTTAAAAAGTTTAAACTTATCCCAAGCCATGCAACCCATTATTCCTGTACATATTCATTTGAGAGAGGTTGAATTACTTCACTTTTTGGGACGTAAAAAACATTTAGTTATTCAAGCTCCATTATTCCCAGAATTTGCCTGGACGATAGAGACTCTCGGTTTAAAATTACCCGTGGAAACTAATTCAGATAGTGACGACGTGAGAGAGGAAGAGAACGAGGAGTCTGTACAGATTAGTCAATAAATTTTTATGAAAAGAAAGACGAATTCGTAAGAAAGTTGGTTGGAAGGTAAATGAAATCTTTTTTTAATTATTTTATTATTTCTTAATCAAAGAATAAATTATTTTTTTGTAGGTATTTAAATAATAATTGATTTAAAGAACCGTATTTAAAAGTTAGTGCGTATTTTATTTAAAGATTACAGAAGTTATTAATGAGAAAGGACATGTCGACCTTTTAAAATTCTTCTCATAATGATTTTTCTTCCCGAGAGAGTCGCCATTCTTGCTTTCCATCCGTGTTTTCGAATTCTCATAACTTCATTTGGACGTGGAAAATAATTTCTCACTTTATTTCTAATTGACATTACATTGCAGCCCCCATTTACTAATTGATTCGATAACGTTGGTGTGGCACTCACCGATGATACCACTTGCCTTCCCACCATCGATCTACAAAATTTATTATCTTTTAATTCAAAAACTTGTGGTATTTTTCTATTATAAATAATTTTTTTCCCCTTGCAAGTAGAGAATCAGTTTATTTAATTAATCAGTACTTACGGAAGAGCATTAAAAAGAGAAGTCGCTAGTCTTCCAAGCATTATTCTTCGCAATTCTCTATCGAATCTCTTTAAATTCTCCTTCAATTACGTAATGAAAGCAGTTTTTCTATATTTCTCAATTTTTTTATTATATTTTTACCCTTGTTTTTGTTATTCAAAACTTTAAAAGCCGCATATGAATTTTCGACAAATTTGAGGTTATGTTCATAGTGCTGTAACTTCACTTCCGGTTTGCGCACGCATGATCCTTTCCCGCCACAATTTAAATACTTTTTCTCTTCTTTTGAAGAAGTTCTATTTGTATATTATTATACAAACGCAAACATTTCTTATTTCGAAATTCGAAGACTAGAAAAATGTTAAAATTATGTTAACATGTATTCTGAAATTGATACTATTAATTAACAAATAAAAATAATTTAGTAATTGTTAATTACAGTGGCGCTGGCGGAAACAGTCAAGGATTTTTTGGGGGCAGGGGGCAAGTGTTTCCTCTTTCTTTCTCATATAATTTTCTTAGGGTGGGAGGGGGTTCCCCCTGGATCCGCCATTGTTTTTAGTAAAAATTATCAAGACGGCGTCGTTTTTTTACCTTCTGAAAAAGTTGGGATAAAATATTAAAAAGAGTGAAAGAGTTAGTGGAGAACGAGCAAGAATAATTTTTAATTAATTGGTCATAAATCTTTTTGAATTATTATACATTCTTTTGAACGATGGGTGGGGTTTAACAGATGAATATATTTGATCAGGCACCCGGTAAACTCTGTCAATATGACAGTTGACAAGGCACAGGATGTTCCTTTTCCGCCGAAGAGCTTCGATATATGGCACTCCCTCGCCATAGAATTGAGTTCAATCGCCTTTTCGTCGATTGAGCTGTATCTTCCAGCACACTCGCTATATAATTATATATACACCCGCTCACAATATTTTATTCATTTTATTATATGAAATACTTTCATCTACCTGCATTATTATATTGTATTTCATTGCAATCCGATATCTATCAAGTCGCATACACGCGTACAAATTATTTATTCGAGCTACAAATTTGTCAGTATTCCTGACATTTGAACCAAGGTTACTAATTATTACAATAATAGTAAAACTTGAACTAATTATCAACGTTCGAATCGTTCGAATTAATCAAAAAATGTTAATAATTCGGTTTGACAATTTTGAGGTTAGGTTTCTTTGTCAATTTTTATTTAAAAAACTAAATATTTTTCGTTTTTATAATTTTGAATCTTTTGTTGCAGAAGACGAGTATTTCACGATAAGATTGTGAGGGAAAAAGGAACAAGTATGGAGAAGAGAAAAAAATGGATCAAGTTGTTTGTCGTCGAGGAAGAAATATATATTGATGTGTCAATGACACTACTTGGTAATATGCTTTTAAAAGATTAATTGTACTTCTTGTGTACCGATATCTTAGAATGGCATCGGCCTCGTTTTAGTGCATATATTCATATAGGCCTCACAAAAATGTTAATGGCATTGCTTATACATATATACATCATGTCGCAATATCCGAGGGACGTGGCGTGACGCCTTCTTTATCGGGAAGTATAGTATCCCATTGTAGAGGAATTTTTTCCCTCCGTGGGGTGTATCGCAAGGATGATTCTCTAAACTCCGTTTAAACGTCAAACCTCCTTCTCTTTCACAGTTACATAAACAATTCACACTTCGCGAATTTATCATTTTATTATATCTCTCATTGTGTTTTTAAATTATTTTCTGGAATTTAAATTTATTAAATTATTTATTAGGATTTTTTCCGTATTTCAAATCATTATATAAAATTCAATTTCTATTTCGAATTATCCTATTTAATTTACAGGGTTGCCACAGGTCAGGGAAGTCAGAGAAAGTAGAATTTATTGGTCAGGAAAATAGGGGAAATGTCATGGAAAGTAGAATTATTGGTCAGGGAGTTTTATTAAAAGTACAATTTTCATAAATAGATAAACTTCAAAAGGTTTTACAGTTGAAAATTTATATAAAATTTCAATTTTGAATAAATTTAATTAGAAATTTTAAAGAACTTAGAATTTTGAAAAATTTTAATAATTCAAATTCTTCTGAAATTAGTTAAATTTTTTAATATATATTTAATTCATTTATTAAAAATAATGGACTTATGGAAGAGTTTTAGTTTAAAAGATCCTAAAAAAAATTTTTAAATTTAATTTATTTTGATAAGTTATTTATTTATGTATTTTAATAAATAAATTGTCGTAGATTTTTCTAATTAAAGTTAATTTGAATATAAATTTTAATTAAATTTTAAAAATAATAGAATTTTGAAAGGTTTTAAATTAAAATCTTTGAAAATTCGAATTTTCATACCTTTAAATAAAAATTCCGTATAGAATTAATTTTTTTGAGAAAGTTTAATTGAATTTTTAAAATTATTTGACCTTTTTATTTTTTAGTATAAATATTTATTTAAAGAATTTACAAATAATCGGAATTCCACGTAATATTGAATTTTAAACAAATGAATTTGAAAATTCTCAAGGAACTTTGTAAAAAATTATTAGAAAGAATTGATTTAGAGATGAAATTAAGTTGAAAATTCTAAAAAGTGATTATTGAACTCAGATGATAAAAATAATTTTGAAGCAGTTACAGGAACAATATTTTTATAATATAAAATAATAATCACTCTGTCATTTTTAATTATTGGAAAACATGAAGAAATTGATCACTCCGAGTCTTCGACTCGGAGTTATCGATTTCTTCTTGTTTTATCATTTCAAATTCTATTAAAAGTTATTGAATTTTAAAAGGTTTGAACTTGAATTTTTAAAAAATTTTAATTCCTATGGGAAAAAGTGAAAATTTTGTCTGAAAATCTGGGAAAAGTTAGGGAAAAACAAAATTAAATTTTTGTGACAATACTGATTTAAAATTAAATGTATATTTCAAATTACAAAATTACCTTTTTATTTTATTTTTATTCACCTTTTTATTTCAATATAAAAATTGTAAATTGAAAATATACAATCATAGATTTATATGTGTCATTAATGAGTTAATTTTTTTCGCAGGAAGGAAGAAGAGTCGCAGCGATGAGCGCGGTGGAAAAAATATGATGAAAGGACTTGAGGATAAAAAAACGTGTGGTGTTAAGTTAAAAAACCCTTTAGTTAAGGGGCTTAATGATCAGCGCCCAGTTAGAAGGCGTGAAAACAACATCGCGGTGTAATCACTCTCTTCGAATACAAGAGAAATCCAATAGTGTCTTCTTACTTCTCGCCATCTTCGGATCATGATAGGAGCCAAAGAGAGGACGCCAGTTTATACCCCCCTCACAAAAGGTAATTACTGTTATTTTATCGAAAACTGTAATGCTCTCGCTTAAAGCCGCTCTACTTATGCGTATTATCTTTCTAAAGTTTCTGTATGCCGTTCTTCGGGCAATCGTTTTTTTTCAAGCATCATTATAAAATTGCTTTGCCAAATGAAATGCCCCGCTCTCTTTCAAAAAAAAAAATTTATATATAAAATTTATTGCACGAATCAAAACTCTGCCCTTTTGCGTAAGTCACATGCATATAATGGGAGAAAATTTATCAAAATTATATCGTATTTATTAAGTTTTGTAAAGGTAAATATAAAGTTTATAAATTATATATGTTTTCAAATCTTTTTCTTTTTCGACATATACTTAAATCATGTTATGATTTTCTCATCGACTATATCAATATTCGTTTATATTTATTTGAATAAGGAAAAGATACTTTCTCTTGTGGATAAATTTAAGGTCTTTGGTAATTTTTCTTTTCTTCTCTTCTTTTTTTATAAGAAACCTTTTGTTATTTTATATATCTGAGAACGCGCTACCCCTTTAAGAGAAACTTGTAATTTGGATACTGACCCGTAATTTGGTTAAACTTCTTTTTTTATTATATAATCTTTGTTGGGCATACGATTTCTTGAGGAATACGATCTCTTTGGTAAATGGATCTTCTTCAATGAAGACTTTAACGATTTTATATTTCTTCCTTGGTAATAATGATCGCGTGACTGTATAATGAGTTAATTAATTATTATTCGATATTTGACGAATTTTATAGAGATATTCAATTATTCTCATGAATATGGGTTTTATTTACATCATCTATTTATTTCTATTTGTGACGCTTTGCCTTTCGTCGTCGACTTTTTTATAAACCAAAATTTTTTTTGAAAAATTGTCTGACTTGACATTTTTTTCTATACTTTAGAATTGAAGATCTCTGAAGCATAACGTTCTTCTTCTCCTTAAAAGTGGACAATATTGTCCCCCTTGACGTTCTTCTTCTACTTACAAATTGAAAATGTCTGACTGAACTGTCTTTTTCACTTAATTCATTGAGACTTTGTGTTCGATTTGATATTCTTTTTACACTTAAATACGAAAAATTAGGTTTCTGTTTCTTTTTCGTTTGTCAATATTTGTGTGTAAAATTCATTTTTTCACTATGAAGTATAAAGTAACTAAAAAAATATAAATAAAATAACTAAAAATCATAAATAATTGAAAAAGAGATCAAAATCAGTGCAGGATTGCCACAAAAATTTAATTTTAATTTTCCCTGATATTTCCCTGATTTGCAGAAAAATTTTTAATTTTTTCCTTACTTTAAAGAATATTCTGAATCACAGTCTAAAAATTATTAGAAACTTAAAAAAAATGTTCTAATAAATTTATTTACGAATTTATTTAATTGTAAAATTAGTCGAAAACATCAATAACTTCGTTTTTAAATAAATATTTAATAATTATTATTTTTCCATAGGAATTAAACTTGCTTAAAAAAATTAATTCTAAACAGAATTTTTAGTTAAAAGCATGCAAATTCTAATTTTCAAAGATTTTAATTTGAAACCTTTTCAAATTCAATTATTTCTAAAATTTAATTAAAATTCATATTCAAAATAATTTTTATTAGAAAATTTTCCGACAATTCAATTATTAAAATACATCAATAAACAACTTATTGAATAATTGAATGTTTTTAAAATTCAATTCAAATAATTTAAAGAAATTCAATTAAACTTTTTGAAAAAAATTAATTCTACAGAATTATTAGTTCAAAATATGAAAATTCGAATTTTCAAAGATTTTAATTTGAAACCTTTAAAAGATTCAATTATTTCCAAAAAATTCGTGCTATAATGCTTTTAGTATTCAATTATTATCTAAAATTCTACGAAAATTCAATTATTTAAATATAAAAATAAATATTTTATTGAATAATTGATTACTTCTTTAAATTAAATTTTCTTAAATAAATTTATCCTTTAAATTTCAAATAATTGAATTTCTTTTAACGAATTTTAATTAAATTTTTAAGAATAATTACATTTTTCGGGGAATTCGATTAAAATTGTATCAAAAATAATTAAAATTCTGCTATGAGTTTTATTATTTATGAAAATAATTAAATGTTTACGAAGAATTTTATTAAAATTTGTTTTAAGTAATTGAATTCTTTTGAGAAATTTTTTTTAGAATATTAGATATTGGAAATCATTGAATTGAAATAAATATTGGAAAATAATTCAAATTTTGACAAGAATTTTATTAAAATTTTTGAAAATAATTGAATTTCAGAGAAAAATAATTTTATTATTTATAAAGATAATTGAAATTTTGACGAGAATTTTATTACTTTTGAAAATTTTTGAATTTCTAAAAAGAATTTTATTATTTATAAAAATATTTGAATCCCTGTACAAAATTTTTATTATTTATGATAATAATGGAATTATTGCGAAGAAATTTAGAAAACATTGTAAATAGCTAAATTTCTGTGAAATTTTTATTATTTATGAAAATTTAATGTTTGTTTAAAATGTTATCAAAATTTTTTTTAATTAATTGAATTCTTTTGAAAAATGTTATTAAAATAGTAGATAATTGAAAATTTTTGAATAGTATAATTGAAATTTTGCTAAGAAATTTATTAAAATTTTTAATAATAATTGAATTTTTGCGAAGAATTTTATTACTTTTGAAAATAATTGAATTTCTGCAATGATTTATAACTTTTCCAAAATTCAACTTTTTTAGTATTTTTAACTAAAATTCTTATTAATTAAAAAATGTAACTAATTTCAGAAGTATTTGAATGATTAAAATTTTTGCAAAATCTGAGTTCATGAAAATTTCTAATTAAATTCATTCAAAATTGAAGTTTCATAGTTTATTAGGCAAACAAAAAAGACACAAAAATTCAGAATTTTCTTATAAATTCTAACAACTTAATTTTTTTTCCAGTACTTTTAATAAAAATCCCTGATTTTTCACTAAATTTCCTCACCTGTGGCAACCCTGAAGTGAATTGAAAATATAACTTTAATTTTAAAATTTGAATTGTTTGCAAATTGTTTCAAATTTGAATCGACATTCTTTTCCCATTGAAAATGTCATAATTTCCATTTATTCAAATTTCATTTATAAATTCAAGTTTCGAAATTACCATACAATTTTTTTTTTTATTGAAAGGACTTTCATTTTCAAATCAAAATTCACATGGGAGAAGTTTTTAAATTTGCGTAAAAAATTGACAAAGATCAAGAAAATATGGAAATTGAACAAGTTTATTGTAGTAAAGTAAAGTTAAATTGAAAGAATTTTTGTTAAAACGAAAAGAAATAAGAAGATTTTGGGTGAAATGGAAGAACATCTTCTGTACTTGCGCACTATATAGATATAGAAAATGTACATTACACCCTGGCTCTCCCACTTTTACTGCTATCACTGCAGTTACAACAGTCTTCGAGTGCACACGAACTCAGGGTAGCTCCGGATTAGGTCCAGTTTCCTCAAAGTTTCTCATATATAAAACTCATACTATTTTTACAAATAAAATAAAAAAAAATTATCTGTAGGTAACTAGAAAAAATATTTTTTTTTATACTTAAATTAATGTTATTAATTTTTTAAATACGGAATATTTTTGAAACAATGAAAATTTACTTGAAAGGGAAAATTTATTATTGAGAGTTGAAACAATGACGATTGTTAAGTATTTCAAAATCTTATTTATTCATTTATTATTGAAAAATGGTTACTTTTTCGGTAAATTTATAATTTTAATTGATTACAATGTGTCTTCTTGTGCTGAAAATTTTGCAGAAAACATATTTCGAATTTGTTTTTATTAAATCACAATTATTTGAAATAGTTTAGTTGAATTACATTTTGGCAATTATTTCATGCACTTATTGTTTAAAATTTATTTATTTAATATTCATTTATTATTATTTATTCAATATTTGTTTATATTATTATTTATTTAATATTAATTTATTTTTATTTATTCAATATTTATTTATTATTATTTATTCAATATTCATTTAATATTTATTTACTATTTATTTACTATTTATTTATAATTTTTTATGTCGAATCGAAATAATCGAATAAAAGTCAAGTTAATTGAAAATTAAACTGTAATCGAATTAATTTACGCAAGAGATTCAATTGTCTTGGTAAAAATATATTTTATTAAATTAACTCAATTTTGATCTATTTAAAGTGATTTAATAAAATTACACGACGTTTAATAAATATTTTTCTAAGTATATTTTTTCATTTTTATTATTCTATTTATTTATCCTTTTATTTATTCTTTTTATTTATTCTTTTATATATTCTTTTTATTTATCATTTTATTTATCATTTTATTTATTCGCATTTATTTATTCTTTTAGTAAATTTTCCCTTTTGAAGTACAATTTTCTTTCTTGTAAACTATTCAACAGTATAGAAAATCGAATAGAAAAATGTTACGTTCTATGCAGGAAATTTGTAGAATTTTTTTTTTTTTTGGTTATTAAATGAAGGACGTGTAATTACGATTAATTCGACTTTTAGTTTCGCTTTTCGTTAACAATTCCGTTGTGACAAGTTGCATTTTATAATGCATCTGCTCTTGGGATTTCATAGCCAATGGCTTTTTGAGTGTCAATGTCAGTGTCTCTCTTCTTATCTGCCTTTTAATATTATCAAAATTGAACTTGTGGATTATTGTTTTGTGTTTGTTAAATAGTGCTTTGTTTTTTTAAATGAAAAAAAATTACGAAAACAGTATAAACTATTTTTTTCAAATGGTGTATTTAAGAACATCAAGTTAAACATTTTGGTGAGTAAAAATAAAAACTCCGCACTGTAAAAAATTAATTAATTAAATTAAATTGTTTTATGAATATTAAAAATATTTTGTTATTTAACATTTTTCAATGCTTTAAAAGACTATTTAATTCTACATTTACTAAAGATAGAAATAAAATAAAAATTTTATTATTTGTGAACGAAAAAAGTGGTTTTGAAAATGTTTTTACTAACAACTTTTTTGTCGAACCTTTAAAAAATTTGGAATCATTTTTTTTAGAACACAATGTATTTCCTATTGAAATTTCTTGAAGTTAATATTGTCAAACCCACTTTTTTCCGTTCATAAATAATAAAATTTTTATTTTATTTTCATTTTTAGTACGTACAGAATTTGAAGATTTATACTTGTAAGTATACCAACACCTAATATTTTTAATAGCTTTTGAATGTCTTTTAAAAAATTGAAAAATATTTAAGCTTACGAAATCACATCGTGAACCAGCTATACTTTAGAAATTTAAATTTTATTTTTAATTATTTTAATTGTTATTCATTACTTTATAAAATTCTGAATATTAATGTAAAATCACAATTTTTGTTTAAGATGAAAAATTAACTGAAGAGAAATCATGGATTTTCTTAAAAGTTTGGGAAATAAGAAGCTTTCTTCATTCATCTTCATGGAAACGAAAAGATGTTCCCGAAAGAGGAGAAGAGGACGAAACCCATTTTACGTGCGGCAACTTTATTGTTGGTGAGTTTTTACATTTTAAAGTTTTATTTTGAATTTTACTAGTGAGGACAGAAAGTTCTTCAAATTGTATTTTTTTTTTATAGTAAAAACCAAGAAAAGTATTTTTTATTCATTAATAAAATAGTTCAGTGTTAAAATATTCATGTAATACTTTTAATGAGCTGAAATTTAACATTATAAAATTTAAAAAATTTAAAATAAACATTCACAGGCTTGCCAAAGGTCAGGAAATTAATTTCCAGGTACTGGAAAAAATTAAATTTGCAAATGAATGTAATAGAAAATTTTTTTGAGTATCTAGAGAGTGAATCAGAATATTCTTTAGGGTCAGGGAAAAAGTCAAAATTTTGTCTGGAAATCAAGGAAAAGTCAGGGATGAACAAAATTAAATTTTTGTTTCAACACTGATACAGAAACTACCTATAGTCAAGTAAATTATTAATGTCCCAAAATTTTTGAACGAAATATATTTTTTATTTAAATATTTTCAAAAATTACTGAAGTAATTTAAAATAAAAAATGAAGTAAATTAGGTAATTAAAAAAATTAATATTATGTTGTTAAGGATCATTAATTAAATTCAGTAAATTAAGTTCTTATTTAGTAACGATTAATTTTTTGTTTTAATTATAATTTATAAACAGTGACATTGATTTTGTTCGCGTATGATTAAGCACGTCTATAGTGAATTATAATAATATTGAGAAACGAAAAAATAAAAATAAAAGCGTAGACATCCGAGCAGAACAGACGAGTGTCATACACGTAGACTCCGTGTGCATTAATGCATTAAAGACCTTCTGTCCTGAAAAAGTACGAATCGTTTCAAATTTTTAATCCCTGTATTTGATTCGATTTGGCTTGAATTTGAAGCGAGAATTTCATTTCATAATCCAAAAGACATGTTTATTTTTCCGTTATGACTTTTATTTCAAAAAAATAAAATTAAAAGCAACCCAAAAAAAAGAGATTCATGAGAAGATAATTTTTATAATCCGATCCATAAATTTGAGTCACAGTATTTGAAGTTAATATTCGTGAAATTGGACTAAATTGAGGACCACCGATCAACATGAAATTATATACATATTTTGCATTATCTTTTTGAGCCCTTTGAGGTATATAATAACTTAAAAGGTTAAATCTTTTATTATCGAATTATTGTGTATTCGGTAAGTTACTTTTTATGTTGTTATCGGGTTGCATTCAGGGGATAAAAGACCCTTTCGATCGCGGATGAGTGATTGATCGATTGAGACTATAAGACGACATGCAAGTCGCTTGTGTTTGTGTTCACAATAATTTTTACACATGTTGCTTCACACCGATATAAAAAAGGATCTTAAGACACGATTATGTTTATAAAACAAAGAATTTTCTTTCTTTCTTTTCTTTCTTATTTGGAATCTGTGAAGTTATTTTTTTTATCAGGGGTGCCACAAATATTTAATTTTGTTTTTTCCCTGATTTCCAGACAAAATTTTGATTTTTTCCCTGAACCTAAAGAATATTCTGATTCACTCTCAAAATTATTAGGTAGTCAAACAAATTTTCTATTACATTTATTTACAAATTTTTATAATTGTAAAATTATTCGAAAACATCAATCATCATTCTTTTTTAAATAAAAAATATTTAATCATTATATTTCCATAAGAATTAAGATTTTCAAAAATTTTAAATTCAAACCTTTTAAAATTAATAACTTATCAAAATCCGAGTCTTCGACTCGGAGTGATCGATTTCTCCATCTTTTGTAATAAATTAAATTACTATAAAATTTTAAAACGAAAATTTAATTACTTACAAAAATCCTTCACAAGAATTAAATTATTTTTACAAATAGTAAAATTTTCTCAAAAGAATTCAATTATTTAAAAAAATTTAATAAAATTCGTTACAAGTATTCAATTATTTTTATAAATAATAAATCGATTATTCGGAAATTTATTTTTAAATCAATTTTTATTAGAAAATTCTACGAAAATTCAATTATTTTAATTCAAACCTAAATAATTTTTTCAATAAATGAATATTTATTAAAATTCAATTCTCATAAAAAATTTTATCAACAAATTTTTTAATAATTGAATTCTTTTGACGAATCTTAATCAAATTTTTAAGAATAATTACATTTTTCGAGGAATTCGATTAAAATTGTAATAAAAAATAATTAAAATCTTGCGATGAGTTTTATTGTTTATGAAAATAATTAAATTCCTGAGAACACTTTTATTGTTTATAAAAATAATTGAATTGTTGCGAAGAAATTTATAAAAAATTTGTAAATAATTCAAATCCTAAGAAAATTTTATTATTTATCAAAATAATAAAATGTTTGCGTTGAATTTTATTAAAATTTTTTAAAAATAATTGAATTTCGGGTAAGAATTTTATTATTTATAAAGATAATTGAAATTTTTACTTGGATTTGTTTTTATTTTCGGACATAATTGAATTTTGCAAAGAATTTTATTGAAATTTTTGAAAACAGTTGAATTCCTGGGAAGGAAACTCAAATTTTTATGAAACCTGCGTTAATATCATAGTTATTAAAAAAATAATAATAATAGATAATTTTAATAAAATTTAGAAACTTGATGAATGACTTTCGTGAAGTCTTTTTTTCGATATTTTAAATTAAATTATTAGGTCGAGTTGAAGTTTATTGAAAAAAAAAATTATAAATAGTCAAGAGCGGTAGCTACTCGAGCACTTAATTTTATGATAAGGGAAGATTACATGACAGACCATCGTTTCAAGACATTAAAGAATACTTGTATTTCCTGCTTCTATAAAAAAACTTTTCTCAATACTTTCCATGTCTATAAAACAAAAGCTATTAAATTTCAATTTACGAAAAAATTTACAAGCAATATTTTAACATTTATTCTATGTTATTTATTTTTAATATAATTGTCACTATTCTAATATATATTTATTTTATTTAAATTATTAATTTGTCGCAAAAAGAGATTACGTTAAATTTGAGAATTATTATTGAAAAATTTGCTATAGAAATAATTGATTCAACGGTCACAGTGATATCGCTCGTTGAATTAATTATTTTTATGGATGTCAATCATAAAAAGAGAGTGGTCTGAATTTCATACCTTTCAGTTTATAATCTTAAATCAAGGGACATTTACTGCTTGTGTATATATGCAACGAAACATAAGTTTCTCATTCCATTTTTTGTACGATTTTGAAAATTAGTTTGCAGGAAAACTTCTGTTCGTGTAAATAGATTTTTCAATTTTGAGAAATTGGGAAGAAACTAATACGTTTTTTGTCTCAATTTGATATCCTTAGAAAAACTGTGAATTCAATTTTGAGAAAAAGGGTAGAAGATGATATAAAGTAAAATTAAATTAATGTTATAATATAATAAGTAAATATTGTTAGCGTTTCATGGGAGAGATTAAATCTGATAAATTATAAGAATTATAAGCATTTGGTGGATGTAAGGAAGAGTTAAAGAATTTTTTTTGTTTTTTAAAAGCGAGAAATAAGAAGAAAAGGAAGGATTCACTTTGCTTGAACGATTAAGGTACACCTGTAATTATTAAAAGTTGTGTAGCTTCTCCGAAATTTACCGGAGGCTGCGGGGAGATATAAACGCACGAATACTTGTTCTATACGCACGCATCGGGAACGTGACTGCCCAAAGATTTATTTTATATGTTAATTTATTATGTTTACATTTTAGCTACCGGATAATTCAATTTCATTTCAATTATTACAATATTTCGTCAATATAACAAGATAGAAATTATATTTTATAGGAACATTGTAATTATTTTTTGCTTTTAGAGATTAGTGGAGAAATTCTTCTAAAAATTCAGAATGTTCAGAATATAGAGAGAAATTTAAAGAGAAGAGAACTTTAAAGAAGACTTGATGTGTTACAAGGGCCACAAGAGAACAAACTCTAAAGAGTCAGTGAACTTTTAAATTTTTCTGTTTCACATCATATGCACCGGTGACCGGTCGACTGATGACCAACCGACTCATTCAATCGCAGTTTGCTTCATGATTTCTCCAAACAATAGTCTTGATTATCGCCAAACCCAGTCTAGTATTTACTATTGCCTGACTGATTAATATTATTTTCAACGTCTAGTTCACAATTTACAACTTTACAAGGCGTCATAATTGCTTCTCAAGTATTTTATAATTGTTTATAATTACTCCGTTTAAAAGCAATTGTTTACAAAATTTTCTTAAGATTCTTATTCATTTTTTACTCTTTTCTTCAATTAAATTCTCTTCAAATTAGTCACTTTTCACTAGCAACAATTGAATTAATTAGTAGTACTGATAAATTTTTAGTCAAAAATTTCATTAAAAAATTAATAGTTATAATGTAAATTTTAATTCATGTTAAATGGCTAAAAAATTAATAGATTTATTCACGTCTGTCAAATATTTCACTGTAAAAAGAAAGGTTTTAGATAGGCCTGTGCGGTATTAAAAATCCATAACCGGTTTTCGGTTTTTGAAAAAACCGGTTCTTCAGTCGGTTTTCGGTATTAAAAAAAATACCGGTATTTTTTTTTAAACCGGTTTTTTAAGAAATACCGGTATTTTTTTCTAAACCGGTTTTTTTTAAATACCGGTATTTTTAAAAACACCGTTTTTTGAATACGAGTTTTTCAAATACCATTTTATTTAAAAAGAAAACTGGTTTAAGAAAATTTGGTTTATTACAAAAATCAGGTTGTTTTTCAAAAACAACATTTTTAATTGATCTGTTAAGTAAAAAAAAATCACTGTATGTCTAATAAAAACAAAAAAGATTAATCTTTCTCAATCATCTGTTTCTGTTCTGGCGTTATGTCACTTTTGCGCAGGCATAATGCGCAAGTCGGTTAGATTCAGTATTTCTTGAAAAACCGGTTTAAAAAGTAAAATCGGTATTTCTTGAAAAACCGGTCTAGAAAATAAAACCGGTATTTCTTGAAAAACCGGTTTAAAAAATAAAACCGGTTAAAAAAACAAAACCTTAAACCGGGAATACATAACCGGAAACCGGTTTCCAGTAATACCGAAAAAAAAACCGGTATACCGGTTTACCGCACAGGCCTAGTTTTAGAACTGTTCAGTAGTAAAATAAAATAAAATTTTATTTAATTTTTCGGTTATGAGATTAACAAACTCAAATAATAGAACCATGTCATTAGTTCTATTATTATTGGTGTTAAAAATAATGATGCGAAATGAAATAAAAAGGGGACGCATTGTATAACGAACGAAAAAAAAGAGAAATAAAATTGGAGTATTTAATTGATTTTTTTTTCACGGTCGAGGAAACAGTAATAATTTTGCATGACACGAGAAGTACATAAAAAATCAATAAATTAGAATTTTTTGAATATTTGAAACGTGATGATGCGTGAAGAAAAATGCCCCTGAATTCCATGCGGTTGGTATCGATATCGTAAATTGACTGACAGTGGGTCTAAATAAACCGATGGGCGTCTATTTGTTCGAACAATAATTTCCGGTATATAGGAAAGTATTTGGATTGTTTCCTGTATAACGATTATGGCTTCTAAAATAATTCACTATTGTGTAATTAATTCCCGCATTTTATAATTAGTTATTTAACACGTTAAAAATAAATGTAGAATATTATTTCAGGGATGACACAGGTCAGGGAATTCAGGGAAATCAAAGAAAATTCAGAGATTTTTAGTAAAAGTACTGGAAAAAATTCAATTTTAATAAACATTTAATTATTTGTTTATGAATTTAAATAATTGAATTTTCGTTAGAATTTTCTAATAAAAATTGATTTAAAAATTAATTTCCGAATTATCGATTTATTATTTATGAAAATAATTGAATTCTTGCAACGAATTTTATTCGACTCGGAGTGATCGATATCTTTATGTTTTGCAATAAAATTTTGATAAGTTATTAATTTTAAAAGGTTTGAATTTACGATTTTTGAAAATCTTCATTCCTATGGAAAAATAATAATGATTAAATATTTATTTAAAAAAAAAGTTATTGATGTTTTCGAATAATTTTACAATTACAGAAATTTCTAAATAAATGTAATAGAAAATTTTTTTGACTACCTAATAATTTTGAGAGTGAATCAGAATATTCATTAGGGTCAGGGAAAAAGTTAAAATTTTGTCTGTAAATCAGGGAAAAGTCAGGGAAGAACAAAATTAAATTTTTGTGGCAAACCTGTATTTGAATCCAATAAGGGAAAAATTAGTGAAGAAAAAATCTTTACCAATTTTTCTTTCTTCACAAATCAGATATAGAAAAAAATTTCACTAAACTTAAAATTCTTTTTACGCACACTGTTATTAATTGTAACTTAACATAATTTATTATTTGTAAACGATATGTGATTATATTTTATGCTTGAGAAATCTGATGAGAGGAGACCGGTTTTTAATATAATTAGATAATAAAGCGGTGTATATTTTTTTTGTGCACAGAATTTGTAATTTCAGAGAAACCTTCAGTTATTTTAAAGGTTTTGAAGGAAACGTGCACGAAAGATGTATCATTTTATCGTTAATTATTTATGTGAATGTTTGGAGTAATTTTAATATGAGGAAAATTTGTTTTTTAGGTTACTGATGATGATTATGAGCCGAAAATTTCCAACAGTTTATTGTACACGAGGGAATGATGTTTATTTAAATGTGAGTATTTAATTGCTGTTTAGAAAAAAAAGTTAAACATTAATTCTAATTTTGATGATTTTATTTTCAGAGCAATGACGTGTCTCAAAAATCTTTCTCTGGATTCGTTCGAAATAACAGAATTGGTGGTAATTGGGGCTCTTGGGGTCCTTGGAGTGAATGTTCCAGACCTTGTGGAACTGGCGTGCAATCACAAGTCCGAGAATGTGTTCCATTTGTTGGGTAATTATTTCAATTGGTTCTAATATTGAAAAAAAATTAAAGAAAGAAATAAACATTATCCTTTTTGTTTCATCTTTTGAAAAATTCAAATGAAATTGATGAAAAATTATTTGTCACTAATTAAAATATTAAAAAGCGAAGCGCGTCATATTTGAATATTAAAAATATCGAAAAAGCTATACACAGTTCGATACGAGAGGAAAAAAATTGAAAAAGTATTGAAAAAATGCAATTATTAAAATTATAATGTCAAAGTCATTTAATAATGAAGATTAATGATTCTGAGTATTTATAAAATAGATGTCATCACTTTTGTTAATTCGCTTTTATCTCTTGTAGAAAGCAATTACGGAAGAGGTACATTATGGGCCATAACGATACAATCAGCGCCCGTCCCAGTTGTGTCGGGATATACAAGCGATACCACATCTGCAATACCCAGGTAAATCCAATTCACACTTGGACAATTATAAATAGTTTTTTGTCTTTTTTTCAACTGCCAATAAACATAAATAAGTCCTTAACTATTAACGACACGGTTCATTATTTTTCTGATTGACAATCATTCTATATTATTCTTTTAGAATTGTCCTAATTTTTATCCAGACGTGAGGACTCATCGGTGCTCAAAATATAATGGAAAATTATACAAAGGACGAATTTTTGCCTGGGAACCATTTCTTGATGGTGAATATTTTGTGCTTGAATTTTAAAAATTATTTATCCGTAAATTATCAAAATTATTTATTCTAATATTATCAAAATTTGCAAAAAAAGGGGATAAATACTAAACAAAATTGTTTTTAATGTTTTAGAAAAATGGGGGTGTAAATAATTAAGAAATTGATTCAAGTCGTTTTAAGTCATTTAAGTTTTTTAAATAATTTTAGTTCGATTGTAATTTTTCTAGCGCCTAATTCTTGTGCTCTAAATTGTCGCGCGATTGGAGAACGATTTTATGCGACTTTCGAGCATTCAGTTCCGGATGGAACTCATTGTCGTCCGAACTTTCTTTTGCCGACGTTTCCTATTTTTAAGGCGAAAAATACTGATCAGTGGTTATGCGTCGCTGGACATTGTAAGGTAAACTAATAATAAATTATTAATTCAGGGTTGCCAAAGGTCAGGGCTATCAGGGAATTTAGGGAAAAGTCGGGGAAAGTTTAATTAGTTAGGGAAATCAGTAAACAGTCAGGGATTTCTATTAAAAGTGCTGTACAAAATTAAACTATTAGAATTCATAAGAAAATTCTGCTTTTTGATGTATTTTTTGTTTTCCTCATAGACTATGGAATTACCATGAATTCTAATGTAAAACCTTCAATTTTTTCTATTTATGACAATAATTTCTTTTTAAATAATTTAATTCTTGAAGAACTATCGTAAAATTATTACTTAGAAATTATTTAATGAATTATTTTACTTAAATATACCTAAATTAATTGAAATTTACAAGAATTTTAAAAGAAATTTACAACTTCAAAAGGTTTTAAATTCAAATTTAAGAAAATTTCAATTTTAAATGAATTTAATTAATGAACTTAGATTTTTCAAAAATTTTAATAATTCAAAATCTTTTGAAATTAGTTACATTTTTTAATATATATTTAATTAATTATTAAAAATAATAGATTTATAGAAGAGTTTTAGTTAAAAACAATTAAAAAATTAAATTTTTGAGTAGTTACAAATGATTGCAGAAATTCATCCAAAATTCAATTTTCAAAAATTTTCCTCTATTTATTTTAGTTATTTTATTTATATTCTTTACTTACTTTATTTATAATTTTATAAATTTTATTTACAGTTCTCAATTTTTGAAATTTGAAGAGTTATATATTTTTTACAGTCCGTGGGTTGCGATGGAATTATAGATTCTGGTTTAGTTATTAATTCTTGTGGAATTTGTGGCGTTGATGATAAAGATTGTGAATGGTTCGAAGGTTCTTTTGTTGAACCAACTCTATCGAAAGGATACCATTTTGTTGTTCAAATTCCAAAGGGTGCAATGTCCATAAATATTTCTGAACTGCGTGCCAGTGAAAATTTGATAGGTTAGTTCATTGATTTGTCTTTCATTTCTTTTAATATAAAAAATGAAAGTATTTTACATTTTACTTTATAGTTTGTAGGAATAAATTTGAATTTTTTGTTAACAGCTTTAAAAGACGAAAATGGCGAGTATATTACAAATGGTCCTTGGTCTTTAAGTCCGAGTGGTATTTACAATGTGGCCGGTTCCCCTTTAATATACGAAAGAGGAAACGAGAATCAAGTTGAGTATATTCAAACCACCGGCCCCTTGAATGAATCCTTACGTGTAGAGGTAAATACTCTTTTATTTTTTATATTTTTTTGTATTTTTTATTTTGTAATAATTGTAAAAATTATTTAATTTTTAGCTTTGGATCCATCATCAAAATCCAGGAATTGTGTATAAATACACTTTGTCGAAAACAATTCCGGAAAATATTGTTATCACTTCACCGCCTCCCATCGACCTTCCAGGTATATTTTTAATTAATATCTTTAATTCATTGGCAATATAACCATGTCGTTGTTTAGTGAACAACAATTATCTTCTACAGACGATAAAAACTAATGTTTCAGGTTCACTGAGTCTCAATGAAATTCCCCATCCGACTGTCGAGGGAATTTTCGAAACTACAACTGAAAGGTCCATTGAGTATTAAAAGTTAATTAACGAACTAAATAACAGTAAATAATTTTATTTAGTAGTTCTCGTAGAATTTGTAATATTTTCATAACTAATTGAGTAATAAAATTTAGTATTAGTTTTAAAAGTTAATTAACGAATTAAATAACAATAAATAATTTTATTTATCTGTTCTCGTGGATCTTGTAATATTTTATAATATTTAATAACTAATTTGTAGGATACGCAGTTCTCCGTTAATAATTCCGACGCAGCAGGACAATGAAATTGATAAAAAAACGAAACAATTAAACGTCATTGGGACAAGTATTCCGCCAACAACATCAATGGCGGGCGATCAACCGAATTCAAAAGTAAAAAGAAGGAGGAGAAAATTTATTTGGAAAATTTCCAACTTTTCCTCGTGCTCGAAACCTTGCGGAGGAGGTAAATATTTTAAAATGAATTTAAAATAATTTAAAAGTAATAAGATTTGGAATATATCGTCATTTTTATATTTAGGTTTTCAAAGAGCAATTTTTCGATGTTTTCGAAGAATCACGGATGAAATTGTTGACGAACGGAAATGTCGAAATATCACAAAACCTGTTGGACCTTCTGCGAGATGTAATGATCGACCTTGTGCTGCTAGGTAATGTCATTTAATTAATTTCCAATTATAATAAGTCTTGAATTGAATAGTAAAATTATACTGATAATCCTTGGAATCAAAATCTAATTACTTAAAATAATTGTAAAAAAAATTTATTAGATGGAGAGCAGAATCGTGGACTGAGTGCTCAGTAACTTGTGGGTCTGGAGTTCGAACAAGAAAAGTGGAATGTGTTCAGAAATTAAATTCCCGATTGACAGTTCGTGTCGCTGCTGGAACTTGTATTCAACCACCCGATTTGGGAACGTGGGAAGTTTGTAAATTGCCACCTTGTCAAATTGATGAACCAGAGATAAGACACATGGATCCAGTGCATCCTAGATGGGAAGTTGGATTATGGAGTCCAGTAAGATTAAAATTGATTTCACGTTAATTTTTCTATTTGTGACGCACTCTGAAGAAAGGAGCAGAAAATTTTGAATGAAAAATGTCAATTTTGAATGAATTTAATAATTAGAAATTTTAAAGAAAATTTAAGGTTTTTTAAAAAATTTAATAATTCAAATTCTTCAGAATATATTAAAATTTTTTAATATTATATTTAATTAATTATTCAAAATGATAGATTTATAGAAGAATTTTAATTAAAAATACTATAGAAAAAATTGCATTTTTGAAAAGTTAGAAATGATTGCAGAAATTTAATTATTTTAAAAAGTAATAAAATTCTTCGCAGAAATTCAATTATGTTCAAAATTTTTTTTCAATTCTTGTCAAAATTTCAATTATCTTTATAAATAATAAAATTACTTTCCGAAATTCAATTATATTCAAAAATTTTAATCACATTTCTCGAACGGGTTCAATTATTTTTAAAAATTGTAATAAATTGTTTTTCAAAAATTCAATCATTCTCAAAAGTTTTGATAAAATCCTTTGTAAATTTTAACTCTTGAATAACTTTCTCAAAATCATTCAAAATAATTGATTTAAAGGCGAATTTTAGTTAAAAATTTAGAAACTAATTGGATTTAAGAGAAGTTGTAGTAATTTTTATAAATAATTAAATTTCAGATTGTCTCAAATTTAAATATTTTAAAATTTTAAGAAAATTCTTCGATATTTTTCAAAAGTAATGAAATTCTTCGCAAAAATTCAATTATGTTCAAAATTTTTTTAAATTCTAGTTAAAATTTCAATTATCTTTATAAATAATAAAATTCTTCCCCGAAATTTAATTATTTTCAAAAGTAATAAAATCCCTGTCAAATGTTTTTAACATTACCTTTCTTTAGACAGCGTCTTATTTTATGATTCTTCGTTACAATTGTTAATAATTTTTCTTTATTTTTACAGTGTTCGGTGACTTGTGGCCAAGGGACTCGAATTCGAAATGTTACGTGTATAACCAGCAATGAACCATGTTTATCATCAAATAAACCACAATTCGAAGAATTTTGTGAAGCTCCCTCTTGTCCTACATTTCCGGAACTGAAAGCTTTTTGGCTCTTTTCTGAATGGTCGTCAAAGGTACTTGTTTCGTATAGTAAAGGAAGGCAATAATTAAATTTTGTTAAAACAATTAAGACATATTAAACTTCGTTTCAGTGTTCAACAGACTGTGGATCGGGAGTTGAGACGAGACGAATTATTTGCAGTCATGAAAATAAAACTCTTTGTAATTCTACATTGAAACCTCTTGAGGAAAGACAGTGTTTTGGAAATACGTGCAGTAAAACCTTATGGTTCACAGGCCCTTGGACAGCGGTTAGTATTTTTAATTTACTTTCATTTATTTTTTACTTTTATTATTAATTATCAATTTAATTTGTTTATTTCTTCATCATAATTGAAAATTTACTATAGTGAATTATTATTTAGTGATTTTAATTATTTTATTCAGAAATCGACTGTTTCGAATATATTAATGGAATTATTTTTTGAAAATAAATTACAGTGCTCAGCAACATGTGGCGTTGGAATTCGAAAACGAGATGTAGTTTGTGCTTCAAAAATTAGAGACGAATTAACTCTATCATCCGACAGCGCGTGTGATTTTGAGAAACCACTTCAAGAGGAAATATGTACAATGAGTCCTTGTTCTGCCGAATGGTTCACTTCGGACTGGACGGAGGTTAATTATATTTTTAGTTTTTATTCACACTTTATTTTACATTTATTTGTGATTCGCTCCTTGCGCTCCCAATGAAAGGTACCTAAGAAGTAAACGAATTGTAGGTTATATTTATGTTAGATTTATCTTAATTAAAAGTTAATTTTTAATTATCTAGACTTGAAACCAGTTTTTATTGAATATTTTTGTGTAACAAAGACTTGAATATCAATATTTTGTAATAGTAATTGATTCTCTTTCTTTATTTTTACTACAAAAGTTATAAACATAACCTACAAATTTTTGCTTCTTAGGTACGTTTTTTGGAAGAAATTAATTGTTACTTAAAAAACTATTCAGCCTCATTATTTATTTAAAGAAAGACAATTATTATTATTATTATCTTATTATTAAAACATTTTTTTCTATTACAGTGTACCGTGACCTGTGGAAGTGGTGTTCGAACGCGTGCAGTTCGTTGTATTTCCAATGAAAATGACATAAATGATTGTATAGAATCAGAAAAACCTCGAGATAAGCATCTTTGCATTGGCGAATTTTGTAGAAAGTCGGAATTTTCCACTGAGAATCCAATTAAAAGTAAGATTATTTTATTTATAAATTAATGAATTAATTATAAACATTGCTAACTGAATACTTTTGTTAATTTAAATAAATTGTGACAGGTGGGAATGCTGTTGGAAATTGCACAGATGAATATCCGTATTGTGAGTTAGTGTTAAAGGCTGATTTGTGTCGCATTAAATACTATAATCACTCATGTTGTGGCTGCCATTCATAATTAATTCGAAATAAAATTATTCAAGTAAGAAATTTTTACAATAAAAAAATGTTATCTTTATAACAACAATTAATTGTATTTACTTTTACGATCAAAAGAAATAATTCCTAAAATTCTTCATTTTTTTTATTTTTCAGTCATTTATTTAAGAATCGGCTACGCACAAGACATTTTTTTTAATAGTTCTCACTATTATTTAAAAAATATTTTTCTGTGATACGTTACCGTTTGAAGATTGCAGACACCGGCATATTCATCGTAGGTAAGTGAAATTATTTAAAACATTTATAATTTAGTATACATTAACTTTATTACTATTATTATCAAGAAAATAATATTACTAAAAAATTAAAAATTTAGTTAATTAACTTAATTAAATTAAATTAAATTTAAATTTCTACATTACCGACGAAAGGTTAGTTATAGAAATCGATGCTTAATTGCCAACAAAAATTTTATTATACTTTTTAATTAATAACAATAATAGTTCTAGTAATAATCAAATAATAATCGATTGAATGCAACATTGATAATTACTAAATATCCTAAATATTCGAATTTACAATTTTTTTTAAATAGTATTAATACATATATTAAAATTATCGTTTACGAATTTTAAAGCATATTCTTAATAATTATTAAAAATAAATAGAATAAGTAAAGAAAATACTAAAAATTTAGCAATAAACTTTTAAAAATTTTCCAATTTTGCCGCCAAAAAAAATGATGTCGCCAAAATGGAAGTTTCGTAATTTAACCTATTTCCAGTCTCAGTATTTCAAAATTCTTTATAAATAATTAGGTTTTTTTAAATTTGTTTTTTAGAATACTCGGAATTTTGAAAATAGAGTAAAAAGAAAATTTACATTTAAAAAGTGTTTTTGAATGTACGACGTGAAGGCAGCTGCAGATCGCGAAGAAGTCAGTTGGTTCGATATTTCGCCGCCAGATGGTTAATGTCGCTGAAGTGCATGTAAGTCTGATTGTGCAGTTTCCCTGAAGCCGCTCACGCGTTCGTTTGTTCGTGAGTTCGTCGTGTTTATTGCCCCATTAATTGTTTTGTCCCCGAAAATATATAGCTCGTGATCATCTTCCTCGTTCGGGAATCATAACCCTTTGTCGTTGAATCTTTCATTGAAGTTGCTTTGGTGATTGAACACACGAGGATGGCGTTCAATGGAGATGGTCCTCATTCGAAAAGACAGCGGTTGGAGGAATCCGGACACAGGGTAAGTGTTGATGAAAATATTTCACTAGGAGATAATTGATGTTTTCACAAGTAATGTTATTACATGTGATGATTAATTGTATGGATGTTTACGACAACGCAACATTGCACGCCATCATTTTTTCACTCATGAACAGTTTGCGCTCCTGCAGCACACGCCGCGCGGTTCAAACTGAGCAGTGCATAGTCGCCATTTATCCCTTCGCTGTTCACTATCAATCTACTGATATCTCGTTTGACTTGTACAAAAAATATCCTAGCGTTTAATGTTTAAAAGAATTTATTGCTTTATCTTTGGTGTTGATGACAAATTTAGTGTCGAGTTTCATATCGTACACAATCAGTGCGCGTTTTTCTTGTCCCGACAACCTGTTATCTGCGAGGTGGTCGCGTCAAATATTGATTATTTCGTGAAGCCGGCTGCGGCCGACGCCGCTGAGATCGTTGGTTCTCTTTGGACGTTGGTGCATATTTCGAAAAAAACAAAGAGTTGTAAAAAACGATTCGTTCGCCGTACCATCTCGGTGTCAATGACCTCTTTACAAGGGAATTCGTCTTGAGTTTCTTTTTCCACTGATCTTAACCTTTAGCTATGGTATGGCAGGATCTAGCTTCGCTTCCAACAAAGATAGAGTAAGTGCTGTTTTAACAATAACGTACAATTATTTTTCATATTCGCTAATAACTGGTCATTAAACTAGTAAAGAAAAGTGGACTGTTAGTTGCATTTTTGTAACTAACAATTTTCAATAAGTCTTTTGTCCTCGAAAAGGGAGTGTTCGTTTTTTTGTTGTGACATAACCTATATCGTTTACTCCATTTTTGTTTGTTTTTTTTCTTTTGTCAGGAATATAAAGTCTATTCCAAGTTCCGTTGTTCTGTTTTTTTCTCTTTGTGATTTATTACTGTTAGTGTGTGATGCTGATCCATAAGTTAGTTTTTTAGTTTAGAAAATCTGACGATAATTAATGTTGATTAAAGAACTTGTTAGTGAACCTGTTACATTTCGAGGTGGTGAAATGTATTACTAATTAGTAAAGTTTGCGATTAATTAAGAAACTTATTCGATATAACTATTTACAGTTAATTAATCAATGAAAGTTCAATTTGATTGGTGATATTTATAATTAGTATAACGACGTCAACAGTAAATTTCTAACTATTCTGCACAGCGTAAAATTGGTTTAAAAAATATTTTAAGTTCAATGCGATTAATTTCGGTGACATAGTTTCTATCTTTAGTTAAATATCGACTTTGCAAGTTCTCTAAGTTTGCATATACGTAAATATACACAACCAATGCAGATACTAAACTCTTGAGAGTTTGTTCATTTCCGGAAAAATATTTTTGTTGATTTTACAAATTGGACTCGTATAAACTTATAATCACTCCAATCAGGAAAATTAGATGAATTTTTGTTTACTAATTTACTTTTTATAATTCCCTTGTAAAAAGATACTTTCGCCTTTAATAATTTTGGATTATTTTTATAATTTACTTTTATTTACTTTTATTTACTTTGGGGATTAATTGCAGTGAGAGATTAAAAACATTTCGCCTAAATAATTCTGTACGATTATTTAAAAGTTTTGCTATGTTTGATTTAATTGCTAATGAATTTATATCAATTTTCTGCTCGAAAAGTAATCAAATATATTCTGTTTATTTAAGCAATTTGCAGTTTCACAACAGTTTTGAATAAACGAGATGATATAATATGAAATACCTCTCGAATTCATGTGGACAAACATTTAATATATAATCTCTGAATTGCAGCCATTTCACATTTGAAGTAAAGATCACGTATTTTTTTGGTATAAATAAATGCAAAAAAGGTTGAAATTTTAGTAAAGAGGTGAATATTAATTAATTAAATTATGATAAGCAAAAAAAAAAATTGACTTGTATATTCGTCAAAGAGTATTTTGCGAATGAAGAGCAATTCGGTTTCATAGTTTGATTAAATGTACTCAAGGGTTAAAGAGATAGCGTCTCGGTTCAAGACACATCTTGAAAGCCATTGTTCTTCAAAGAGAAAATCTGAGGAGATTATACTAGAGTTCGCGAGAAATTGAATTGTCTGTCTGATTGAGATTACAGTTCCGACTTTAATATTGTTCGGTTAACAGAGCTTGATGGAATCTGGATTGCTTTACCAAACTTGACAATATTTCTACTTCTTTTTGGTCATTCATTAACGTTTTTTGTCTCTTCGATTAAGTATTTTTTACTTCTTCAAAAAAAAGTTCTGTCGAGTTTTTCCGTTTTCGGAATTTTTAATGCGCCTAGTTCTGAACTTCTTCTGAATTTCTTTTCAAAGCAAAATTTATTGCAGTAATAATACGATGCGTATTATTGGAGGAAGGTGCCGGAAATTGAAGTCAAGCGACCTTCTACAAAAAAAAGTATTTTTAACAGGGTTGCCAAAGGTCAGGAATAATTCAAATTCTTCTGAAATTAGTTCAATTTTTTAATTTATATTTAATTATTTATTAAAAATAATGTAATAAGACATTTTTTTGAGTATATAATAATTTTTAGAGTGAATTAGAATATTCTTTAGGGTCAAAAAAAAAGTGGAAATTTTGTCTGGAAATTAGGGAAAAAAAATTAAATTTTTGTGCAACCCTATTAATGATATTAGAAATAATTATATTCAAATATTCAGAACTCGTGGATCATAATTTTTATTGATCTTGACTGATTGTCGTGCTTTCTATTGTCATCATTGTCATCATCTCTTGTTAAAATCATTAGTTTTAGAAAATTGTGGTTGGTTTCTTTCTGTAATCTTCCATAGAACGAATAATATTTTCATTTAAGGAACTCAGAAATGTCAGTATTGAAAAGTATGAAAAGATTTATGAGCCAATAGAAGGAATGAGCAGGTCAAAATTTTATGATTGCGGCGAAAGGTAATTTTATTATGTACTATATATATTCTTAGCATCGACCTTGATGGAAATCTTTTGCCTATTGTAATGAGTTATTATTCCCTCAAACCGCAAGAGATAATAAATTGCGCATTTAAGTAAATAACAATTTATCAAATAATATACTTGCGACAATTTTTTTTCTATTTCTTTTTATAAAAAATATTTTTATACCTTCTTTATATAAAGTTTTGAACCTTTTAATGAGAGAAATATTTTTCATTAAAACTATTTTCGTCTATTATTACGATTGTAATAAAAATTAAACACTTGGAAACTTTATAATTAATTTTCTTGAAATGTGACGCAAAATTAATTTTAATTTGGAGAAAGAAGTAAATAAATTTAGTTCATTTGAATGTTAAGAACTTTTAGGGACTTTTAGGAACTTTCAGGAACTTTTAGAAGGATTGGAATTTTGAGAATGAAGGAAAAAGAAATACAAAATTCATTTGTAGGAGAAAAAAAAAAGTTTCTGTATGTGTGCGAATATGTATATAAAAAAAGGGACGATGAATTTTTCTCCATATGCGGTACACATTTTGCACTTTAACTTTCGGTGAATTTACGAGCTTTACTTTTTGATAAAACTTAAACTTATATATACGCTCTCGCAGGTTTTTATTGTCGTCGCTCGAGAGGAAAAATTTACGAGACACGTCAATTTTTATCGATTTCCGATTATTCTTCTCGGATATAAATATTTCTGAGAATTCGCAATATTTTTTTTCAAAAAAACAGTACAAAGTTTTGTGCGTTTGAAATTAAGAAACTACAGGATTTTCATATTTTGCTAGAAGTGTGTATATATGTATTTATTTGCGACTTTCCTTATAACCGGTCTTGTGTCATCGACTCTGTAATCACAGACATAGTGACACTTGTTATAAATCAACTTTTCACAACGGTCGATGATCTCTCGGAGTGTATCGTTCAAGTAAGGTCATTGTCAGGATGACATGACACTTGATTCTAACAGTTTATAGATGGCATAGATGAGGAGTTTTGTGCGGTATTTTTATGCTATTTTTAACAAAGGGAAAAAGAGATTGAAAAAAAGAGTGTGTGGGTGAGAGAAGAAGAAGAAGGTTTTTCGTTGACTAACCTCTTATGTCAGAAAGTCTACGAGCCAGAAACTGTATACAATGATGATGTGGGGCATGAATATATGTATAGGAAACATGTTGTGTGTGTTTACGTGTGAAGAATACCTTCGAGCAGACTAAAGATACCAGTTACGTCCTTCTAAGGCGAGAGGGTTTCGTACTTTTTGTTGTGCAGACAACTTGATCTAGTTTAATGCCATTTACAACCTCTAGTTATCAGGAACAATTGATAAATTCACCAGGGGTGAGTTTTTATTTATGTTCCGGTGATTATTCTATGGTTTATGTTCTGTAAATTATGGATTCGTTAAAACTAGTTACTATACTGTGTTTCATTAACAGGGCTGGTATGATTTAAATCAAAGACAAATTTCCATTTTAATCATGATTTGCATCGAATTTTTTACTTAAAAAGGGTTTTTTAAAATAGGTTTTTTAATCAACTTTGACTTAAGGAAGAATCCAACAAAGAATCTAAAGGAATCGATTTTTAGTAAAAGACTGGAAAAAATTGAATTTTTAAAATTGATAAGAAAACTCTGAATTTCGATGTTTATTTTGTTTGACTCTTAAACTATAAAATTACCACGAATTCTAACATAAAACCTTTAATTATCCTTAAAAATTTTAATAAAATTCTCGGGAAACTTCTAATTATTTTCAAAAATTTACTTGAATTAAATGATTTTCAATATTTACTATTTTAATAAAATTTTTCGCAAACATTTAATTTTTTTCATAAATAATAAAAATTTGTGGAACTTCTAATTATTTTCAAAAATTTACCTGAATTAAATGATTTTCAATATCTACTATTTTTATAAAATAACATTAAATTTTTTTCATAAATAATAAAAATTTCACAGCAATTCAATATTATTTACTAATTTTTTATAAATTTCTTAGTAATAATTTAATTATTTTTAGAAATAACAGAATTTTTTAATTGGATTCAATTATTTTCATAAATAATGAAACTCATGACAGAATTTCAATTATTTTTAACACAATTTTAATTTCAATTCTGTTGAAATTAGTTGAATTTTTTAATATGTATATTCAATATTTTTTCCAAAATTCGTTTTTTTCATAAATAACAATATTAATCACGAGAATAAAATTATTTTTAAGAGTAATAAAATTCTTTTCAAAAATTTAATTATTTTCAAAAATTAAAAAAAAGTTCTCGTCATGATTTCAATTCTTCACTGTAAAAAATTTGTGGATTTTTCCCTGAGGTTCCTTGTGGAATATTCCACAAATTCACGGGGAAAAGTATTTTCACTACGATTTTGGGGAATTTTCCACAAATTAGTGAAATTTTGAACAAACTTGGGGAAAAGTGATAAAATATTAGGGAATTTTCTACAAAGCGAAGGGGAAAAAATTTTTCACTACAATTTTGTGCAATTTTTCACATTATAGTGAAGATTTCAACAATATTATAGGGAAATTTGTATATAATTTTAGGGAATTTTCCACATATTAGTAAGAAAATGTCATTTTATGAAAGCTTTGTGGAATTTTCCCAAATTTAATAAAAATTTCCACAAAGTTGAAAAAACTTTTTTAAATTTTATAAAATGGGTTAAT